ACATAAATCATCATCGCTGGCGAAATCCAAATCTTCTAGAATCTTTCCATCGGTCAAACAGCGTATACCCCTCTTCTCACAGTTTGTTGGATAATCCAGTCGACCACAATCAGGAAGATGATTGGTGAAAGTAGGTGGCAAACTTGTCTTACTCCCGCCTTCACTCCAAAGGCATCACTGAGCTTCCCATCGTGTTGCAAATCACTTGGCATGTAGCATCACATAGCATATAGGTGCTGTTGAATGAGGCTGATAAAGATTTGTGGCACTAGAACCGTAGTGTTGAAGCAGCTGCCTGCCAAATTACTTCTCAGTCGACGTTGTCGAAGCAAGGCCTTTTCAAAGTCGATGGAGTTGAGGTAAGGTAAAAAGGAGTTGACTGCCATTCTATACTCTGTTCCATGATGATGCGTAGCATAGCGTTGCAACTTGATGCGCACATGATTTGTTCTTCCTGAAGCCAGATAGCCAGCCAGCCTGTTCCCGTGGTTATTTTGAATCCAGTGCATTGTTCAGCCTCTCCAGGATGATGTGGCTTAATATTTTACTTGGGGTGGACAGCGATGGAGCATGATTCCGCCCTAGATCTTGTTGTTGTAAAGACTCAGGTCGCCTACCCTTGTTTGGGAGTTGGACAAGGTTGTCCTTCTTCAAATCAATGGCCGAGTACCTTCCCTTCCTTCCTTCCAAACCTTATGCAATAGTGGTGTGAGCATGTCCGCTGACGTCTCTGTGTCTGTTTTCAGTGCTTCTAGAGGAATTCCATCTGGTCCCGCTGCTTTCCCAGTTCTCAGTAGCATAATGGCATGGCGTTGAGGATTTTACTTCTGCTTTTGTCGGAGGGTTTGTGTTCACTGGTAGTTCTGTGGCTGGCCTGCTGATGGCATTTCTGAACGAGTTGCAGGTGGTGGTTGATTCAAGAGTTTTCTGAAGTGGTCAGTCAGCCCATCGTTTCCGTTGTTTCTCCTCTTTGGCGGTAACTAAGTTCCCTTCACCATCTCTCATTGGTTTCATCTGAATTCATCTCTTCCCAAATAATAACCCGGTCATCTGATATAATGTTGTCAGGTCTCCATCACTCATACCAGCAGCCTGTTCTGTTTCGCTTATCAATGTATCGTAGAAGTGTCTTTTGTCTTTGCGTGCACTCTTCTTCACTTCTTTGTCCAGTGTAGTGTTTTATGGGTTGTACTCACTTCCTCTTTTCGTTGTTCATCCCTGCACTGCACTGCACTGCACTGCACTGTACTGTACTGTACTGTACTGTACTGTACTGTACTACACTCCTTCATCTTCTGCCTCACCATCCTCCTCTCCCTGCTCTATCAGCCTCCATGTGTCCGTGGAGGCTCATTCCTTGTCTTCTTTCTTCTTCTTCTTCTTCTTTCCTTACACGGTTATGCAGGTTTCCTTCCACATAGCTTTCAAAGTGTTCCAGTGTTCTTCCACACAGGTTTCTTCAAGGATGTTGCTCAATGTCTCCCATTTTGTCCTGATGCCTGGCTGATGTGAAGGTGTCCTTTGAAGTTTCGTCCTTCAGTTCAGCTTCTGTTCTGGGTGTTGAACTCGAACTGTGGTGTATCATCACCAGCTTCTTTGGAGGTTTTCAGCTTGATTTGGCAGTTCCTTGCACTAGACAGTGAGTGGTGTGAACTTACATCAGGGTGACGACAATATCGGAGTAGATTATTGACTCTCCAGTTGACAGTTGGGAGAGTCCACTTCCATTCCATCTGCTCTTGCAGATCCCTAGCCTAGCACTTCAATGCCATATCTTCTCATCTATTTTGCAATCTGGACAGCCTTGCCAGCCAGCCAGCTTCAAACATTGTGCGGACATTCCATGTTCCTATGTTCACTTTCGCTTTCATCGAGGGAGAGATGACACAGTGGCCAATCGGCTTCGCGAAGGCTTTCACCAACCGGCATCATTTCGTCTCTCCGATTCCAGTGAAGAATAAGTTAGTTTTTACTTTTTATATTTTCTCTGTGTTTTGAAGTTTCTTTAGCGATTGAATTGGTTTTAGGGGATAGGGTTGTTAGCCCTATGCCCAACTTTCCCTCTTTTTCTGGGCTGACGGCCGGCTGGTAACTAGTGAACTAGTCGACCAAACTGTGTTTATTTTTATCACTGGCCTCTTGCTCTGGCTCCCTCCCTACCTCCCTGTCTCTCTCTCTCTCTCACTCTCTCTCTCTCTCTCTCTATATATATATATATATATATATATATATCTATATATAGTTTGTTATACCTGAAGAAGGGTGTGAAACAAAGGAGCTACCGAAATTATCCGTTGGTGAACGATGTAGTACTGGAAGTATTAATATATTTTCTTTCCCTTCCCTACCATCTGTAACCGACGTTTGATGGGAACAATCTCATAAAAAAAGAAGAGCATTACTCTTTGTATACGCTATTCATAGTACTTATTTTGACTGTCATGTTTCGACATGGTAGGGTATATTCATTAGACATCTTGTTCATAAGCATAATAAGTACAAAGACAACCAGTAATAGTCCACTGACTTAAGTATCCTGTTTCGCGAACTTTGCTTTTGAAACTGTTAATTCGTTGCTTAGATTGATCAGGTGGTAATAAATGAGATGTTTGAGGTAGCCTATTACTGAACTGTTGGTAAGGTTTTTTAACCGTTTACTCTACTGCATAATCTAAATCATTTTGGTTCCTGATCTCATTAGCTTCAGTCATTGTCTGCTAGGAATTTAGAGTATCTTGAATATCTGTATCTCTAGCGTTGAGGTTTTTTACCAGTGAAATAGTCCATCACATAAATGGTTCAACGACCTTAAAGTCGTAAACAGGTAGATGGCATCAATTTTACTTAGGTTTATGAAAGTAAAATCAAAGAAATCAGACTTAGGCTCTGCACTTAGTAGGTAACGACCATCAGCTTTCTGTTGTTAATGCAATATCTCACAAGGGTTATTTTCTATGTTCCTCAAACTTCATCTTTCTTAGTTCATTCACCCCCAAATGATAACACATTAAAAAAGTTTATTCCGGTTACAACCATTTTTATTCATCCACATATTTCGGTATGAATAAAGCATACGTGTTTGTGTTTATTTATATTAATGGCATTTCTAATCTTCAGATACAAACTGTAGAATTCCCTTTTTTAACATTGGCATGTTCAAATGCATTAACGGAATTAGTATATGAATTCTTTGAAATAATCATCAAACCGTAATGAAAAAACAAAAAGAATTTAGTTTACTGTCAATAATATTCATTAGTTATTTTGCTCAATATTCTATACATATGGAATTGTGACTGAGACAACTGAAATGAACAAACTTTGGACGTAGATTATTCATATAAATTTCTCTAGATTTAATACAGTAGGAGAAGATATGTAAAATAAAATGTATTCACTTTATTCCACGAATAACGTTTAGAATGACTGTGTTTTCTAAGCAACTATTGGCTGCTCTGTTGGGGATGAAGAGAATTTACGTCGATAAAACAATTTAACAAAATTCAGTAGTGGAGCTGTCACCAACTGGTCTAGGCATTTGACGTTCAACCAGTGGGTTACGAGTTTGAGTCTCGCTCTACCTATCACTGTCCAGGTAGCCAGGTGGTATCAGTGGCCTTCACATAATAGCTGTTGTTCACTGTTTAGTGCACTAACGTGCAGGTGGTTGCTGAGGGCCTACTGATTCGACGCATTTGATTTATCTTTTATCTCTTAGATTCTGAACTGTTGTAATCAGCAGCTTTTCTGACATTTTGAATATTTAACTCTGAAAATTTTCATTTTCACTATTGAGAAGGATATTTTACAAAATAGGTATACAGAATAGGCCAGCATGTAGAAGAGTTGTTTGCTCAACAATCTTCTCAAGAAGTTTTATCATCAGATCAAAGTATGGCTTTATGATTTTAGTAATTCTGTAGTGAACCAATTTATTCTCCTATTGATATCATAGACGTACATACACGATGCAAAACAATAACAGAAGATGCATAAGTTTCTTCTAGTTTCTTAACACTTTTAGGAAATACACAATCTGATGGCCATGAAATACCTCCACTGAAAAGTTTTAATTGACCTGTCAATGTAGGTATATTTTGTTCTCAGTCCAGTATTCAGAACAGTGTTTCACGAGTGACCATCTTTCTTCTTAACATTTTGATGTCTTATTTCCTTAACTACGGTTTTAATTTGTCTTTTATTTTACTTGCAAAACATTTTGTTCTTCTGTGAGCCGATTAACTTCATACTACGATAATTGGTAATCACTTCCCTTCTCGTTGACTCATATGTTAGGGGGTAAAAGCAGTCTAGAGGTTGCATAACAAGTGAAACAATGTGTGAATTGTAATGTCAGTTGATAACAACAGACTTCTGTTCACTAACTGAGAAACCAAAGCCACACTTACTTTGTAAAAGTGACTGAGGGTAGGTCTGCAAAAAACCTGGCAAAATTTTATTTAACCTATGATTAAAGGTGACAAAATGGGTAAGCTAATAGATTATTGTTTTAGATGACAGCCACAACAATGTAGATTCTGTTCTCAAAATTCAAATGTTGTGTATTAGAGAGTTACTGAAATATTGAAGAAAATTTCTATTTGAATAAAGCCTAACTTTCATTAGCTAGCTCACGTTTCCTCAAATTTCTCCAACTTTATTTGCTCGTTAATAAAGATCATTTGAGTGACAAGTTCCCGCTCAAAATAACTCACAGCGTTATGGCTTTCATCAGTGTAGAATGTACTTCCCAACCACATAAATTCTTATATTTCCAACTTACTGATCCTAGAAATAACAATCGCTATCGGCACAGATAAACGCTCATATAGATAATATCTTGGGTGGTAACTACTGTGTTTAATTCTTTTTCTAAACTGCCTAATAGGCCAATGCAAATTTCTGTCAACATAATGTTCCGGTCAGACCTGATTGGCTCAAAATTTAATGCATCTTTAACTAAATGAATATGTAAGGCGTGATTAAAACTAACTTTAACTGGTGAATAAAGCAAGTAGAGAAGCATTATAAAAGATAATGAAATGTTAAACATAGTTTTTCATTATTCTCTTGTTCACAGTAGTCAGAAAATGCTAATAAACAAAGCACAGTCAAGACGTTCAGGGAGTATACTACTTACTGTTGTCGGTAAGTTGAGGAATAAATAATGAGATCTCACAAACTCATATTTTCCAGCGATATGGAGTTTGTTTGGACAGTCAGTGAATGCATGCAAAAATAATCCGTTGTAAGTATACTAATCTAGTACTTTTATTTTTAAATTTATTTTCATAATGTTTGTCGAGACCAACATTCTGCCAACAACGTAGTTTCTTGGCTTATCTGATTACTTTTTTACATTTCCCACTGCCTTACCATTTAGAAATTCTAAGTTTTAGTGGTGTTTACTACTTTTCAGGCGTCCATTTCTACATCTTATTTGTTGGAATACCCCTTATTGGCAGATTGCTAACTAATATACTTATATTTGATAGCTGTGGCATTTTTTATGGTCAGTTTATGGTCAGTTTCAGAATATTACAGTCTCACTTTCACTTCAAGACAGTTTTCTTTTGGAGTTTTGATTCACTTTTACCTTAGGACTAAGTCACTTTACCGAATGTTGTAAGTCACTGATGTTTATTAAAAATTGTGTCGAACCATTTCATCAATATAGGTGACACTGATGAAACATCAGTCACTTATGGACAGTAATAAGCTCTCTGTTTTGAGAATCTAATTCTAGGGAACATTTATTTGACCCTATCACTTACGATAAGCATATCAGGTCACAGCATCAGTATGGCTTGCAGTTGCAGCCGCGCCTTGAGGACTTTTGTGAATCTTACTTTCATGCACTGAACAGTCAGAAATGAATGGTTCCTACTACTTTAATTTGTCTTCACAATGGTATGTTCATTATAATATTACTATCGTAAAGTATATACCTAGTTACTGTGTCTGTTTCATCGAAAAAGTATTTATTCCTTTAATATACAGAAACACCAAATCGAACTTAACAGTTTTGTTATTTTTGTAATGACAGGTAAAATACAGTGAAAACTCAACCGATGTTTTAATGTTTCACAGAGGTGAAGTTTGGGATAATTGTACATGGTGAACGACTTTGTATTTCTGTTAATCATAAAGAGACTTTTAGACACAGTGACTTCTGGGAACATGGGTATACTAACTAGTTGCATTCTGCATCACCTACTAATGATATTTCATAGCTGAACAAACCAAAATAAAACACTGTGGTTCAGGTGATGTTCACATCTCTTCTTTTGAAATCTGCCTTTTTCTATTGATGTTTCTCGCATTAAATGGCAATATTTGAAGTTTGACTTATAAGTTTGTTGGCTGCGTACTAATCTTTTAAAATGAAAAATAATCTCAGTTATGACTTAAAATTGGTTATTTTATCAATGTATCCTAGTTTAAACAGTCCATGGAATGTAATCGTAGTTCAAGACCCGATAATTATTGGTTTTCAGAAGATTTATCAGTATTTCTTTAACTTTATTAGTTGTCACTCAGTTAAGTCATTCCGATTTGTTCGTCAGTGTTACTTATGAACACATAAAACCGTACTGGCATATATATTTCCTGAAAATTCCACCCGCTTGCATTTCATTTGTGCAATTTTTACTAGTCAAACAGATTCGTGGTATCCACACACTTTGAAAGGCTTAAGAAGTTGATTTGTACACTCTGGATACCCATATCAGTCAAGTAACTACTTTACTAGAAGAGTGCACTTTGACTTTTTTCCTGAGATCAGTAAGATTCAAATGTCATTAGGATAATGCCAATGATAGTCTAGAACACACATACCGTCCAATATCCGTCTGATTTCTATGTATATTCATGGCACATGCAGTTGAATGAAAGTTGATGAACATGAAAACTTTCGAGGTTCATAAGGTTTCTTGAATGTTTAGTAGTATTTTGTTGGAAATCTGTTTTGCCTGTTGATGTAACATTTCCCAAAAAGGTTGTAATTTTGCAAATAGTTATATTTAATTGATAGTGATGATTTATGATTGCAGAATAATCAGTGTACAATTACTGTTTAGGAGCTGCATTCACGGCGAATGTATTGATAATATCTGCGTATGTGAGGCGTGTTGGACAGGTCAAAACTGCGACACACGATGTAAGTTGCTTAATTTCTAAATTTTCCCATGCAGCTTTTCATCATTATTCAAGTATTCTCATATGCGTTCGATATCTTATTATAAGTAGCGAATTTTGGGATGGCTCAAAGGATCACACTAGCATTTACGAAAATAATCAGTTGGATTTCTTAATTTTGACTGAAAAAGAGGTGTTTCCGTAAGAAGAGAAACCTAACTTTCTGTTATGTTAGTTGTCAAGGTGGTTTGCAGAGTCATCCAACCATATGCTAAGCTATTTGGCATAATTCTGTTCCTTTACCATCAACTTCAGTAGACTGAATTTACTTTCTAATGAAGTGCTAAATATTTGGTTTCAGCGATCGAAATGCAGTGAATATGAATTGAATACGATCAATTTGCAGCCCATACGTAGACTCGCTGGTATTCTCAATTTAACACGTACTATAAGCGTAAACGATCACAAAACTAAAACATATTAGCAATACTACGGAACCTTGCCGAGTTAACTAGTTCACTAGTTACTAGCCGGCCGTCAGCCCAGAAAAAGAGGGAAAGTTGGGCATAGGGCTAACAACCCTATCCCCTAAAACCAATTCAATCGCTAAAGAAACTTCAAAACACAGAGAAAATATAAAAAGTAAAAACTAACTTATTCTTCACTGGAATCGGAGAGACGAAATGATGCCGGTTGGTGAAAGCCTTCGCGAAGCCGATTGGCCACTGTGTCATCTCTCCCTCGATGAAAGCGAAAGTGAACATAGGAACATGGAATGTCCGCACAATGTTTGAAGCTGGCTGGCTGGCAAGGCTGTCCAGATTGCAAAATAGATGAGAAGATATGGCATTGAAGTGCTAGGCTAGGGATCTGCAAGAGCAGATGGAATGGAAGTGGACTCTCCCAACTGTCAACTGGAGAGTCAATAATCTACTCCGATATTGTCGTCACCCTGATGTAAGTTCACACCACTCACTGTCTAGTGCAAGGAACTGCCAAATCAAGCTGAAAACCTCCAAAGAAGCTGGTGATGATACACCACAGTTCGAGTTCAACACCCAGAACAGAAGCTGAACTGAAGGACGAAACTTCAAAGGACACCTTCACATCAGCCAGGCATCAGGACAAAATGGGAGACATTGAGCAACATCCTTGAAGAAACCTGTGTGGAAGAACACTGGAACACTTTGAAAGCTATGTGGAAGGAAACCTGCATAACCGTGTAAGGAAAGAAGAAGAAGAAGAAGAAAGAAGACAAGGAATGAGCCTCCACGGACACATGGAGGCTGATAGAGCAGGGAGAGGAGGATGGTGAGGCAGAAGATGAAGGAGTGTAGTACAGTACAGTACAGTACAGTACAGTACAGTGCAGTGCAGTGCAGTGCAGTGCAGTGCAGGGATGAACAACGAAAAGAGGAAGTGAGTACAACCCATAAAACACTACACTGGACAAAGAAGTGAAGAAGAGTGCACGCAAAGACAAAAGACACTTCTACGATACATTGATAAGCGAAACAGAACAGGCTGCTGGTATGAGTGATGGAGACCTGACAACATTATATCAGATGACCGGGTTATTATTTGGGAAGAGATGAATTCAGATGAAACCAATGAGAGATGGTGAAGGGAACTTAGTTACCGCCAAAGAGGAGAAACAACGGAAACGATGGGCTGACTGACCACTTCAGAAAACTCTTGAATCAACCACCACCTGCAACTCGTTCAGAAATGCCATCAGCAGGCCAGCCACAGAACTACCAGTGAACACAAACCCTCCGACAAAAGCAGAAGTAAAATCCTCAACGCCATGCCATTATGCTACTGAGAACTGGGAAAGCAGCGGGACCAGATGGAATTCCTCTAGAAGCACTGAAAACAGACACAGAGACGTCAGCGGACATGCTCACACCACTATTGCATAAGGTTTGGAAGGAAGGAAGGGAAGGTACTCGGCCATTGATTTGAAGAAGGACAACCTTGTCCAACTCCCAAACAAGGGTAGGCGACCTGAGTCTTTACAACAACAAGATCTAGGGCGGAATCATGCTCCATCGCTGTCCACCCCAAGTAAAATATTAAGCCACATCATCCTGGAGAGGCTGAACAATGCACTGGATTCAAAATAACCACGGGAACAGGCTGGCTGGCTATCTGGCTTCAGGAAGAACAAATCATGTGCGCATCAAGTTGCAACGCTATGCTACGCATCATCATGGAACAGAGTATAGAATGGCAGTCAACTCCTTTTTACCTTACCTCAACTCCATCGACTTTGAAAAGGCCTTGCTTCGACAACGTCGACTGAGAAGTAATTTGGCAGGCAGCTGCTTCAACACTACGGTTCTAGTGCCACAAATCTTTATCAGCCTCATTCAACAGCACCTATATGCTATGTGATGCTACATGCCAAGTGATTTGCAACACGATGGGAAGCTCAGTGATGCCTTTGGAGTGAAGGCGGGAGTAAGACAAGTTTGCCACCTACTTTCACCAATCATCTTCCTGATTGTGGTCGACTGGATTATCCAACAAACTGTGAGAAGAGGGGTATACGCTGTTTGACCGATGGAAAGATTCTAGAAGATTTGGATTTCGCCAGCGATGATGATTTATGTCTGATGTCTTGTTGCACAAGGTCGAAGATCTACAGGCGAAAACTTACAAGTTGACAGGAGAGGCGAGGCAGCGAAGACGGGACTTCCTTCAGGTGAACGTAGAGAAGACGGAGGTGATGAAGATATCCAACCAACAGCAGCATCAACAACAAGCAGCAATCACCACGAACGGGAGAAACCTGAAGGAAGTAGTCTCTTTCACCTACCTAGGCAAGCAGCATCGTCTCAACTACAGGTGGTGGTGGCAGTGGCGGTGGCGGTGGCGGTGGCGGTGGCGGTGGCGGTGGCGCACAGGTGAGGACTTCAGAGCCAGGATCGGAAAGATAGCAAGACGTACCTTGATTAACCTGAAACCAGGGTGGAGATGTACTGCACTCAGTATGTGGAACAAGATCCAGATTTTCAGCACTAATTCAGTCAAGTCAGTGCTTCTGTGTGATGACTCAGAGTCTTGATGCCTTACGAAAAGCATTTCCAACAGACTACAGACATACATCGTCAGCTGCCACTTACGCTCACTCGATACTGAAGACCAGATGGCCAGAATAATAATAGTAATAAGGAAGTCACTCTGGCGACGAATCAATCAAGAACCTATCGCTGGACGAATATGCAGGAGAAGGTGTGGATGGATTGGATTGGACAAACACTGAGAAGACCTATTGGGGACATCACGCGCCGGGTCAGGTCAGGTCAGGTCAGGCCGTCGAGTGGGAAACGACGAGTTGGGTGTCCGAGGGAGGGGGATGACATGGAGGAGATGGTGTGAGGAAGGAATGGAAGCTTGTGGGGAATTGTGGAGTCAGTTTCGAGGTACTGAAGAGAAGAGAGTGAAGTGGTGACGCGTTGGTGAATGTCTATATTCCAGTAGTGAGGTAAAATATATTGAATATTTGGTAATGATGAGAATGTATAATAATTTTAATTATTATATTATTGATGTGGAGTCCTACAGAGTTTGGCTTGTTAGGAGATATATATATATCTGCTATGAAATATGATTTTTAGCGTATTCAGTTTCCTTTTTAATGTTCAGATATCTATGATGTTTTCAGCCGATTCTGAACCGAAAACTATGTGCTACTTCGTTTGTGTCTTTATCGTCATCATCATCATCATCATTTTAGGACTAGGCTTGAGTAGGTAGTGGTTCGATTCGCCATACCTTATATCAGTACATTATGTAAAAAGGCTGTTAATTGGAAGATGAACATAGGAAGTGAAATACTAAGTACGAAAATAGAGAGAGTAAGAATGAGAAAATGGTGAGATTCGTTTATGTTTTAAATTCTGAGAGTAGTGCTGACAGCTGGATATTGTGATATTTCCTGCAAATAGAAATTTTACTGATCTGTGTGTTGAGCCACGGTTATTTCTGATAAACGCTTTTTGCAAAACTTAAAAATGACGTTAGCATACGGTATGCTGTACAAAAATACTTTTGGTCGTAACTTCGGCAGAATTTTTCGATAAATCTTTCTCCAGAAGTCCAATGACAAACGTAAAATACGGAAACTGCATGACTCACTTCGCCTAAATGAAATAAATGCGGAATGTTAAGAACACAAAAGAACAGCTGTAAACCAAATTGTAAATAGCGTTGAAGTAGATAAGAAGCTGCAATGAAATCAGAAAATTACTCTGATATTCGGAATACCTCCAGATCACAAAATGTGTCTTTTTAATTCATTTGGCAGTAGGGAATAAACAACTATAGAAACAGATGATCCAAACAGCGGTTACTAGCTGATGAAAATAAAACTAATCTTCTTTTCAAAATCTAACTACAAATGGTCAAATAGATATGTGTGAAAAAACAAAAGATTTCATTTACATTACTAATAACAACTGTTTTCAAACAGTACTGGGAGAAAGGAAGGCCATCTGGTTCAAATACCATATGATCTCAGCGAAAAATTGATCGATGATTTACCGAATTGTATTTTAAAGTTCATAATAGGCCTTACAAAATAGAGATGTCAAGACTGAAATAAAAAGCAGTATGCTTCTAGATGGTATACATCGAGCGAAATTGCAATAATATGACAACAATATAGTGAACTGTACTGTATGCTTTAAACTTCTCCCCTTTGAGGATAAATTCAAAAATGTATTGAATAAATTAGGAGTTTCACCACAGTAATTCATATTACTACCACTAGGTTTGTTCGTAGTTGGATGACCTATCAGTCGATGTGATAGGCGCTTTTCTGACAACCTTGTAGTTAAAAGTGACAGATTTTGCTATCGAGTGAGCAAGAAGGCTAGTCTGGATAAAATTTTTCAGGCAGCTGTCAAAAAATCTTGTTGAAAGTTAAGTCACTTCCGATAAATAGGAAACCTTAATTATAAGTGATTAAAAATAGGCATAAATAACTGAAATTACAGGGAATATAACCATAGTACTATTGAAACAAGAAAATCTTACAAAAAATACATTTAAGCTCAAAGTTTTATCAAGCCCAACCTTTTAAAATGATATTTTTAATGTGATATGTGAACTAATGCTTCTATTATTGCCTTCTTCATGAAATCTAAAAACAGTATTCTAATTATCCTGAATGTTATAATGCTTAGAAATTCTGGATAAAATTTTAACTAAGAATTTAAGATAAACTCTTTAGTACTTTATTTTGAGATGAACGGGGATTTTTAATTTAGAGGTAGTATCTACCATGGACTGACATCAGTTGGTGAACCATTGAAAACCTGGGAGCACTGGACAGCTGCTTCGTCCTAGTATGGGACTCCTTAGCAATACTTTGTATTGTAGCCTTTCATGTATTTCTAACTTTACCAACAAATGAATATTTTACAGCACTATTATTTTTACCACTTCAGTGTCTAGAAAAGCTACATTCACTCAAAGAGAGTACATCTTTGAAATCAAGCTTACCCAACCTATTTATGAAGATGCTATTGGTCGCCTTTCACTAAACGACGAAAACTCTTCCTTAGCGACATGTGAAACCGTCCAGTTCAGTGTTGTTACTGAGGCTGCCGACTTACCCATATATATAGATTCAGAAACTGGTGTTTTGCACTTGCACAGTTTTAATGAAGAAGCAGTGGGAAATCGCACTTTTACTTTCAAAGTAACTGTTCGAAATTTTGGTACTCTTTCAATAATATCTGATGAAGCAGCTGTCAACCTTTCAGTTTACCAAACTTATTCTGACAGACAAGGCAAAAGCAGTATAAAACTCACTAAAAGGGTATGTTTTTATCTAATTGTTACCCCTTTACCTTAAATCGTTATGTTTTGTGTGTCACTTCATAGTAATCAGAATAATATGACAAAATAGTCCCCAGCGTTTTTCTTCTATGCTATCTCATGAAATTTGACTGGATTCATCTATTGACTGAAATTTAGAGTTAGTCTTAGAAATTTTTCTGTACATCTAAGTAAACTTTTTACGGCATCACTTCATCGATAAATTTCTAGAGAATATTGATGACAAACTAACCACCATTGAAGAAGTCCTCTTTCATCCCCAAAGTTAGCGAAGAGCACACTTCAACTGAAACAAAACGGTACAAATGGTTCAAAGTTAAAGTGATATACGCCTTTAATATTTACATCTTACTCATTATTTTCATTAAGGCAGTTGAACGTACAAACATCCCCGCAGAAAGTTAAATGACATCTGCTAAGATTTATTACAGAGGTAATAATCTGTCAATGGAGTTTTTTATAATACTACTCGCAAATTAAAACACTAGAATGCTGTATTTAGGTAGAATCTTTGTTGGAATGAAAAGAATTAGACAAGATGACACTGCTTTCAAGTTTAAAAAAGGAATAGGAATATAAAACTACCTTTAGGTTTTCTATACAGAATTTCCAGTCGAGACCTAGAACTACAAGGACGACATTAGTTTATTTTAGAACGTATAATACAAATCTGGTTAGAAGGTTTACAAAGAAGATAAGTGAATTCAAGTTTTTCGGTTTAGTTGTTGGAGCTCCTGACAAGCAACCTGGAAGTTATTAGATATGGTAGTATAACTTTGGTATCCCTTCGACTTACATCTTTAATAACAACGGTCAAATTCAGAATTATATAGGCTAATTTGTGCACAAATCTTATTGCATAGATTCAGATGCCATTTAAATGCACCTGTTTAGTCGACTCAATGAAAACTTTCCTAAAACAGCCTGGCTGTAGATAAAATCAATGCTCATGTAGTTTTTTGAGGTGGATTATCATATCTGCTTTCAAACAAGAAAAGATTCAGTAGAAATTGATCACAATTTCTAACATCAAAAAACGTCAAATAAGTGACAATTACTTTTGAAACGCCTTTAGTTTAAAAAATTCCAGTGCTTTCTAACTATTTCTGAACTGAAAAATCACACTGATCCTTTGACATAGAAGCGAAGCCCCTTACAGGGAACAGATTTATTGAATTATTCCTCTGAATTACAGTCGTCAGATAACACTTTAGGTTAGTTTCAGATCTCAGGTAGTGAAAAGATCAAGATTTTCATAGTGATGGTTTCATGATCGGTCTTTCAGTTCTTCATATATGATAAAGTACATACTTTCTGACAGTTCAAAGAGCATTTGAGCAAACTGAAAGTTGCTTTGTTGTGTTGAAGGGCCAAAGATGCTAAGGGTTCTAGCACTTGCTACACAATCAAAATAATAGTGAAAGTGAATACATTAAGTAAGTTAACAGGCAACTCAATCTATCCTACCAGAACATTCATATTTCAAAGTCTATAGTAAAAGTACTACATTATCTTAAATGTCATATGATATCAAAACTGAAGAGGTTGAACTTTAGTCCCCATTGATATACTTCTTCAATTTATTCACATTTACTGAAAGTTTAAAAGTTGTGATAATTATCGATAAAACTTGCCAACTGATTTTCGGAATGATTGAATCATATGAGTTCTACGCAGTCAAGTTAGTTTCTTAGCAAATGCTTTAATTCTCAGCATAATGATGGATTAAAATTTAGTTTACAGGTTAAAAATGACTGGAAACCCAAAATTCAGACAGGAACAAGATAGACCAATTTTCCAAGCTGTTGTTTCTTTTCAGTGGAATGTGATAAAATGCCTCTAGTAATTGATAGTTACCATTTTGTGAAGGTATGGACAAACTCACTTCTTGTAGTATTTTTGTCTGAGACTGTAAGGACTGAATAGAATGTAAAATCAGGCACATTTCTGAATGAAGTGTGCTCTTAATATCGTGAATTCGTACAACCGAACATGAGTAGTTTATGTGACACATTAATGACTGACATCAAACACCTCTCAGTATGTCTAGCAATAGAATTCCAGTGTCATTAAAAAGATACATTAGTTTTCAGTGAAAAATACTTCTCAGTTGACAGATGATCTAGTGTTCGATGGGCGAAAAGCAAAATGTAAAACCGCGACAGCAGTGAAGTTTTTTACTTTAAAAAACAATCTTTTCAATTCACTAGAATTAAATTTCAGAGACATACAGTATTAATAATGTCACTAATCTAAAACTAAATTGACCTCAGTATTAAGACGTAACGTTTGTAATACCTGTAGGTTTCTGATGTTTATAGTTTGTTGTCTAAAAGTGCTGAGTCTTTCTGTTGAAAGTCATCCCCTAAAGCCCATCAAAAAATGTCCTTTTTGTATGTTCTGCTACAGTCTCCTGAGAGCTCTGAAAGAAACGCTTCAGCGTTCAGTCATATTTAGATCTTGTCTTTATGCGATGGAATACATCATATTTTGAATCAATCAATTAAGTAACTACTTACGCCACAAGTTAACACTGCATAACATATTTAGACGTTACTTGCTGCACTCGAAATGTAACAAAATCTTATTAGAAGTTGTTTTCTGAACATGGTAATTGTTCACTTGTGTGTGAATAAATCCGCTTCTAGCTTACGAAGTATTTTGACAACTGTTCTCCTTATGATGGTACATTCCTTTTTCACGTTACTTTTCCTGTTGAAAGTTTGTTGTTTGTTTGAGTTCTACAACGATCCGTTTCACATAGGTTACTTCAAGCTTATGACTAATGGTTCAGAAAAGATAATTGTAGGTCGATTTATTCAATCGTTAGTCTAGATAGATCAACAAAATATGCATGTTTTCTCAAATCTGTGATGAAGAAAAAAGGATAATTTCTTAATAAGGGAAAAGTCTAAGTAACTTTATCGAAAAATGCACCGAAGGAAAAAGGAGTAGGGTTTTTATTCGAAATTCTGAATGATTGAGAATAATGTGAAACTCAGACGACCACATGCTTTTAGTACTGTTATTGGTCGACAATCTCTCAATGATGCACATGATGGCAATGTTAAACAGCTGCTGATTGATAAATAATAAAATAAGGCCTAGTCGTTTGCAGTTTACCAGGGATATTGCGATAACAAAATCCAAAGTTTGTGATCAAAGGATGCTCTCTTTAGTCTTGTATTTCCCTGACAACTTTAATGTTCATTAGTTATGACTGGATAATATAATGATTTAGTTTCTAGTAGTCATTTTCGTTTCTTTTCATATCATTTTGGATGCTAACTCTTGTTATAGGATTTTAAACATTTAAAGATTTCCACAGCATCAATTAAAAGCAACCCTAGCGAAGAATATTCTTCGCAGAAAGTTATTATCATGTTATAGAATTATAAAATACAATTTTACAAAGTAAAACTAGCCAAGTTTGAAAGTAATACATTTTCAAAAAGGAAAGTAAGTTAGGGACTGTAAGGAATTTAGTTTTCCCTTTTAATTTGTTACCATTAAAATGATGTACATACAAATGAAAAATCTGATAGTAAGAGAAATTAACAGCAAATAAGGAAGACAGGAGTAACCTTCGGTTACTTGAACGTAAAGGGGGGAATAACACCTGAACACGTTTCTAGTTGCAAAGTTTAGGTTTAATCACTCTTATTATGACAGTCTCATTTATACTGAGCAGATGTTGAAATTTAGCACATGGTTTGGCTTTTGGTAAACAACAGATGGTACTAAAAGCCCTATTGGCATCTGTGTGATACCCTGTGTCTACTAGGTGTGCTGAGATGGAACTTGTCACCACTTACACTTCACCTTTTTCAATCCAAGCTAGTAAATGTTCTGGTTTCTGGAAATGCATACCGGGATTGTGTAGTCAAAAAGAGTAGTTACCAGCATCTCACTGAACCGGCAGTAAGTGACGTTTTCATCCAAGATCATATGCTCCATTTATTTAATAATTTTAAAATCTCAGATTTTATGCTCTGAATTAACAATCTTCCTCTTAACTACAGTGTGCTATTGAGTATTACGGAGGTGGATCCACTTGAATATATTTTTATCGCAGATTAACGTCAAACTAGGTACTATTCAAAGCATACGAGTACTGAATCATCACTTTGTTCTATCCTTGAAATCCTCATAGCTGATCGAACGCTAGGAGGAGGGATCTTGCTGGGTGCAATAGATCTCACAATAAACACGTTACCGTTCAGCCGCTAGTTTGAAACTCAGTGATTCACGATCCCAACTTCTATTAGTTATTAATATAAGCCGACAAAAAGATAGAGAGCCTTATTTCAATTTTCGGCTGATCTCCTAGTTCCAGACCGGACTTCATCTACTTAGACGTCATTATCTCTTGATCTGGGGGATCGGTCCCTTCACGGAGAAGGAAATATCTTAGCAACACAACCACGTGAAAACGAAGACTCCTTCTGGATCACTCTGTCAATGCTTCCTCACAAGTGATCAATGAGTCACTTTCGTCCGACTGTTGGGCTTCAACCTACCCACGTTTGCCTGGCAATCGGCTCGTTGACAGTACTCGCCTCCCCGTAGACAGATGTACGTGGGTTGCGTCTCAATAATTAACCACAACCTTGCAGATAGCGATGCAACATATCTCCGCGAAAAAAAACTGAGGCTTTTTTCGGACTATCTTTGAACACGCCAAGGCTACAGCGAAACGATACTTCACATTTCGGACTGAGTACCACCTGCCTTCTCATGGCTGGTCACATCATCTCTCTATAGACTGCTCCAATAACAGCGAATACGGATATTTGGAGGTTGGATCCTTTTATTTTTTTGATGCGCTGCTGCCGGCACACTAGGAGAAATTCTGACAGTCAACTGACCATCAGCCTGCCCGTGTGCTTTGAAAACCTGCGCCAGTGACCAGTACATATGAATCTCGTCAACTACTATTACCGCTAAGCCAATTATGATGATGAATTGGTTCAAATCCACCGACGTTACTAGGAGATTCATGGTCGCTTCGTAACTACGCAAGACATACCATCTTCGGTTTTCCTGATAAGCATCTCAAACACCCACACCACATCATCGTGTCAAACTGAGGCCCTGGCACCCAGCTGTGGCGGGGTGTTTGGCTACCTCAACAAAGTCACAGTTACTCTCATGACAAACACTGAGTGTCATTGGTGTGTGTCTGCCTTCACTTCTGATCTGGCCGGTTTCGCAGGTCACGGCTATTAATTTTGCTGATTATAGTAGCCAAATATTTTGCCCACTTATCATTCATGAAGATACGTTTTCACAATACTATATGAATGGACCCACTTGCATAGCCTTCTTGGTATATTCATTCAAGAATATTCCTCTCTTTGTATTATAAAAGTGTCATTAATCTGGCTCAGTTTTAATATTTCAACTTCCTTGATGTTGTGAAATTTAAATGCTTCTCCCAGATCTCTACAATAAAAACTGAATTATCACGATTCTACACTTGAAATATGTTGAACTTTTGACAGTGTTTATTCATTTAATTACTCAGATTGCTTGCATGCAATGAAAATCCTACTAAATGATTTAACATAATTCTACTTCACAGACAATATTTCAAATTTAACACTTAGCTTTCATATCATAGTTTTTTGTCTAATATAGGAGAAAAAGATATAGAAAAATGGTTCATAAGAGCCATAAAGAAGTGGATGAAGTCAACTAATCAACTACATAATTTGATGCTTGTTAGATATCTGGTTTGTCGGTAGAAATTTGCAATGGATTATTATTATTTTATGAGGCTGATCAAATAGACCAGCCTACCCCTACTGATGAAGTCAAACTTGAAATTTTTGAGAATACCAGAGGAATTCATATTGTATTAAATTATAAAGTGATTACCTGTTATGTAGATAATAATGAAAAAAATTACTTGTATAAATGAAATTTTCAAATCAAAGATATTTTTATACCACATAGGGTATGATATCTGGTCCTACTGAATCCAGCATCGCATTCTACAGATCGAATACTAAGAAAGATTCCAGTTATTGTCTTTTTGATACATGGTTTGTCGACTCAGAGATCATATTGAGGCCTGGAAATCACAATCCTGTAATCAAAATGTACGGACCCTCTTTAAACGGAAAGTATTATGGATACATTAAATATTTATTCACCTACTTCAATGGTACAAATGTAGCAAAGAATGCTACAATGGGGTTTACTAATGTTACATATATAAATGCTCAGTCATTGGTAAGTATATGAAAATAGAATAAATTATCTGTTAACCGTTAATTATACTTTGAACCACAAATTAAGATGCTGTTAATATATGTATATATATACTTATATATAACAGCATATATATACTGGGTGATGATTAAAGGGGAGAGGAAAATCCGGACCGCGGCCGGACTCGAACCAGCGACCACCGGGTTACCACTCCGGTGCTCTACCAACTAGGCTATGATGTCCCACTGCTAACCAGAATTTTATTTCGCTTCAACCATCAGTTGGTAGAACACCGGGCCGATAAGCCGGCGGTAGCTGGTTTGAATCTGACTGCGTTCCAGATTTTAATCTCACCTTCAATCATCACCCAGTATAAATACTAGTCTGCCAAACTACGGCTATCTCAGATAGTCAAATGATTATATATATATATATATATATATATATGAGTGGAATGAAACATGGAATAATCTGAAGTTGTGTTCCTAGTAAGGAATAAACTCTCCACTTAAGTTTGTTTATTAGATGCGTTTCAAAGTAAATGGAATTGCAACCTACCACAGTGCCTAATTTTTACTGGCACGTTAGTGACTTAACTTTGTTTTTCCGGATTCTTCAACTCAGTTTCAAACTTTTATGCTAAGTTTTCAAAATTTCAAGGTAATCTTTCATACTAAATAACAATAAGCAGTCTGATAATATCATTAAGGTCACTGGTGTTCCACACATGCTTCAAAAGATGTCAGTACTGATCAACTTAAGATATAATTCCACCTTTTGAAATTCCTCCTATACTTCACCGTATAATTTAGTGAACAAAGAATACCTTTGTCAATGACTGTGTCTTCATATTCCACAGTCATTTAGCACTGATGGTTAATTCATAAATGTTGTCTGACAACAACAAGTAGTACAAATTAAATAATCATACAAATCTTTTCACGATAGCTGTAAGTGAACAAAATTCCCTGATATTCTTTTTAGGCGACTTATTATTGCCCATATTAAATATCACCAAGCTATATATCTAGTGTTGGATTCTAAAAACACTTAGTTATGACTATCATTCAAAAGGATTTTTTCTGAATAAATTTCTTTGATGGAATAATTTCAACTATTCTTATTCCTGAAAAACTTCCTGTCTTATGAATGTCCACTTATTGTTCAATTAACCAACATAGCTATACAGCTGTAGAACTTAAAAAAGAGGCTGTTAAAACAAATATACTTTGTCATTAATTTGCCTTGATAAGCAGTTCAAAACTTCAGTAATTACAAAATGAGGCAATGGCGTGGAATCTTTATGAATAAGCTATGAATACCACTGAGCTTAAGATTTTCTAATAACTTTAGTCACCATAACTAAGTGTGATAAGTAATGACGTTGGGAACTATCTGATTCCATTCTACTATAACTATTCAACCCAGAGAATGCGCAAAAATAGGATGTTTCCATTTATTAAATGACGAATATGGACAACTACCCATAAAGCGCGACTATCAAATATCTAATTGAAATTTTGTGACTACTGATAAATCAAACCAGTAGTTATGTTGCATTTGATTCATTCGACCTTAATCTCATGATGTTCAGTGATCAAAAAGCCACAGATTTAACTGCGTCTAGGGAACGAGATGCAGGAAATGTTAACGTTTCTTGAAGGTCAATGAGGTCTGTGGTTTTCATCTTATCCTCCCAAATTTCTCTCTTGCAGAAAAAGTCTGCTTGTTATTTAGTTTAATGGAAACCAAACATTTTGTGACTGGTTTTCATAAATTCGTTTAAGTACATCTAAAGTGAGTCATGTAGACAAAACACCGGGTTGTAGTTAAGTCTTTCCTCGTTTCTTGCCTAGTACATTAAATTACACTAGCCCTCAAAGTTGTATACTACTTTCGACATTCAATTATCATAACAATTTTCCAGTACCATTTATGCTGTGAGTGAAATCAATAACATTCAGCAGAAGTTCAGCAGCTGTCATTGTTCACCTTAGTTCACAATGGAAAGTAAACTCAATCTCAGGTTTTCCTTTCACACAGTTCTGTTAAAAAGAAGGAATCACAGCAACATTTTTTTCGAAAAAAAAAGTAAATACATGAATTCTTCGAAACTAGTTGTCTCAACCACTAGGAAATCTTAATTTCTTCTAAGATCTAGGTTGCATTACTTAGATAAATAATTCTAAGATGTATGGAGGAAATAAGCTCACTATTTTGGTATTTTAAAATTTACAGGCTCTTATGAGACCCGATATACAATTCAAATAAACTGTTTTCAGTCTGAGTGTATCGAAAAGTACTTTCTTTCATTTAACTAAACATGAACGTGACTTCATTCATATCTATGTTCTTTGGAATCTAGGTTACTTCGACTAATGCTTTTCTATAAAAACACCCTTGGGAATTGATTGCCAAGTCATAAGAAAAAGATCTCAACAAGTGCCGATTAGTTGCATATGATTAATTGAAAATCTCGACAATTCATCAGTTCAAAACAGAAATTAGTGTGCGTTCACCCTAAATACAGTCGCTTATCGGACAAAATAATGTATAAACCTCCTTTGAATTTATATTAATTTTTCCCGTGTTAGTTTTCTTCCTATAGTTTTCTGAGTAAGTGGGCACCACTATCTAGTGCAAGGAACCGCCAAATCAAGCTGAAAACCTCCAAAGAAGCTGGTGATGATACACCACAGTTCGAGTTCAACACCCAGAACAGAAGCTGAACTGAAGGACGAAACTTCAAAGGACACCTTCACATCAGTCAGGCATCAGGACAAAATGGGAGACATTGAGCAACATCCTTGAAGAAACCTGTGTGGAAGAACACTGGAACACTTTGAAAGCTATGTGGAAGGAAACCTGCATAACCGTGTAAGGAAAGAAGAAGAAGAAGAAGAAAGAAGACAAGGAATGAGCCTCCACGGACACATGGAGGCTGATAGAGCAGGGAGAGGAGGATGGTGAGGCAGAAGATGAAGGAGTGTAGTACAGTACAGTACAGTACAGTACAGTACAGTGCAGTGCAGTGCAGTACAGTACAGTACAGTACAGTGCAGTGCAGTGCAGTGCAGTGCAGGGATGAACAACGAAAAGAGGAAGTGAGTACAACCCATAAAACACTACACTGGACAAAGAAGTGAAGAAGAGTGCACGCAAAGACAAAAGACACTTCTACGATACATTGATAAGCGAAACAGAACAGGCTGCTGGTATGAGTGATGGAGACCTGACAACATTATATCAGATGACCGGGTTATTATTTGGGAAGAGATGAATTCAGATGAAACCAATGAGAGATGGTGAAGGGAACTTAGTTACCGCCAAAGAGGAGAAACAACGGAAACGATGGGCTGACTGACCACTTCAGAAAACTCTTGAATCAACCACCACCTGCAACTCGTTCAGAAATGCCATCAGCAGGCCAGCCACAGAACTACCAGTGAACACAAACCCTCCGACAAAAGCAGAAGTAAAATCCTCAACGCCATGCCATTATGCTACTGAGAACTGGGAAAGCAGCGGGACCAGATGGAATTCCTCTAGAAGCACTGAAAACAGACACAGAGACGTCAGCGGACATGCTCACACCACTATTGCATAAGGTTTGGAAGGAAGGAAGGGAAGGTACTCGGCCATTGATTTGAAGAAGGACAACCTTGTCCAACTCCCAAACAAGGGTAGGCGACCTGAGTCTTTACAACAACAAGATCTAGGGCGGAATCATGCTCCATCGCTGTCCACCCCAAGTAAAATATTAAGCCACATCATCCTGGAGAGGCTGAACAATGCACTGGATTCAAAATAACCACGGGAACAGGCTGGCTGGCTATCTGGCTTCAGGAAGAACAAATCATGTGCGCATCAAGTTGCAACGCTATGCTACGCATCATCATGGAACAGAGTATAGAATGGCAGTCAACTCCTTTTTACCTTACCTCAACTCCATCGACTTTGAAAAGGCCTTGCTTCGACAACGTCGACTGAGAAGTAATTTGGCAGGCAGCTGCTTCAACACTACGGTTCTAGTGCCACAAATCTTTATCAGCCTCATTCAACAGCACCTATATGCTATGTGATGCTACATGCCAAGTGATTTGCAACACGATGGGAAGCTCAGTGATGCCTTTGGAGTGAAGGCGGGAGTAAGACAAGTTTGCCACCTACTTTCACCAATCATCTTCCTGATTGTGGTCGACTGGATTATCCAACAAACTGTGAGAAGAGGGGTATACGCTGTTTGACCGATGGAAAGATTCTAGAAGATTTGGATTTCGCCAGCGATGATGATTTATGTCTGATGTCTTGTTGCACAAGGTCGAAGATCTACAGGCGAAAACTTACAAGTTGACAGGAGAGGCGAGGCAGCGAAGACGGGACTTCCTTCAGGTGAACGTAGAGAAGACGGAGGTGATGAAGATATCCAACCAACAGCAGCATCAACAACAAGCAGCAATCACCACGAACGGGAGAAACCTGAAGGAAGTAGTCTCTTTCACCTACCTAGGCAAGCAGCATCGTCTCAACTACAGGTGGTGGTGGCAGTGGCGGTGGCGGTGGCGGTGGCGGTGGCGCACAGGTGAGGACTTCAAGCCAGGATCGGAAAGATAGCAAGACGTACCTTGATTAACCTGAAACCAGGGTGGAGATGTACTGCACTCAGTATGTGGAACAAGATCCAGATTTTCAGCACTAATTCAGTCAAGTCAGTGCTTCTGTGTGATGACTCAGAGTCTTGACGCCTTACGAAAAGCATTTCCAACAGACTACAGACATACATCGTCAGCTGCCACTTACGCTCACTCGATACTGAAGACCAGATGGCCAGAATAATAATAGTAATAAGGAAGTCACTCTGGCGACGAATCAATCAAGAACCTATCGCTGGACGAATATGCAGGAGAAGGTGTGGATGGATTGGATTGGACAAACACTGAGAAGACCTATTGGGGACATCACGCGCCGGGTCAGGTCAGGTCAGGTCAGGCCGTCGAGTGGGAAACGACGAGTTGGGTGTCCGAGGGAGGGGGATGACATGGAGGAGATGGTGTGAGGAAGGAATGGAAGCTTGTGGGGAATTGTGGAGTCAGTTTCGAGGTACTGAAGAGAAGAGAGTGAAGTGGTGACGTGTTGGTGAAGCTGTGTATTCCACTGGGAAGCGAAGTGAAATGATTAATTTTAAGAAAATTTACAGGTAGTCTGAAACTTTCATAGAATTAAAATTAATCTTTAAGCTTTTATATTTTAGGCTTCAGGGTTCACAATGTTGCCAGGCTTGATAAAGGTTTCATCCATACCTGCTTCTAATCAAAGTGATTTTGGTTTCAAAATGCGTTTTATGGTGGGTCTTTTTTCTGATATGTCAGCCTTGGTAGCAGGAACAGCTCTGACATTCAAATTAGAGGCTACTTTGGATACAAATATAAGCATATCACTTCCTCTGTTGGTTTCTGAAAAATGTCCAGATCAAAATGATGTGATCACGTTTGTAAAATGCCCTGAAAATGTGGCAATGGGCGGAATCTATGAATATTCCATGGAGTTTTTTATAAGCAAACCTATTGGAGATTATCTGGTAAGTTAGGAAAAGTAAAGTTAAGCTAACAATTTTTTTCTCATCTAACCTAATATCTGGGAACTAAATTAAAAAAGACATTGGTCAAGGGCAAGGAAACTGTATTGAAAAGTCCTCATCGTAGCTGTTCAGTTGCGTGGTAGCTTGAAAATATTATAAAAACCACTAGCAAGGATCAGTAGTCAGCAGCAAATCATAAGGAACTGTATATTGGAAGAATAGAATAGTAAAGTATAGGATTCAGTCTCATGTAAAGAAATTATGCGAGAATAAAATATTGAATAAAGCTCAAAAGTGCTTTCTTTTGCTAAAATCGGTTTGGAAAAAAGAAATATTGTCCACGAAAATGTGAGGAAGATCCGAATAAATTAAGTCTAACAGTAATAAAGGGAATGGGAATAGATTAAAGAGAAAACTGCTGAGCGAATGTCAGACAGTGTTGAAACTAAGATCGTGATGCAGAAAAATACTGAATAAAACATTTATATAAACAAGGTTGTTATTTAACTGATAAATCTCACGACAATAATAACGAACACGAAGTATAAATTTTCTTCTCAACTAATCATTTGTTGACAGTAGTAACGCACTAAAAATAAGATGAATAGGGAGAGAAAATTTTAAGGCATAGGAAAGAAAGTTTCCCAATTACATAGTTTATGAATGTGAAATTAAACTACGTCGTTGCTTATAATAAAAAACGGAAGCCTTACAAACTTGTTTTAAATAAACAAAACTAGCTTATTCAAATTTATTTTTGGAACTTCTATTGTATATGAAAGCCGTATTCTTACAGCCTCGGTATGATTAGAAGTGGTAAATATAAATAACTTTAGACGGCTCACTTACATCTATTTGGTGTTCAGTGTCGACCAGATCTTGGAGTATCGAACTTCTTATTGATCTCGTATTCGTTTAACTCAATTATAAGAGGTGTTCGGAAGTGCTATAGTTAACCCACCTGATTGTGCACTCAGTTTAACTTACTGTACACAATTAGTTAAACTCGTAAATTTACATATAGAAGGCTAGTTTGGTCAATCTGCCTTTGATAAGTGAACTCATATAAGTAGATTACTGTTCTAGTCATCTTGATGGAAATAGTGAGTCAAACTAATTAAAATGTTCAGTTCTGTTTAGAGTGTCTATGAAAGTGTCCAGTTGGATAATAAAATCCTTTCCTTCACTTCTTTCTAGAGAATTTTTAGGGACTCAGTCACTAAAGGAATTAATGTATTACCTATTGGTCAGCAGCTACACATTATCGCACAGTTCAACAATTTTTAATTAGTACATGTATTTCATAGCATGCAATTATCTCTTATAATTTCTGACTGTTAGAAATCAGTGAAGAACTTAAGGTAGGCAAGGCAGTATAGGTTCATTATGGAACATTTAAGGACATCGACTACTAGAGAAAAGCACAACTGAATTCGGAAATACCGCATATCAAACGATTCATTAGAATATTTTCATAATTTAATGATAGTGATGATACAGGATGAAAGAAAACAGTGATGACAGGTTTGCACTTTCACATTTGTTACAACTCTGGTTTTCTCCAAGTCATCATCACTGCACTCAAAGATCTGACTGTTAAACAAATCTCTGCAGATGATCTAATCAATGCTTATTTGATTAATTTATTTTGTAGTTCACTTTTACCACTGATGAATTTACAGGCTCAATTGGACATATGTTCCTTACGCTTCCTGACAGTTTTACTGAATATCCAGAAGAAAGGGAAACAGACTCATCAGAAGTAATTTCTGGCAAGTCTATATTCACCACAATGCGCTCCATAGGTGTTACAAATCTACAAAGCCTCGGTAGGTTTTTCAAAATTCTTCCCAAAATTTGTTTGTGATTATTTCATATGTTGTTTTCCCTTGTGCATTAGGACTGGGGAGTACGCTTACAACCGTAGCGCAAACCAAAATATTTTATTACACCGTTGTAATCTTTTTAAATTAATTCCCTACAATTCTTACAGCAGTCGTGCAAAAGAACCTTCAATCAACAAAACTCAAAATGCCTCATTCACGTATGAACTATCTAAGCAAAATGTGGAAATTTGGTGATGACAAAATTTCCCATCTGTTTTGCATTTCTAACAAGGCCTTGTCCCATCGTTTTCACTTTTTAGTCACTTATACACTTATTCTTTACTTCTTAATGTTTACTTTCTGGTAGCATAACCATTCCGTATGAAACAGTACCATTGGTAAAAACTTTCCGCCTAGGCTATAAATCATACTGTCTCTGTGTACTTGTTGGTGTATAACTTTGTCAGATAGCTAATCAAGAAACAAAAATGTATTTTTTTCTTTATTTCTTGTGTTCCATATCATTGAACGAAAGAAATAGAAGCATAAGTCTGTTGTAATAAATTCACTTTCAAAACGACTTTAGGGCGTTGGGTCGCAATCTGACAAGTGATATAAACTCGAATACACAGTTTTAGAAATAGTGGCTTCTTAGAAGTTATCCATACTTTTCCATACCTGTTAGTTCAAGGGATATGCTTTGATAAGAACACAGGATTTTCATGTCTGTTGGGTATATCACGGACAGTGTTGAATTTCTTCTTCATTAACTGAATTAACTGAAAATGTTTAACTTTAAAAATTGGTCAGCAAGGAACTCTGGACCTAGATTTTATGATTGGTGGCTCTCGTCAACAGGATGTGTCTACAACCGTGATGAGAAAGGTGTTTCCTCAACGATCACAATGTGTGTCACTCAGCTCTGAAGTTACAGGCGTAACTAGTTCCCTATCTACGCCAAAACTGACTTCCTGTACAGTTAGGTCAGATTCATGAATTGGTCACCAGCGGGTAACCAAAATAGCTATACCTTTCAGAATTTTTAAGTCACTTTATAATATATTTACAATTATTCAGTAGTAAGTGATTGTTAAAAAGCAGCTGTTAGCCTTGGAATAATCTGTAAATGAAAATGCATTACCAGGAATAAATACTTGGTATATGTATTAAAATTTATTCCGTTGCAGGTCATTGTTGAAATCACATCAACCAGTAACTAGTAAAGTACCTTTCAGACAAAACTGCTACAGAATTTATTCACTTAGTCATTAATCTTTAAAGTAATGAATAGTAAATTTGTGTGTAGCATTTCATTTTTTCTTCAGACTGACACTTATTAAAACAAATCATATAGATAGATTGAGATTGCCATATGAATATTCACATTTCCTATCACATTTTATTGAATTTAGACAAATTCCAGGGATATTCGGCTCAACTTCTACAGCAATTACGTAAGATGACTTGAGTGATTTACTTTAATTATTCATTTCAATAATACACCGACGTAAATGAACTAAAAGCAGCTTACTCTTGAAACCCACTGTCTTACTTAAGTACTACATTTTTCGTCTGGAAATGCTAAGGTATCATGATAAATATCACTTTCAGTGCAACACAGATTAATTTCCCCAAGAATCTCGGATCCTTTGATGGGAATATAAAACATGAAACTGAAACGTTTGCCAATTAAAATCCTAGCTCAGATAATACTCGATTTAAGCTTATACACCCTTAGCTATGAATATTCTCCACAACTTCTACAATTACGTCTATCACGATTCACTACAGAAATACGTACATATATACACAGACAATAGATGTACACGTGTATGTAGATGCAAAACACAAGTTGAGGGTAATATTGAAGTATAGCAAAATGGAAATAAACAGATTTTGTTTAGTCCATTGTAGGTGAGAAAAGACTTAAAGAATGTTCATATTATAGATGAAGATTGAAATGATTAACAGGTGCACCTGAATAAAAGCTTCATTTTGTGCTTTATATGTGTATAGTTTTGCATTAGGTCATAGCGTATATGTTCAAAAACAGAAAAATATGCTGACAAGTTGTACCGAGATTTGTGAATTTATTAAATCCTATTTTTATTTCGAAAAGGAAGATGGTGAAGTGAATGGTTGAATTTTGTAGCATCAATGCGGCCAAATAATCACACAAGGAAAGTCAAAATAGGAAAAGGGAAGGTGAGATTGGTATGGCATTTATTAAGTAAAAAGAGACATCACAGTTACTAGAAAGCTTTCTAAACAGTTGATGCAATGCTTTTATCACCAACCACTACTGTGTTAAAACTCGATAGAGAATAAGGACTGACTATATGAAAAAGACCTTATATGAAAAAGGCCTTTTCGTAAGAAGAATTCTGTATAGGGGAATAAATTAAACAGTTACATGTAAAGGAGGACGGGTAATTCCTATGAACGAATTTCTTAAAGCTAAACAGATGTAAGATAAAAACGCAAATATCTGAATGATAAAATCACACTTCACGAAGTGCGAAGAATAATTTCGAAGAAACTGAAGTTGTGTAACAAGATTTTGTGTTACACACCAATATCTAGACAAATCATGACAGTTTAATGAAAAAAGCAATTAATATAGTTAACTCTCACCTATCAGTTTGGGATAATGCGTCGAAGGGAGAATATACTCAATAATTAATTTCAGATTTTGTTCTTATTAAATTTACCATTTATAAAATGAGTTTTGAATTTATTCAACGAATCCTCCTTATTGTGCTAAGCAAACTTCCGAAACATACTCAATAATATTCCTAATGATTCATATATATACATATATATTAATAGATTAATTGCGACGGGTTAACTAGTACACTAGTTATCACCTTATGTTGAGCACGGCCGAGAAAAACAGTGTCCTCCAGGATCATGAGAGCAAGATGGATTGAACTAAAAATGAAGGAAAGTCACAATCATACAATGCTATACTACGTAATTACAAATAACGCAGATGAAGAGAAGAAAGAGGAATTTTACAGACAACTGCAATCAGTACTGGACAAGACCATACCACAGTTGGCGACATCTAAATTCTAATGGGTGATGTGACATGAGTGCCAAACTAGTGGTGGACAAGACAGGAAGAGAACCAATCATGTGTCGAGAAGCCCTTGATGAAATGAATGAGAATAGAGAAGTTTGTAGATTTCTGCGCATTTAATGAGTTGCTGGTTGCAGGTAGTGTGTACAAACACAAGGATATTCACAAGGCAGAAACATGGACCTGACTTCACCAGATGGACACACCAAAAATCAGATCGACCTCATCTCAATCTCAATAGCGTGGAGACGCAGCCTACTGGACACAAACAAGATGAAGAAGGGGAGCAGATGTAAGTACACACCACTCACTATCTAGTGCAAGGAACCGCCAAATCAAGCTGAAAACCTCCAAAGAAGCTGGTGATGATACACCACAGTTCGAGTTCAACACCCAGAACAGAAGCTGAACTGAAGGACGAAACTTCAAAGGACACCTTCACATCAGTCAGGCATCAGGACAAAATGGGAGACATTGAGCAACATCCTTGAAGAAACCTGTGTGGAAGAACACTGGAACACTTTGAAAGCTATGTGGAAGGAAACCTGCATAACCGTGTAAGGAAAGAAGAAGAAGAAGAAGAAAGAAGACAAGGAATGAGCCTCCACGGACACATGGAGGCTGATAGAGCAGGGAGAGGAGGATGGTGAGGCAGAAGATGAAGGAGTGTAGTACAGTACAGTACAGTACAGTACAGTACAGTGCAGTGCAGTGCAGTGCAGTGCAGTGCAGGGATGAACAACGAAAAGAGGAAGTGAGTACAACCCATAAAACACTACACTGGACAAAGAAGTGAAGAAGAGTGCACGCAAAGACAAAAGACACTTCTACGATACATTGATAAGCGAAACAGAACAGGCTGCTGGTATGAGTGATGGAGACCTGACAACATTATATCAGATGACCGGGTTATTATTTGGGAAGAGATGAATTCAGATGAAACCAATGAGAGATGGTGAAGGGAACTTAGTTACCGCCAAAGAGGAGAAACAACGGAAACGATGGGCTGACTGACCACTTCAGAAAACTCTTGAATCAACCACCACCTGCAACTCGTTCAGAAATGCCATCAGCAGGCCAGCCACAGAACTACCAGTGAACACAAACCCTCCGACAAAAGCAGAAGTAAAATCCTCAACGCCATGCCATTATGCTACTGAGAACTGGGAAAGCAGCGGGACCAGATGGAATTCCTCTAGAAGCACTGAAAACAGACACAGAGACGTCAGCGGACATGCTCACACCACTATTGCATAAGGTTTGGAAGGAAGGAAGGGAAGGTACTCGGCCATTGATTTGAAGAAGGACAACCTTGTCCAACTCCCAAACAAGGGTAGGCGACCTGAGTCTTTACAACAACAAGATCTAGGGCGGAATCATGCTCCATCGCTGTCCACCCCAAGTAAAATATTAAGCCACATCATCCTGGAGAGGCTGAACAATGCACTGGATTCAAAATATCCGTCGGAGCGGGCAGACTTGCTGGCTCTCTCTCTCTCTCTCTCTCTCTCTCTATATATATATATATATATATATATATATATATATATATATAGGACTGAGTGACAGAATAATACGAATTTCGATAACGTGACTAAGTCAATGCAGCACTTGAGCTGTTTTCCCTCAGAACCTTTTACTTGACTCGGCTGTGACACTCAGTATGTAAAGCCCGGCTTGTTTGTGAGGATGATTCCTTATTTGATAAAAATACATCATTTATGTATTTTCCATCTACATGTAAAGCCATAAGATCAGAAGATGGATGCTTATTCGCATTGTTCAGCTGTGGGACACAGTAGAAAGCTTTAGTCTTTGAGGATAATGGCTCAGAAGGTTAATTTTTTATCTACGCCGGTTCTTATCATATATATGATGTTCTTAACCCCAAACATTTTCCACCTCATGAAACTGCTTTGGTTCAGTGGCTTAAGATCGCGTACTGATATTCATGCTACCCAGTAGAATATATTCAGTTTTAAAATATGTCAGTTAACCGATTTTTTGAAAAAACTTGATTTCTTACAACTTTAGGCAGATAATTTTTAAGCTTCGGATTTGTACGAAACACAAAATCACAGTTTAGAACGGCATGAAACCAGTCCATGACATACTAAACATTAAACCATCCATTAATTAAATCCTGCTTGTTAAATCAACTAGTGTACATCGCGGTTGTCATACATTTATAATCCAAAACTGAAATGAACAACATTTACCCATCAGCAAATATGTTACCAAATGCGGTAAGCTAGAGAAAAATGTACCGCAGTTAGCATTTCATGTGCTAATTTACCTAAATCACAAAGATCAAAATTATTTACCCCTAAAACAAACGTAAAGAACTTGGTATACATCCATTCGTGTGAGTAGAAACGTTAGAGACTCAATAACAGTCAAAAGACTAACAGAATGCGTTTCATCTCCTATTAAATGCTTTACGGGCAGCCAAAGAAAAGCAGACGACATTCTATGTCACGTTTCATTAACATACTCACGTTACACTTTAGGACATGATGGACTGAAGAAGGGTGTTGAGTCCAAATGAGTCAGTGATTTTGTCTATGTGAAAAATAGTATGTCTGTTCGGTTCACAGCTAACCAAAGGCTACTCCTACCTTTATGTTTCCCATAAAATCAAGTAGCTCACTCTTCGAAAGCTTAAACAAAATAAACAATCGTACTAAAAATAAATTCACGACTATTCTAGTATGTTCACCTAGACATCTTTGCATGATTTTAACTAGCTCTACCGAGAATCACTAAGAATAGTTGATATCTACGCTAAAAAAGCAGCCAGAAAACACGCGAAACAAGGAGTAGCTTTAAGTTTTATACAGTGATCTGTTAGTCTCTCTATTCTCCTACTTTTTAGACTGCTTGAAAAGTCATATACACACCAGTAGATAACAATTCTAAATGGTATAAGTAACAGTATGGCGTCAAACAGAAATCATTCTGCCCATACTCGATTAGTGCTGGGGTGAGTTGAGGTCAGTTTGCTTGTAGACTTTTATCCCAAAAGACTGTTAGCCTCAACCAAATAAGATTTCTGCATCAACACAGCTTGTAGAACATTCATATGTATCTTTAACATGATATCAAACACCGGTTCATTACATCACTAATAGTTGTAAGTTTCAGTTATTTATTTAATTAATTTTCCTGTATTACGTGGATGATGGCCGCACTGTTTTGAGAAAATTAGCCCAATGTCGTAAATAGTTTTTCATTCACTTACATATTTTAAGGATGCGATGCACAAATAAGAGTGAACCAGTACTAACATAATCCTTCTATGAACACAATTACTCAAATGCATCAAACTTCACCCTTAGCGGATGCTGACTTTCTCACTTTTCTTAGTCGAAATGTCGTTAGACTTAATCAAATATTTAAAAGACAAATATGTATCATAATGAAAGGAAAAAATACAGTAGAATCTCAAATTCTAAAAAAACGTCTCAGATTTCAGACTATTGTCCATACACTTCTCTTAAAATAATTATGTTGAATAGAAATTTGAAATAGTGTCAAATACATATACATATATACATGCCTTTTCACTAAGTTACATTACAGTAAACATAGTTATACCCAAAATATTTGTTTTTATGAGCACAAGTCTTGCTACTTATTCCTAAAATTTTACTTTTCTGATTTATGTTTTTAATTCACTGCAGGAGTTTCCGACACTTCACTGTCAATATCCAATCGCTCAGTTCTTTTGACAGCTTACGTTCACTTTTCTACGAAGAGTTTGTATTTAGCTAGATTTGAAGCAAAATTAACACCAATGGGGAAAAATTCAACACTAAAGTCTTGTGACAGCAAAGTCTTCAAGTTTTCAGCTTACCGAAATGTAAGGCAACCTATATTTTTTAAAACACAATTGCCAAGGTAATACCTTGATAAGGATATAAGCAATAAATTGTGCTCAATACCTTATATAGTAAATAATACTTTACGACTGTTTCTTACACCATATAGATTAATCTGTTCTGAAAGTATTTGCAGTTCTTATTCACTTTTAGGAAACGAATGCTAAAATTAAGATGACTGATATTCAACCCATGCAGCAAACCGAAAAAATCCAATACTTTCCGATTCAAGTATCTGTTCCACAGTTCGTAGCGTCACTCTACTTTGTATATGTGAGAATCAGGAGCACATTATTTGTTGATATATGTTATTTGGAGTACTTGCTGGTGGATACAGCAAATTCCAATAAAACAAGAAATGTAAGTATACTAAAGCATTTTTTTGACGCCTGTTGTTTAACTTGTCAAAAAAATGTAGTTTTTCCCCTTAAAGCAAAGGCAGCTTCTATTCATACACATAGGTGCATTCGAGTATGTAAATCTTTTTCGTTGTTTCTTATATGAACACCCATAAAACGCTGGTGATTAGTTCTTAGCCATGTAGCAGCAGTGGTTAGTATTAGAATCCAAGGCACGTGGTTCGTATCACTTAGAACTCATCAACTGAACTTAAGTGGATTCAGTCAATTCTTCACCTCCCCTACTGACAGAGTCTCACGAACATACATCCAAATGATGGGTCCTGAATAAGACGATTTGTGTGTCATGAATCGCATTGCTAACATTATGGGGTGAACAACCATTTTCTGGGATGCTGAAATCTTAAAACTTGGTTATAACTTTAATTTAGCTTTTAGGTTTTAGCATGATTTTCTAAACTCAGTGACCACTACAGCCATGTTGGTTCGTTCATAAATGGATTAGTTCTCTAGAATTTTCAAGTGAAGATGAGTGTGGACATCAGTGAGCGATGTCATTAACAACACAGAAAGTGACTTAAAACTTTATTTGCAAAAAACATCTGGTGTATAACTGACAGAAACAACTTTAAATTGTGAACTTTTAATCACGAATGAACAACCTTATGCAGAGTGATGAAACATTTATTTGGCATCCCCTCCCTGATTCAACATGAAGATATGAAAAGTGTGGTTAATATTCTGCACAACACAAGAAGACATATAATCAACACGACTGGTAGTATCTATAATTTTGATTACTTTAACCTAGATTAGAAAAATTTATAAATGGAACTGTTTGAGAATTTCTCCATAAAAAGTCTTATTATTTCACAACTGCATTACTAAGATTTGTACTTGAAGTATTGACTAGATAATGATTCAGGTGAAAGCTTTATGATGATTTGTGCACAAAGTACAAATATACTTCCAGTCTCTAAACTGAAAGTGAGCGGAGTCACTCGAAAACTGCCCATAGTACCTCTGTTACTGATTGGTCTGAGGCTTTTGATAGAAAGCTCTAAAACCTAGGTTTTCTGCTTTTGGTACTTGTCAACATGGTGCAAGGGAAACCCTGGGGGGACTGATGTCCACTAAGAGAGACAATCAGAAACAAATCTTTACAATAAAAGAAAGCATGATGAATCTGCATTTCAAAATAAAAATATTATAGTGTTATATTACATTTCAGTGCTATATTATAGTATTGTATTATTATACCAATATAATGTTGCAAGATATATCATAATGCGAGACGTTACAAAATTATAAACAATATAGAATGTAAGCCGGAAGGTCACAGATCAATTATCTTAGAGCTGTGAATTAATTTCCCATTGAATGTACAGACTACTAAGACTATGATAAAATGCATAACTCTTGATGTGACAGACAGAAAAAGAAATTGAAAACAATTGTATTGAACTTTAGACATCACAGCCACCAAGGTCTTTTATTGCGTCTTAGTTACAATGGAAAGCTTAAACAGAAAAGCTTATTTAGAACAGTACATTTAGAAAACAAGTAAACCATTCGAAACTCAGAATTTCACACCTGGTCATCAATAATCCATACAGGTCTTTGACCCACTAAGAATTTTTAAGAGTCATATAAAAGAAGTTAGGTGACTTTGTGCAACAAGTAATTATTGAGGTAGGCTGGTACTTATGACAGGACGTTGCATATTTCTATTAGGAAGCATAATGCATACAGTCACTTCTAAATTTTTTACTGATAAGCGTTTTAGATCAAGACGTACTGCATTTTTATGGATATAATCTTTATACAAGTGCTTTTACACCATATTGCTTGTCTTCATTAATGGCTTTATTTCAAATAAATTTATCCTATACCTTTTATGTTGATAATTTTTAGACTTCCATTTGCAGTTGCTACCCTCTTTATATGACTTTAAATTTAATTTATATTTTACAGATAAGACTTATTTCAGAATTCGACACAAATACTGCAGTTTGGCGCAGACCGTTCTCAATTACACCAATCGGTATTTATGCTAATGAAAAGACACCATCCAGTCTTGTGTACAATTTTAGACTTGGAATTAAATTAAGCTACGATAGCAGTGCATTTGTGGGTAATCTTATTTCTTTATGGTATTATATGGCATCACCTTCATGGATTACGAATGACGTAACCACTACCATTCCAATAGGCTCTATGGTGAAACCGACATCTACTGCACCAGTAAGTGTAGTTGTCGTTTACATTTCCTGACACATTTAATGAATTTGGTAGTTAAATGAATCCTCTTTATGCAGACGAATGTAAACTTGAAGATTTTAAATTGCTTTTCATACATTATCGATGCAGCAATTTATCTCTACACTTGACTGAGTCTAATAAATGCACGTAAGAGAAGACCAAGTAATGGATTTATTTTTCGTGAAAAGCAAGCAGAACGTCTTTGAAATGAGATCATGTACACTTTCACTAAGTTTGACCTTAGACATCAGACAACCTACAGATGTAGAGTCCCCAGATTAGTTGTTGGAGTATAAACTTGTTATGATGTTCGCAGACCATTCAATTTGAATTTTTTATTTTTACTGATTTATATCAGGATTTAAACTTTGAAAATACTTTATTATTGCACTAGCTTGTCAGAGATGTAAAAATAACGTTAGGATCACTAAGTCAAGATATGGACTCCTCAACAGTTACTATATCCTCATTGCATTTGTGGTTTAAAATTTAAAGTAAACTGATAGTTATGAAAACGTCTCATCAGAGCAAAAAAATGACTAGTGGCTCCGATAAGAGGCTATTTTCACCGATTACATTCTCCAAGTTGTATGCTCTCAACTCTAATGCAATTTTACTCAGTCAACACGCCCATTATTTTCTTTTATTGATAACTAAAATAATTTGTCCTGTTTAGAGAAGACGGTAACGACGACGGATAAGTTGTCGTAAGTCAAAGATAATGAAAGCTTTTAAGGGTACCTAGCAAATAGGAAGTATTGAGTTTCCTAAAATTTCTGAACAATCCAAGTGCATCGCTTTATTTTGTCTTGTTTTGATCTGATCAACGTAATGAATTATCACTTCACCATCGCCGAATAAAGAGTAACTATTTAAGCTTATTCTAGTAATGAATTAACAGTACAGTGACAGGTTGATTTTTTCCGTAAGTTTTATTCTTGAAAAAAATGCATCAAACCAGATTTTTCGCAAGTAAATCACATTCAGAATTCTTTTATGCTGTTAAAATTTTCAAAAGTTAGTTAAAATGTTTACTGATGAAAGACTTTGAATAGTGACGTACTGTAATTGAAGCATATAAGTTCCACATTGGCATGGACGCATACACTTTCTGAATGTTTCATGATTCGAATATTCTTAGTAATCTTTTAGATGAGACATGTGACTGATACGCGTACCGATATATACAAGGTTTAAGGGGGATATAGCATAACCTATAAATCTGTTATCTCGACTGCTGAAGGTGAACAAATACACCTGATAAATCTAAATTAATTAGCCAAATTGAAATAGTGAAAATTTTTTGCCATGGAGTGACTTTCTGAATAATCACTTAATCAATCCTCATAGAGCCTGTCAACGAAAAACACTGAAATAAACAGTAATATACGAGAAAACAAAAGAAAGTAATAAGCAATGGAAAAAAAATGCTGTGTAGAATTTTTTAATTACCTAGTTAAATTAGAAAATGTAAGATGGTGTATATGTTTATTATTGAGGTTACAAGAGTCTTAGATTTAATGTTGACCACTTACTAAGACGTAATTTCAGTTGTTTTGAATAAAATTTTTATTGGAATAACAAAAGTAGATGCTCCGCAGCATATTTCAAGTCGACATGTGTTGTTTGTTCAATTATAGCTTAGTTCAGCAAAGTTAAACTTGTAGCTTTAGTTGATCATACGGAGGTTATAAGCAATTCACAGCCTTTTCTTTCCATGTAAATCTGAATTCACAAGCAATCCTAAAAATACTAACCTATTTCAAGCAGCTACCTTTGTTAACTGCCCGTTTTAAATCTTAGACACTTTCTAGAATGATCTAAATATTAATAATTTGCATGAAAAATTTCAACAGATGTAGTTTAGTTGATTTTGTTTGTTAATATTAACTATGAGTAATGGAACTGTCTGATTTTCAACTGAACTTGCTTATTCTTTTTTTATTTCCAAAAAGATCTCTAAATATCCTACGCTTACCATCAGAAAAATAGAACCACGTAATTCAGGTCCAATGGTGAACTTTCTAACTATTATACAAGTTCATGTAAGATTGGTAGAAGACTTTGTTTATTATGGAATAAGGGCACAAATAAATATAACTGGAGGAAAACTAGTCAGTCAAGCCATTAAGAAAATAGGATATCGCTTAGAAACTCTGGCACCTGTGTCTTACAGTAGTTCTCTTGCGAAGTAAGTTATGAGGTTTGTCAATGTACGCAATCATCTTGTTGCATATGGATGTACAATTTCCGTCTATTTTCCTTTAGCCGATTATAAAAGCAGAAATCGAGTAATTCTGCACAGATATTGACCGTTTGACGATTCCGAACATACATCAAGTAGCAGTGATGTGAGAGAGAACACAATTTAGTTTTTAAGGGAAAAGATTGCAAATGTAAATGGTTCTCTGTTTATATGATACACACTCCACCACTTCAAAATGCATACTTAGTGTTTGTTATAAATTATGTACAGAAGTGTACAAAATCAAATTGATCAAACCTACATGTTTCATCGGTGAGCGTTATTTGATCAGTGCTTTCGGTCAGTACTGGGCATCACGAGACAAAATTAGACATGACATGGTGATATACTTCTATTTTAACATTGGGTGAAATGTCTTAGTAATCATGCAAATGACTGGTTTAATCTGTAGTAAAATGCTTTGTAAATGAAACACATTTATTGAGGGTAATGAGAACACGTGGATTACAACCTAATAATAGATTAGCTATTTATTGTGCTGAGTTCAAACAAACTATTCCCAACATTATCTGACTTGAAAGATATTGTCTGTCACTTGATGATTGAGATACTACTTTGTAGCATCGAGTTATAAATCACCTTAATGCATGAAAGCCTTTTCTCTATGTAGACACACCACCCGCTTCTCAACAATTTGTAATATTCAGTCTTAAACATTTACATCTATTTTTCTCGACAGAAGTCAGTTTCTGATGATAATTTTGTACGAAATACGCAGTTTATCAACTTCTGAAAAAATACTCCGAGTTTGACCAATTTTCTCAAAAAATTCGACATTTACATCACATTTTGATTTTAACTAACTTTTTTAGCCATTCCTATTAAAAGAATCGGACAAACGATAGATATCAAACGATTTCGTGCCTTTTTGTTAACTTTTAACAATAAAATACATTCAACAAACTGCGGAGGAAGTTATTTGATAATATGGTCAAATGCAGCAAGAGATTTTACTTTTGAAGATCATCAAAAGAATAGTCATTAAAATAATGTAGTGTGGAATACTGATTTTAGAGAAACCATTTACAGTTGTGATATTAATTGTTTCAAATTTTTACTTCCTCTCTTTCTAAAACCAAGTGATTAGTATTGAGTTACTGGGACAACTGGCTGTAGATCATTGCATATTAATTACCATATCTTACTGAATTCACCAACAACTACAGTGCACTTTCAACTACACTTACTACCTTCATATAATTTAAGCATACATCCTCTAAATAACTGGATTATTATTACTCTAACATAAAACAGAACCCACAAATATAAAAGGCACCAAATGTCTCGAAGAAAGCTCTCAGCATGAATCTGGAGTTCAAAGGTAAAATTGCAGCTGTAATCCTCAAAAATCGCTTCTGTCTATTTTTGAGGAAAATATTTTACGCAGCTAGCCTGAGAATCACATTTTCCAGTAGACAATTAAGGACAGACTACCGCATCTGGCTACCTTCGCCTGCATCTATCAGTTTACTTATCCCAGTAGAGAGATGTATACTGGCCATAAAAAGCATCAAGTTCGAAACTGTATTTGGAAAGGAAAAAAATATCAGCAACTTTCTTTAATGCTTTGTCATCCCCTCCTAGCAGTTTCTTCGAAGTAATTTACAAAGTGCCTCCCTAAAATTCCAAAGGCTTTCGATTGCAGCATATATGCACAGCAAAATCATTGCCAACTCTCAACCCTAAACTTGCAGTTGTGTTTAGAGACATTACGTGCACTCATTGGCCTTATCACAGCCAAAGAAGTAATTTTTTCTGTCCTTGGGATATTTTAATTCTACTCTTGGACATTATGTTAATCACTCGTCCCTAGTGACTTAACAAAAGACTGTTTCCAATATTTTCAGACGAAACTGAGTAGGCTTAGTAAAGGACATCATGGTAAAGGTGACTATGTTTTCTGTTACATCTTCATTTTATTGCTAATGATTTACAGTTCAATTCCAATGAAAGGCATCTTAATACCAACACTTAGCAAAGGATGATATTATGAAGAGGTAGATTTGTAAGCAAAATAATAATATGAAATAATACAGTTGACGCTGCCCAGACAACAAACTGATTTTACTGCTGAATTGCTGAAAAAATATTTCATTAGTGTGCATTACAGTAATCAACAGTTGATCTTTCTAATTGTCATAAGTACAGTACACACTGTTAGATAGATAAGCTGCCCCAAAAGGGTTTTCCCTTATAAATTATCATATCTTCCACATGATCATAAGTTTATAGATTATCTTATACATACATGATGTATCAGTGCACAAAAACAAGCTAGCAAAATGTAATCAGTTTGGGAAATAGCAAACTTACTGAAAAGCAAAATCAAAATTCATGTTTATTGGCATGTTTTTCAGAGGATTTCTGTAACATGGCGTGTGGTGAATATAAGAGTAAATTTAGGTCAGAATGGTAGTCTTATTCTACAGTACATAAGTTTATTTGATACCGCAACTAATACAGTACTATTTACTGCTTGACGTTCTGAGCACAAACTAAAGCGTTTAAAGAATCTGTTACTTTGCCGTATTAAAAAGCATGTCAGAAGCCCTGCATAAGATTCTCAGTAAGACTAAAATTAGGGTAGCACTTCAATTTCCAAATTTACTGAGAAAAACCTTTCTCAACTTAATGACTCTCTTGACTTGTTGAGATAAAGCAGTTTATCTCATTCACTGCCATGTAATGACTGTGGGGATAATTACATAGATCAAACTAGCCTATCATGATAAATCAGGTTGATAGGGCATAAGAACTTAGGTAAATGTAGAAAGATGTTCCCAACCAAGATAATAAGCCTAGCAAGAACCTAGTCGTTACTATAAATGCATAAAAACGATTAGAAAGAATGTACTGGGAAAAAGCAACAGTCCTAAAGATACAAACTTAAGTAGAGGAGGTGGTTGACAGTTGAATCTCTGACCATCGAATCAGCAATAAAGAAGTGGAACAGAAATGACTCAACATCCATCTCAAATATTTGGAGGATTCTTCTACCATTAGAATCAAAGAGTGGAAAATAGTAGAGCTGTATGGACCAAACAAAAAAGCCACGCGATTACCCTAGTTTGATTATGAGCAATAAGTTGTAATCAAAGCTTCATTCAAAAATAATATCATATGAATGTATGCTGTTTAAAAAAGCTTATTCAGAAAGCGTACATTTCAGCAACTAGTAATGCACCCATTATGTATCTGGTAGACAATGGCCTATGTGGCTGCGATTATCTCAATAATAGCAAGGCTGTTTTAGCTTTATGATTTATGAATGAAATATCTTGTAGAAATTCCTTCACAAACTGAGTCAAAATCAAATGACCTCACAAAGTGAACAGTTATTCACCTCGAATTCCTTTGATATAGCATTCCCTATTTTTTAAATCATCAAATAAATAGTGATGAGTGCACAACGATGCTTAGAACTTCCATTTTTCCCTAAATAACATTTTAAGCTTCTGAATATGCGGAAGTTTTGAAATGAAGTATTGCACTATTCTACTAAATCTTCTTTAGCCATTTTAAATGCTTTATATATATATATATATATATATATATATATATATATATATATGTCGATTCCAAATTGTAACATCTATTAGTATCATTTGATTCCCTTCAAAACAAAATATTTTCAGAGATTTTACATTTCTTGTTTTAAGACTGAAAATAGTGAATCCTGACTACCTTTCTAATTATTTGAAAAAGGAAATTGGATACTGAACTCTTCAGTTACTCAAATGAAACAGTATTATAAATTTTATGTAACTGGTAGTATTTTTTCTTATCTCTGTTCCCTTTTTCTCCCACCCTTATTTTCACAGTGACAGTGCATTTTTAACACTAACTTCAGCGCACTCGAATCAATCATGTGCTGATGGTGGTTGTGATTTAGCAGTGCATTATTTAATAACGCCAACCACCACTGCACCGTTTACAATTATTTCAACGTTTTACTTCGGTGTGAACAGGATTCAAAAGAATTTGACTATCATCCCTCAACCCTACAATCTTGGTGCTGAACCGGTATGCAGTGAAATAAATTTTGAATACACAATGTTAAATATAATTTATTACAGCACTTATTATTGTCGTGTTTGGGAGATAAAATCGCAATTATGTTTTGACCATAGACATTGTCGCTTCAAATAAAGAAAAATCAGTTTTGCGTATATATACGGTGCGATTATCTAATGAAACTGTCTTTTGTAAAAAATTACAAAATTATCATTTTTCTAAAATGTATCTTAGAGTTATTTTGTTTTTTTTTCAAGTTGAAGTGTAGTCTTAATGAAAATAAACTGTAGAAGTACATGAAAAATATTCATAGTATGAACGAAGGATTGCGTATAACCTATGAACATAAAATCTGGATAGAACACTGTGATGGTTAAAATAGCTCTGAGATTTGATCTACATCTGGGTTTGTGCATTATTCGATGAGCTACCGGATGAATAACGTGAAGGTCACTGTCTGACACCCGTCATGGCCCAGTTTATGTTTTAAATTGATCAGTCGTATCATTAAACATTCCTACCACTTATAAGTATTGATACTTGTAAATTATGTAAACAGAATGAAAGGTGAGTGAATCATGAAAAAGAATTTGGGAAGGTAGCTGGCCAGTAATGAACTTCTGAATGCTAGTACTTTCTGCTTGTTGACATGCGTGCATAAAGAGGTCCACAAAGTATTCATGAATTAGTACAATCCAATAAACAGCATATCCAGAGAATGATTGAGTCATATCAGTATGACTCTGATTTCAGTTTCTCTGTGAATAATGACAGGCTGATTAGTGAGTCATTTGTCAGACATTGTACATGAAATTGAGTACTACGCAGGATCAGTAGTAAAAACTCTAGGGGATTTAAAATATATATCTTACTGCAATAATCCACAATAGTTGAACTGTAAACATTTCGGTCAACCTGTTAGGCGTTAGATTCATCTTTCAGTGTAAGAGTTCTCAATAGGATACCCTTTCCCGATAAGGTTATATCTAGATAAGCACTTCTAAAGCCATGAAGATGAGCCCAGTTTTTACTGTAGGGCAAGGCATCAGTTCCATCAAGGTTGCAGATGCTCCTTGTTGACGAGTACCGAAAAGCACGAAATCTTGATTCGGGGCTTCCTACTGATAGTCTCCATCTAACTATGAAAATTTTCTTATTTATGCTGTATGTACTCTACCTATTACTGTCACCCACAGCAGATAAAATATAACTTGCGTCCTACATATCCAGGTCGTTTTCACTGAAAGAAACGCTTGAAGTAGATCGTAGTTAGAAAACAGTTGGACTATGTTGCATGTTCAAATATAGTAAACGTTTTGATAACACTTTGTAAAAGGATTTTTTATGATTCGGCCAAGTGTTTATCAGTGATCGTATCTATGATCAAACTCAAAGAACTATAAATCAACACATTTTGATTACAACTCACATTTCCATATGGAAGGATAACCAGTTACGGTTGTGACTGGTATTGACTAATGATATTATTATGAGGATCAGGTAGTCCAAATAACTACTTGCTTCTAATTACGTTACAGCTTCATATGATGAAGCCTAAGTTCCTTTTTATGATAGCAGTATTATATTCTCAGTGTCAGTATTCACAAGTACACATATGAAAAATAACTATGGCTCATGTCTTCATAACTACTTTGTTCCACTTTAAGGAATCAACCATGAAATCGTAAACCTAGATACCAAGAAAACTTTGAGAACACTGATAGTAGCAGCTGCAAATAAAAATCATCACGAAAGCTCATTTCATTCATTGTCAGACGTGATAGACATGCTATTTATACTTATATTTATTTTCCCTTCAAGTCAGTAAGTCAGACTCCTGGTGTTGAACTGATTGCCCTAGAACTTCCAAAAAACCAATTTCGCTCAAATTTTGTTAATCAATTAAAGTTAACCTTCAGTATCAAGCCTTTCATAAGGCAGACAATAAATTTTCAACTGTCAACAAGTGATTTGTCCGGGAAATACACATTACTTAATCCAAGACTCGTTAAAGCAGGCTCTTTGATATCCTACACCAGTACAAAGGAAACCACTTCAGACAAAATGATTACTATTTATGTAGAAAATATTTACTATGAAGGTATGTTGGTAAATTCATATATACTGTAACAATATTTCATATCTTCATAAGTCATCCGATGAATTATTTTTGTTCGAATGATCTCCGAATAATTTTTACTATGTATTACGGATTGGAGTTAATATGAAATTAAAACTTGGACATTTTGGTAGACTGTAATTTCAGTTCATTTTATTTCTAACATATGTCACACAGTGAAACAGTATCATTTGCTGGAAAATTGGAAAACATGTTTTGAAGTTGTGAATCTACTTGATATGAATATAGACAACAAATTATCTTCAAGAGTTATTCAGTGAACAACACTTTTTTACTGTGTAACATATATAAATAACAAACTGAAATAAAATGGATTACAACTAGTGGGAACAACATCACTCACTGGGAGGCAGGCACACCCAGCTGACGAGTCCCAAATAGGACGGGATGTGCATCCTGGATTCCACTGCTAGCCACTATCCGTCATTACTACGGATTTCAATCGCCTATAACGATAATCATCCTACTTTCTCCATTGCAAATGCAAATGCAAGTTCATACATCTTTGAAAACAGCACTCATTTTAAATGAGTTCAATCGTATAACACTACTTACCTCATCGCTCCATGATTTCTTTAGGTAACACACTGTAATTGGTATTTTATCAACTGTAAGTGGCGTGATTCCATCTGGGATATGTACCTGGAAGTTAAAGAATAAATAATACCGTGTGATTCCACTTAGTGGGCAACATTAACTTTTAAAATCAAGCCATGGATGGCTTATTTTTTTTCCTGTAATATAAAAGACTGATTAAATTATTTTATGCAGTGGGTCGATTTTAGGGACTGATTTCTTATTGTCCTTTAAATCATCTTAACCTTACTCAGAATTTCTGTTAGGAGTAGACTAGCCAAGTATCATCAAATAAGTTGCAGATTTTCAAACTATCCACCACCACTCATCCGTTAACATGATTCACCTCATATCAACATATCTACGTCTATAACTGGCAATTACCAAGTTTCTACATCGATATTAGTTACCCACTCTCTTGATTTCGACTGCACACATAAAAACATTGCTAATAGATTCTAGGAGAAGATGGGTTCAACAGGAGGATGTGTTTAAAACAAGACATATACCGTTAGATAACACACTAGTATTTTCTAGAAGACACTAACTTCTCTAAATTACCATACACTTGTCTAAAATTAGACCTCAGTCCTCAAGTTTACCTGTAGTTTTTATCAGCTCATGAAATTACTACTCGGTTTGAAGATATTTTTAACTCTAACTTATTCTTTGGCAGCTGACTGACACTTGAAAATATAAATGATTATAGAAAAGTATTTTATATAAGAATGATGAGGTTACTTTTTCTAGTGAAGACTTAATTACGTTAGAAATAATATTTGCTTGCATCCTCCATCTGACCACGAAAGACCGATTCACATTCGAATGTTGACCGCTTCAAGAATAAAACACCAGTTTTAGATCTCATTTTGAATGCAACCAGATACTGGATAGTTACATCTTACAGCGTTCACTTGATTAAGTACTAGGTAGTATTCGTGAATATCTCTATGCACGAAACATGACTGAATTTGAAGTGATCAAACACAAAATATCCGTGGATATCAAGAGTTCATTCTAACCACCAAACTAGCACAAATTATGTGATAGTTTTTCTCAAAATACAGTTAAACATTATTTATTTATGTAATTTGTAATTCATCTTCCCACGTTTTTCATTTGACCAGGTTCGGAAACCGATTTAGTATTATCATCTGCAAATGAAATCATATACTTTGTGCCTATGTACGTTAACAAGGGTTACTCATCTGTGCTAAATTTAACTTATAAAATGAACATTCGGTTAACATCCGTTTCCGGCAACTTTACATTTTATGCTGGCGCTCCTTCAGTAAGTTAGACATGATAATCTTTTCCCCAGCCATAAAGTTTTCAGAAGACATATTTCCTTTGAATTACTCAAAGTGTTTGATACAGTCAACATTTTCTATGTTTTTTATGAAAGTTAAATTATCACTTTAATACGTAAACACCCCACATATCCTGTTTCATTAAGAGTGCTTGGAATAAAACAGGTGGTTCAACTGTGAGTTATGTCACACTGAAACCACTGACTAACCATGTGTAAGTTATAAACATCCAGGACATAGTTGTTACGAATGTCCTCAAAAGAAGTTGCGCACCGAGTCAGATTTCATCACTATCTAAATTTTAATATCCCAGGGTGTAAGCTATTTCATGATATTCCTGTTTATAAAGAAACGATATGCCTACAGACCTTGAAAGTACAATTCATTCAAGTTTCATTCTGCAGATATCAGTAGGCTGTTTTCAAAAGTTGGAGTAACACAGCATTTCAAAACAAAAGCTTACAACAAGTATTTTATGTACTGATAATATCAAACTGAAAAGACTGTTTCGATGTTCATCAGATCTGTATTTAAAATATTTAGATGTGGCATAATAAGGAAAATGCATCTAATTCACTCATTATCGCATTCAGGGTGGGAAGTGATAACTGATGACGCTGGCTAATAGCCATTTCATGAATCATTTTTATTTCTATGCATTGTAAATTCGGATAATATTTATCCATTAGCAGCTAATTTTTATAACTGATGAGCAAATCATTGCATTCATCTATAAGATAAAAAAGTGCTATGCTTTGAAGATATCGTCAATACAGTGACTATATGGGAGTCGTTAAAATATTCCAGGAAGGGAACTAAATCAAAAGGGTTTGAAATCACTGATTAACAATTAACAATAAATACCGCTTACCTGATGAAATACATTTGATTATCATCGAGGAGAGAATTCATGTAAATCCCTCAAAAAAGGCTATTACCAAAGGTTAAAATAATGTGTTTCAGTTTCCAAAAACTTAGTTTCTTTCCAACTAATTGAGTTTTATTAAAAAAACTTCATAAAAAGTACCGGGAAATGGAAAAAAAAATTGTTCAGCTGAGAGACTATTTTGGTGATTTCATTGACTAAACTCTACAATCGTATTTCCTCACAAGTTTCGGTGTGTTCACTTTTTTCATTTATGAAAGCACTCAGTTAAGAACGAAGACAATCAATGTAATTCATATAAAAATTAAAATATCACTACTATCCTAAAATAACCAAAATGTTCATAAGTGCTGAAAAGTAATCAAAAAGTGAAGTTACAAGCCAAGTTAAATTGTTATGACTTGGAAATGCAGGTTGCCTAGGTTACTGAATAATGCTCAAAGTTTCCTGGAAATACGGTTAAGAGGATTAGTTTTAAATAAAAAGTCCAGTTGAAGGAAAAAACGACAAATACATTGTTATCACTGTGAGATGAGAAAAAAAGAATGGTTGAAAATGTGTAAACTAATGAGTACAACGGAAAAGTTTGAACGGGTGTACTTTGAAATGCTAACGATTAAGACCATGAAAAGAAACAGTGGTTGAAAGATACTACGTTGCATGAAAAGAACTAACTTTTCTCTTTCGGTTGATAAAATATTAGCAACAGAAATTGGGTGGATACGCAATGATTTGGTTAGTTTCTTTACACTTTGTAGAGAATATTGGAAGAGGTGATAGAATTTCCCACAATCGCTCTTCTTACAGATTAGGTTATACCTGTTCACAGTCAATCAGGATAAACAAACACATTAAAGGTGTTTCCATGGAATCACCACTTTCTCCTCTCTTTGCAGACATATTTGTGGTTGTTCGAGAAAAGATAGTCTTTCAAATACCTAGTCATACTGCGAAGACATGGTTCCGATACGTAAATAATACGTTTATAGTACTGAAATCTGAACACATCAGCAGGTTCTTGGCACATATAAACTCAGTAGTAAATCAATCCAATTTGCCTATGATTTGAAAATTGATAGGCGTGAGCTAACAATATTGGATTACAAGGTTGAACGAACACAGGACGGAAGTTTAGAGACTGATGTATGTAGAAAATCTTCCCATTCGAATTGCTACGTAGACTTCAAATCATCTCACCTCATCTTAGTTAAACGCCTAAGTGATAGGACAGGAAAGCTTACTTGTAGGCCAGAAAATCTCCGTCTCAATAATTACTCACCTAAATTTATATATGATATCATAAGAAAACTAAATAAATATTCTAGTATTACTAGTAGCGGTTGTAGTAGTAGTAGCAGTAGTAGTGGTAAAAACATAATTGTAATCAATAACAGTTCCACTACTAATAGTAATAACGGTGACAGGGTTGAGAAAGAATTCAAAGCCTCTGCCGTATTACGATACGAAGAAGGCACCTCAAAGACATTATGAAGAATTCTCAATAAGCCTGAGACTAAACTAGAATTTAAAGCGACAAACTTGCCTAGAAACAAGCTTCGTGGGTAAAATACCCTACTCATCCAGTTAGGCAGCAAAATTTGGATTACCAGATTGCTGGCAGTGATTCTGAAGTTAGATACGTAGGTCAAAGTAGTTAACCAAAGTCAGTTAGAATAACTAAACACAAAACTTAGCTAAATCAAGATTATTTATTTATTTATTTCTCCCCTGGGTCCCCAGTCGAACATAGGGACTCAGTAGTACGCCTCCATTGTACTCTCTTCTCTGCAGTCTTTGAAATCTCGCTCCACGACTGCTCAGAAGCTCTCATTTCTTCCTCACATGATCTCCTCCATGTCACCCCCTTCAGGACACCCAGCTCGTCGTTTCCTATTTGGATTCCACTCGATGGCCTGGCCTGGTGCGTGATGCCGTCAGTCGGCCTTCTCAGTGTATGCCCAATCCATCTCCACTTCCGTCTGCGTATTTGTTGAGTGAAAGGTTCTTGGTTGGTTCGTCATCAGCCAGAGTTCCTTGTTGCTTATTCTTATTCTTCTGGCCATCTGATCTTCAGCATCGAGTGAGTGTAGGGGGCAGCTGTTGATGAATGTCTGTAGTTTGTTGGAAGTGCTTTTCGTAACGCACCAAATCTCTGAACTATGAAGAAGCACTGACTTGACGTTGATATTAAAATTCTGACATTGCTCACGCTTTACCCTGAGGGCAGTAGATCTCCACACTGGTTTCAGATTAGTGGAAGCCTGTCTTGTTTCTCTGATCCTGAATTCGATGTCCTAGTCTCTGCCGCCAGTAGCTGAAAAAAGGCTGCCTTCATAGGAGAAGGAGGCTACCACCTTCAGGTATCTCCCGTTAATGGTGATTGGAGCTTCTTATTGCTGCTGTTTTCGGTTAGGTAACTTCATCACCTCCGTCATCTCTACCTTCAAATGAAGGAGGCTCCGTCCTCGCTGCCTCGTCTCTTCTGTCAACTTGTTACCTCTTGAATGTAGATCTTCAAGTGTGTCCGACATTAAACAAAATCATCGGCGAAATTCAGATCTTCCGGGGTTCTTTTCTCCGGTCCAGCCTATCCCACTCTTCTCACTCCTCAAAGATTGTTGGATAATCCAGTCGACCACAATCAGGAATATCAAACGTGATAGTGGACCGCAAACTTGTCTCACTTCTGTCCTCACTCCATAGGCATCACTGAGCTTCCCATTGTGTTGCGAATTACTTGGTATGTGGCGTCTTTATATAAGTAATGAATGAGATTCATTAAGATTTGTGGCACTAGAACCGTAGTGTTGAAGCAGCTGCCTGCCAAGTTACTTCTCAGTCGACGTTGTCGAAGCAAGGCCTTTTCAAAGTCGATGGAGTTGAGGTAAGGTAAAAAGGAGTTGACTGCCATTCTATACTCTGTTCCATGATAATGCGTAGCATAGCGTTGCAACTTGATGCGCACATGATTTGTTCTTCCTGAAGCCAGATAGCCAGCCAGCCTGTTCCCGTGGTTATTTTGAATCCAGTGCATCGTTCAGCCTCTCCAGGATGATGCGGCTCAATATTTTGCTGACTTTGGGTGGACAGGAGCTTGATTCCACGCCAGTTCTTGCAAAGACTTAGGTCGCTCTTCTTCGAGAGTTTGACAAGGTAGCCCTTCCTCCAATGGCCAGGTACCGTCTCTTCCTCCCAGACCTTCTGAAACAGTGGTGTGAGCATGTCCACTGTTGTCTCTGCGTCTGCTCTCAGTGCTTCTGGCGGAATCCCATCTGGTCCTGCTGCTTTCCCCCACTTCAGTAGCTTTATGGCGTTCAGGACTTCGACTTTTGTTGGAGGATTTATGTTCACTTGTAGTTCAGCGGCTGTAGGTGGTATTTCTGGGCGAAATGCAGGTGGTGGTCGATTCAAGAGCTTCTTGAAGTGGTCAACCCATCGTTTCCTTAAATTAAATTTCCGTCATCACCTTTTATAGGTTTCATGTGTGTTGGTCTCTTCCCTCCTGGTTATTTGGTGCAATGTTGTCAGGTCTCCATCTCTCCTACCTGCAGCCTGTTCTGCTTCACTTGCCAGTGTTTCGTAGAAGTGTCTTTTGTCTTTGCGTGCACTCTTCCTCACTTCCTTGTCCAGTGTAGTGTTTTATACATTTTACTCAGTTCCTCTTCTCGTTGTGTATCCTCGCACTGGTTTATCTTCTGCTTCACCATCCTCCTCTCCCTGCTCTATCAGCTTCCATGCATCCATTGAGATCCATTCCTTATCTTCTTTCTTCTTCCTTCCTAATACTGTTGTTCAGGTTTCTTTCCACATCTCTTTCAAAGACTTCCAGTATTCTTCCAAACAGGTTTCTTCAGGGATGTTCCTCAATATCTCCCATTTTGTCTTGATGGCTGACTGATGTGAAGTTTTCCTTTGTAGTTTCGTCCTTCAGTTTCCGAGTGTTGTGTTTGAACTGCGGTCTATCACCAGCTTCCTTAAAGGCTTTTAACTTGATTTGGAAGGTTCCTTGCACTAGATAGTGAGAAGTGTGAACCTACATCTGCTCCTCTTCTTGACTTTGTGTCAAGTAGACTGCGTCTCCACTTTCTTCACATTGAGATGAAGTCGATCTGATTTTTAGTGTGTCCTGGTGTCTCATGAAATCCATGTCGTTTTGTGGATATCCTTGTGCTTGAACACAGTGCCTTCAATCACCAAATCGTTGAATGCACAGAATTCTGCAAACAATTCTCCATTCTCATTCATCACTCCACCGAGCGCTTCTCGACCCATGGTTAGTTCTCTTCCTGTGTTGTCCGCTTCCAGTTTGGCATTCATATCACACCACCCATTAGAATTTTGATGTCACCACCTGGAATCTTGTCCAGTGCTGATCGCAGTTGTCTACAGAATTCCTCCTTCTTCTCTTCATCTGCATTATTTGTAGGTGCGTAGCATTGGCATTGTACGATTGTGACTTTCCTTCCTTTTGAGTTGAACCTTGCTGTTATGATCCTGGAGGAGATTGGTTCCCACTACATGAGAGCCTTCGATGCTGTTGGGAGGGGGACATCATGATAGCCACTCCAAAACTCAGTGTACTCGTGGTTGTCGTCTGGGTGACCGGAGAGGATTATTGGTTCTCCAGTTGACAGTTAGGAGAGACCATTTCCATTCCATCTGCTTTCACAAATTCGAAGCACTTCAATGTGATACCTTCTCATCTCGTTTGCAATCTGGCCAGCCTTGCCAGGTTCAAACACTGTGCGTACATTCCATGTCCCCACGTTTACTTTCGCTTTCATCGAGAGAGGCGAGGGCACATTGGTCAATCGGCTTCCCGAAGGCTTTGACCAACTGGTGTCCTTTCGCCTCTCCGATTCCAGCGAGGAATAATTTCGTTATTATTTTTTATATTTTGTTTGTGCTTTGAAGTTTCTTTAGCGGTTAGTTTTGTTTTACGGGGTAGGGTTGCTAGCCCTATGCCCAACCTTCCCTCTTTACCCGGGCTTAGGTCCGGCTGGTAACTAACAAACTAGTTAACGAGGCGAAGCAGATCCTTATAAGATAAAAAAATTTAGAAGTAGCTCCGCTCTAGTTCTGCACGCAATTACACATAATCAAACAATAGGGTGGGATAGAGCGAAAAGTTACTGAAAACTTAGTTGGATGGAGAGAGAGATGGATAACTTAATCTTCGTTCACCGAATCAACACCAAAGCATGCAGTAGGAATGATTTTGCACCTGTCCCAGATTTTTGGAAAATTCTACAACCCTTCTCATCACAAGGAATGCGAGAAAATTAGTAACATATAGACTGTGTCTCAAGGTTATGGATTTACTTTATATGACTGTGGACAATAAATGATATCTGAAAGGTTATTCAGTAAACGGTACTGTTTCACCCTGCGACATTTTTAATAAACAGACTAAAATTTAACTCGTTTCATTATTTCAAATTTACCAGAACAACTGATACATGTTTGGAGGATTCAATAACTCAGTAGTCTACTTTTTAATAGGCCATGAAACAATATCTATAACCTGATGCTTATTTTTCGCAACAGAAAACTAATCATTTATCTTCCAGTCACGTTGGACGCTTTTGCTACTCATAAGCTGTCAATTAGTAGGTAAATGTTCCAAGAAACCTTTCTTTGGAAAATTGATTTTCACCTCGGTTCATGAATAAAAGCGACAAACTTAATACTCCATGACATGACTCAGTATTCGTAGTGAAAATGATACTACATATGAAACTTGACTTCAAACGTGATCAGACTGCAAATATCCTGAATAGAAGGATCTCATGCTCTCCGGAGGGCACTTTCTTTGCAGTGACTGTCACAGCAATGTTGTACAGTCGCCCTTTACTAAGCAAAAACCTGAAAGACATGATCATGCAACTGGTCAGCTCTACGTGTGTATATCATTTCATCTGCTCCTGTGAACTTTGTTATATTGGTACTTAAAAGTATATCCCATTTAAAAGAGTTCAAGAACACCATTCTGAATGACTTCAAATCGATAACAACTAAGCTGAATAGTTCTGTTGTTTTAATTCGAGGCGGGAATTCTACATACACTAATGTACAACAAACTCTTAAGTGATAAGTAAATGTTTTAGAGAGTAACTTTCATCCTAGGGTGAATTAAGAGTCTTTTTGAAGTGACAATTCTAGGAACTCTGAAGGCTACTTTAGCAACTTTTGAAGTTAACAGGTTTTAGGATCACTCTAGAAATTGATATATTTGTACTTAAATTATAGGTTGTTTTTCTATCACTTACCAGTATCTTATTAAATATTAGATAAATAACTAATTTCCTGTTTCTGTTACGTAATGATCAAAAGATAACCAAATTTTTTATATGCGCTTTGGCGACCTGCAGTGTACTCTAGTACGCGCGTTTTGTCTCATTTGGAATTTGGCAGCTGGATGTACCTGCATCTCAACTAGTAACCTTTTTTTCACTGAGACTCAAGGCTTGTTCTCATGGCTTCGAATTTCAAAGCATTTTTCACTAGGTCACTGGGGCGTGACTGACATGTCTTGTGCAACGAAATTTTTGTTTAACTGTGGAATTAGTGCCCGCTATTTGTGGTAATCTCTTTATTTATTTATTGAATATTTTTATCTATATACTAATGTGTACTATATTATTAATCTACAGTGGATAGGAGGCTTGCGCTTTCTAAAATATCTGCATTGGGATATTTACTTTTATGTATGTATCAGTTTTCCTCTTTATTTAAGATTAGCAGTTTGTGTGAGCGATCATTTCTGTCTCAGAAAGTAAAAACGTATTGTATATCTGTAGACAAGTCAAACAGTGTGCTCCAAACGGAAAATATCTGAAATCTAAATGCCCTGTCGATTGACATCGGGTTAATAAAGTGCATAATACCCACTTTCGTTTTATTTATATACTTAGGCAAAGTTTTAAACGCTGTGTTTTATGTTGCTTGTCAGATTTAGATTCAACTACGCCATATAGCGTGCTTTTAAAAAGTTAAACTTCTATCCATCAAACTTAGTATTGATGGTTATGCGTACAAATACTTTTAACAATGCTGACGTAATTCTCATTGCTGTATTTGTTTATACTTGTAATTGCTTAACTGGCTACTGAACTAAGCAGCATCGACCACTATCTTGGCATATGGACTCATGGGATGATTCTCAGATATTGCCTCAAGATTCATTTTGTGCTATGCGATGATGACTAGTGGTGAAATCTAGGAAGCACATCTCCTTCCCTTTGACACGTCGGTTGAATATCCCAACATTCTAGTAAGTGATATTGTTCTCCTCGAGGCTAGAAACCGACACCATTGCTTCAAACGTCAAAGACTGATCAACTCAATGCAGTACAATGATCAAAGGAAAATTAAGAAGTCGGTAAGTAACGTCAGATAACTGATGCACAACAGAAAGCGGTAGGGAATCAGTAGCATTAGGCATCAGTTTAAAAACTCAGTGTGAATGCCATCACAAGCTGAGCTACACCCAAATCTGACTGAACGGTTTCGAAAGAAAACAAACGCTTATCTTGAATTCCACTACTAGCCATCACTGTGCAAACCACATCAAAATCAGTTTCTTACCATATACTCATAATGAATGGGAGTTCTTTGTATTGACTAGTATTGAAGAAACAGAAGACAAACACGACGGAAAGAATATGCTTCGTTTCTCTTCTGTTCCTCTCTTGATTTGCTCCAGATCTTCGCTTCATACATTCTTATCAGCAGCATCCAATGTAATATGCCTAAGTTATCCCTTGTGTTGCTCTTGGCAGAAATCTTACACATTGCCGGTAATTCCCTATGATTCCTGCCTACCTCTCAACATATACTACTTAGATCCATTATTATCAGCAATGCCCACTACAGTATCATTACGCAAATGTTTTTAATGTCCCAGTATTACAATCATGCTTCATCTACACTAAAGTTGATTCATTTGTTGCGTTGTGTGACCATAGTGTTATTTTGATGTGTTTATTGTTGACCATACTACACCAATGAAATATTTTTTACCTTTGTTAGTAAAATATTCGAATTCATTTCTTTTTAAGGAGACTTTTGAAACAACAATTTTTACCATGAACACTGTAACAACTACCAGTCCAAATGGTGCATACGGACATTTGTACACTGGACAGCCTTTCATCATTAGCTTATGTTCTTATGTAACGGACAATCGTTGTTCAGATTACACACAATGGATCCTCCAGATTTGGGACAAATATGTAATGAATATAACAAAAGTAGTTATAACAGGCCGCGGAGAGAATGTATGGTTCACAGACACCTTCAAATTGACTATCACCTATCTACAGAAGTGAGACAATAATTCATATTATTTGAAAATTATTTAAATTCTGATTTTTGAAAGTCTCGTTGATCCAAAACTCTTCCGAAATTTGAATGTATCTCATATAATGATAACCAGATTTGCATTCAAACAACGCCATCGAAATCCCAGGTCAAAAAACACAACGATAAATTTTATATCAGAGCTAATACAATCGCAAAATTACACATTTCTATTGTTGATCACCCAAAATATAACATAAAAAACAATGCAATAAACGTTCAAACACATCTCCAAAGTCCTGATTTTTAAAACATAATGCATCACTCCACTAACTTTCTGTCACAAACATAAAAAGAATAGACGCATAACCAGCTGAGCAGTTACCAGCCGGATCTAAGCCCGGGTAAAGAGGGAAGGTTGGGCATAGGGCTAGCAACCCTACCCCGTAAAACAAAACTAACCGCTAAAGAAACTTCAAAGCACAAACAAAATATAAAAAATAATAACGAAATTATTCCTCGCTGGAATCGGAGAGGCGAAAGGACACCAGTTGGTCAAAGCCTTCGGGAAGCCGATTGACCAATGTGCCCTCGCCTCTCTCGATGAAAGCGAAAGTAACGTGGGGACATGGAATGTACGCACAGTGTTTGAACCTGGCAAGGCTGGCCAGATTGCAAACGAGATGAGAAGGTATCACATTGAAGTGCTTCGAATTTGTGAAAGCAGATGGAATGGAAATGGTCTCTCCTAACTGTCAACTGGAGAACCAATAATCCTCTCCGGTCACCCAGACGACAACCACGAGTACACTGAGTTTTGGAGTGGCTATCATGATGTCCCCCTCCCAACAGCATCGAAGGCTCTCATGTAGTGGGAACCAATCTCCTCCAGGATCATAACAGCAAGGTTCAACTCAAAAGGAAGGAAAGTCACAATCGTACAATGCCAATGCTACGCACCTACAAATAATGCAGATGAAGAGAAGAAGGAGGAATTCTGTAGACAACTGCGATCAGCACTGGACAAGATTCCAGGTGGTGACATCAAAATTCTAATGGGTGGTGTGATATGAATGCCAAACTGGAAGCGGACAACACAGGAAGAGAACTAACCATGGGTCGAGAAGCGCTCGGTGGAGTGATGAATGAGAATGGAGAATTGTTTGCAGAATTCTGTGCATTCAACGATTTGGTGATTGAAGGCACTGTGTTCAAGCACAAGGATATCCACAAAACGACATGGATTTCATGAGACACCAGGACACACTAAAAATCAGATCGACTTCATCTCAATGTGAAGAAAGTGGAGACGCAGTCTACTTGACACAAAGTCAAGAAGAGGAGCAGATGTAGGTTCACACTTCTCACTATCTAGTGCAAGGAACCTTCCAAATCAAGTTAAAAGCCTTTAAGGAAGCTGGTGATAGACCGCAGTTCAAACACAACACTCGGAAACTGAAGGACGAAACTACAAAGGAAAACTTCACATCAGTCAGCCATCAAGACAAAATGGGAGATATTGAGGAACATCCCTGAAGAAACCTGTTTGGAAGAATACTGGAAGTCTTTGAAAGAGATGTGGAAAGAAACCTGAACAACAGTATTAGGAAGGAAGAAGAAAGAAGATAAGGAATGGATCTCAATGGATGCATGGAAGCTGATAGAGCAGGGAGAGGAGGATGGTGAAGCAGAAGATAAACCAGTGCGAGGATACACAACGAGAAGAGGAACTGAGTAAAATGTATAAAACACTACACTGGACAAGGAAGTGAGGAAGAGTGCACGCAAAGACAAAAGACACTTCTACGAAACACTGGCAAGTGAAGCAGAACAGGCTGCAGGTAGGAGAGATGGAGACCTGACAACATTGCACCAAATAACCAGGAGGGAAGATACCAACACACATGAAATTTTGCAATTTGCAATTTGGGTCGCACATGATTTGTAGTTCCTGAAGCCAGATAGCCAGCCAGCCTGTTCCCGTGGTTATTTTGAATCCAGTGCATTGTTCAGCCCCTCCAGGATGATGCGGCTCAATATTTTGCTGACTTTGGTTGGACAGGAGCTTGATTCCACGCCAGTTCTTGCAAAGACTTAGGTCGCTCTTCTTCGAGAGTTTGACAAGGTAGCCCTTCCTCCAATGGCCAGGTACCGTCTCTTCCTCCCAGACCTTCTGAAACAGTGGTGTGAGCATGTCCACTGTTGTCTCTGCGTCTGCTCTCAGTGCTTCTGGCGGAATCCCATCTGGTCCTGCTGCTTTCCCCCACTTCAGTAGCTTTATGGCGTTCAGGACTTCGACTTTTGTTGGAGGATTTATGTTCACTTGTAGTTCAGCGGCTGTAGGTGGTATTTCTGGGCGAAATGCAGGTGGTGGTCGATTCAAGAGCTTCTTGAAGTGGTCAACCCATCGTTTCCTTAAATTAAATTTCCGTCATCACCTTTTATAGGTTTCATGTGTGTTGGTCTCTTCCCTCCTGGTTATTTGGTGCAATGTTGTCAGGTCTCCATCTCTCCTACCTGCAGCCTGTTCTGCTTCACTTGCCAGTGTTTCGTAGAAGTGTCTTTTGTCTTTGCGTGCACTCCTCCTCACTTCCTTGTCCAGTGTAGTGTTTTATACATTTTACTCAGTTCCTCTTCTCGTTGTGTATCCTCGCACTGGTTTATCTTCTGCTTCACCATCCTCCTCTCCCTGCTCTATCAGCTTCCATGCATCCATTGAGATCCATTCCTTATCTTCTTTCTTCTTCCTTCCTAATACTGTTGTTCAGGTTTCTTTCCACATCTCTTTCAAAGACTTCCAGTGTTCTTCCAAACAGGTTTCTTCAGGGATGTTCCTCAATATCTCCCATTTTGTCTTGATGGCTGACTGATGTGAAGTTTTCCTTTGTAGTTTCGTCCTTCAGTTTCCGAGTGTTGTGTTTGAACTGCGGTCTATCACCAGCTTCCTTAAAGGCTTTTAACTTGATTTGGAAGGTTCCTTGCACTAGATAGTGAGAAGTGTGAACCTACATCTGCTCCTCTTCTTGACTTTGTGTCAAGTAGACTGCGTCTCCACTTTCTTCACATTGAGATGAAGTCGATCTGATTTTTAGTGTGTCCTGGTGTCTCATGAAATCCATGTCGTTTTGTGGATATCCTTGTGCTTGAACACAGTGCCTTCAATCACCAAATCGTTGAATGCACAGAATTCTGCAAACAATTCTCCATTCTCATTCATCACTCCACCGAGCGCTTCTCGACCCATGGTTAGTTCTCTTCCTGTGTTGTCCGCTTCCAGTTTGGCATTCATATCACACCACCCATTAGAATTTTGATGTCACCACCTGGAATCTTGTCCAGTGCTGATCGCAGTTGTCTACAGAATTCCTCCTTCTTCTCTTCATCTGCATTATTTGTAGGTGCGTAGCATTGGCATTGTACGATTGTGACTTTCCTTCCTTTTGAGTTGAACCTTGCTGTTATGATCCTGGAGGAGATTGGTTCCCACTACATGAGAGCCTTCGATGCTGTTGGGAGGGGGACATCATGATAGCCACTCCAAAACTCAGTGTACTCGTGGTTGTCGTCTGGGTGACCGGAGAGGATTATTGGTTCTCCAGTTGACAGTTAGGAGAGACCATTTCCATTCCATCTGCTTTCACAAATTCGAAGCACTTCAATGTGATACCTTCTCATCTCGTTTGCAATCTGGCCAGCCTTGCCAGGTTCAAACACTGTGCGTACATTCCATGTCCCCACGTTTACTTTCGCTTTCATCGAGAGAGGCGAGGGCACATTGGTCAATCGGCTTCCCGAAGGCTTTGACCAACTGGTGTCCTTTCGCCTCTCCGATTCCAGCGAGGAATAATTTCGTTATTATTTTTTATATTTTGTTTGTGCTTTGAAGTTTCTTTAGCGGTTAGTTTTGTTTTACGGGGTAGGGTTGCTAGCCCTATGCCCAACCTTCTCTCTTTACCCTGGCTTTGACACGGCTACTAATTTGTAAACCAGTTGACGTTGTTCGGTTTTGTTTGAATATTTTTCAATAATACAGGTTGACCGAACCTTTTTCTGAGAGGTTTATTTTATTTATCTCTGCATTTATGAAATCTACTCAAAATATATTTGCCTCCTTAAACATGATTGATCTGAAATTTTTTCGATATAATCCCGACATATGCATGCACAAAGGTTTGATTTCCGGGGTATTAGATTTTGGGATTTACGTGGAGAATTTAGAGACTTTTTCTTCAGGTTGCTTCATCTGTTTTACTTAGGAAGATAAGTACACTGTGTTTGAAATTAAATATATAAAGTTTTATAGGAATAGTGGATCTTTAATATTGTGACAGCATATTTTCATAGATGCTTCTGTCAATTAAGACATACACAGTCACAGCACTGTACTTAATGTGATGCGTTTATCATAATCACTAATGACAATCTAACGTTCGTAAGACTTTTTTTTGATAGGAATACTGGGTTAAACATATGCGAGTATGTGAGTACACGCAGTCACCTAAGGGGATGCAGTAGAGTAACAATCCTGAAAGCTGGTTTAGTTGAATTAGATGAGAGAATAAAAAGGGAATTTTTATTTATTGAATCCACTCAAAACATGTGAATGAGAAATGATTCAGTGTCTGTCCTAGCTGTCTTGAAAATTCTGCTGTCACCACACTAAAGTTTTAGAGGAAATTATTTCGATATAAACCGAATCTCAAGGTTGTAATATTACCATAATATGAAAATAAACAAACAACTGGGCAAGAAACATTAACCAGTAAGTAATGATCTTTCACCGGTAGATGCATCTGATACAGAAACCAAGATGAAACAATAGCCTCCCAGTGTCTTTATGTCGTACTCGTATTCAGCTTTTTCCCCATTTTGGACGTCTTTATTGAGTAGTCTATTTGTTTAATCACCTGCATCATCGGCATACTATCCAAAAACATAAACGTAAAAGCGATGACATTTACTAACAATCAATCTGCAGTCAGGCTCTGAATATGTGAAGTGTGTTTGCTGTATTTTGTGTCGTCTGTGGCACCCGTCCGGGTTTTATCAAGGGGTTTTAAAGATGATATTTGCCAGCTATCATGAACAACTTGAATTTGTCATTGTTAATACTACCCCTGCATTTTATAATCCAAGTCAGAAATTAAATGATTTTATTCTTTTTTCTCTAGTACGGTGAAAGTGGAATTTGGCAGACTTTGCGTCATCGCTGAGTATTTCAACACTGTAAGTTATACGCACAATCAGTGCTTAGTGTACTTATCGTTTACGGTAAATCTTCATCCTCTAATCAACTATTCGTTTTTCTATAAGAAACAAACGCATGCTGACAAAAAGCTATGTATATTTTTGCAAAAGTGACATTATACAGAGTATCATAAGCTCATAAGCTAATGTTAATCCACTTTTGGAGAATCTCTTTCAAAATTGTTTGAGTAATCAGTAGACATCGATGATATTCTCGAAATAAATTTTTCAAATGAATTCACTCGCAGTCCTAGTATGATACAATTTGAAAAAACTATCTCAGAAACTGAATTTGGCTGTAAAAACTGCGGAAAACAGATTTTTCTGGTTTATGATTTGTGTATTAAGTGATGCTATCAAACTTATTTATAACACTCCTTAGTTACTTTGAAGCTTGAAACAATTGGTCCCTTTAATAAATTTCGATAACGCTATAAGAAGACGAAGATTATCTGAAAAATGTGATGTATTTGCTCAATACATGTCGAACAATCTGATCACGCATTTACTTGTCAAGTCAATTTATATATGAAAATTAAAGGTCAAATATAGTGAAAATGAAAAGGTTGTGACACTAGTCTTGGTAATATAATCAGATAAGGATTACAAAGGTAAATTAAGTGAAACAACAAATTGTTTTGTACACAAAGCGGGGGATTAAGTTTACGAATGGCTAACGCTTCGGCGAACTTCAGTATGCGCCTCTGATTATTCCTGTATAATATCTTAAACGCTGTTTTCGTATTAACCCTGTGGTTCATTTCAGTGATATGTTTTGCTATAGATGACGATGGATGTCTGTCACCTGCACTTATCAAAGTTTGTGTGTTAAACTGTTTTTCTAGCCATTTGAGGATGTGTTCACCCAACGTAGTCTGCATTGAACGATTACTCCTCCCTATGTATGTGTGCCCACACATACATGTAAATTGGTAAACATAGTAGGATGTGATGTAATCATTTGTGCGAGGTTGAGGTTTATGGTGAAACAGGTGTTTTATCGTCTGAACAATGATAAGCTGAGCTGCATAGTATGTTTTACTGATAACACATTTTAATCTCTGCTTCAATATCATACTACTTGTTTCCCCTCTGTATGTTACTTTAAGAAATATGCTTTTCTTTGGGACCAAGGAAACTTTAGACTTTGGGGTCAGGTGTTTTTTACAATGGTTGACAAACTGTAATGGATAACCGTTTTCCATGAGAGTGTCTGTCAGCAATTTATTCTCACCATCCATTGTCTCAGATGTACAAATACGTTGGGTTCTATTGAACAAGCATCTTACCAAGCCTCTCTTATATTTCATCGGACAAAAACTATGGAAATTCAAATACTGTCCCGTCCAAGTAGGCTTCCTATATATTGATTGTCTTATAGATCCACCTTCCCTTCGGCACAAGAATATATCAAGAGATGCAAGTTGATGGTCTTTTTCTTCCTCACATGTCAGACTTATAAGATCTTGTACGGTATTAAGCTGATGATACATAAGAAAGGCTTGGTAAGATGCTTGTTCAATAGAATCCAAAGTATTTGTAATTTACCTTTGTAATCCTTATCTGATTATATTACCAAGACTAGTGTCACAACCTTTTCATTTTCACTATATTTGACCTTTAATTTTCATATATAAATTGACTTGACAAGTAAATGCGTGATCAGATTGTTCGACATGTATTGAGCAAATACATCACATTTTTCAGATAATCTTCGTCTTCTAATAGCGTTATCGAAATTTGCTTTGAACCATTTAAAGAGCTCCATGAGCAGATGGGAATTACAAAGAAATTATTGCTAAAGGTGCATATTTGTGCGTCAAAACACCGATCGGAACTCTGTTATATTTGGAAAAACTCTTCTTAAGTAGTTCTGACCTCTTTTACAAATCTTCCAAAAGAATGATCATTTTCTCCGGATTATGAATTTTTGACTATCCACATGACTGCCTGAAAAATAACGAATGAAAACTGTTATCCCAAGCAATATCACAGGAATTTTAATCGGTTTACTGGAGTAACAGTTACGATGATTCAACCCTTCGAAAAAACAAATTTTAGAACACATTAGGATTTTTCTGTTGAAAATTGGTTTCATAAAATTCCCATTGGTTGAAATTCCATCTTCCCAATAAAACCGATGCTTTAACAAACCTACCCGCCAGACATAACTTCCTCTTGAGTTCAAGTAGTCAACCTGAATGTATTTCATACTGATGATTAACTAGTCAAGCTGTGTTGACATGGATACCATTCTGAACAATTTGACAGTGATAGTAACCTCTTGTCTTTACTCACTAACTTTGTGAACTGGTTAAGTGGCACTTATTTTGATAATTTCACAAAATATATAGCTGTAATGCTGATACTGGGTTTTCTAAATCCAAATAACTTTCAGATAATTTTGTATCTGTTTCCTCTTAGCCACGTCTCATAAATTTTATATTTTGTAGATATGCATGGACTACTATACACAAATCTTTGGAGATACTAATTTTACCTCGACGCGAAATTTCAATTTTCCTTCACTATTTAACATTGGCAATCAAACAAAGAATGTGTCTTCTGGTTCCTTTTATATTCCTGTCACACCAAGTTATCCAACCTACAATGACGTGAGTACTTAGCCACGTAGCGGCTAAGGTTTTTGTGTAACTCACCAACTAAAAAGCTCATCAATCCCAGCTTTTGAAAATATAAATGAAGGCCAATAAGCTTAAGCATGACTCCATAAAGAATAGTTTATAGTAATTTACGGACAATTATGCATACTGTGTAAAGAGTTATAGACGATGCTGCCTGAGTATTTCCTTGTGGTCTAAATATTTACTAAATTTTCAACTTCGTTAGTGAATAATTGATACTTTTATATAAATTATTTGCAGTGGCACAGTATAAGTATATTTGACGACTAAATGTCATATGTTTGTTTGCATACATTTTTTCTGATACTTCTAAACTTAAGTTTATTCATCATGGTTATCAAACAACCGTCTAAATGTTTCCTTTATGACTATGATGTTAACGTTTTATTTGCTTGTTTGATATAAACAAAAATCCGGCTTCAATTTTGAACATTATACACATATATATGTCATATTTGTAGAAATCTCAGTGTCTTGAAGTAAAATAACTCTCATAGCAAGTGGAATACAACTTCACACTGAAAGATCGGCCCTCATTTCTTAGGAAACATCAGTTATGCCACCAGGTTTGAACAAGGAGATTAAGCACACGTTTTTAAACTCATTTACATATGTGATGTTTTAATTTGGATTATTTCTGTAAAGAAGCTCAAAACAGACTTCTATATGAAACAATGAGAACATTTTATTTCAATAAGGTACGATTTCTACGAATATAACGTATAGCTTGGAAGTGTCAACTTTTTACTTAGTGCCAAATATTTTTGATGTGACTCAATCAGGTTTCCATCAAAGATCTTATAAATCTTGTAAATCGTTTGGAACATGTAACTCATTCTTTAAAAGCAAAGATTAGTGAATCTTCTTCCTGTGATTTATATAAAATCACGTTATCTTGAAATATTTCTTTTTTATACCCAAGGTTGTTTTTCATGATTATCCAACTGACTTAGTCCAGAAGATGTGTTTTTGATTGTGCTGTGTTCTGTGAACAAGATAGTTTAACTGTGGAGCTTTCATTGTGATTGCAGACAACATCGTCAGCACAAACTTGAGAAAGAATTGAGTTATGAGGTGTACTCTACAATTCATTTGGTAGCTTGTCATGATGGTCTTGCATACGGTTGGTTGTTTTTGTCAAGGTTTTGCAAATGCCTCCACATTTATTTTGATCAGTTGTCCTGATGATATAAAATTTGACCTTTTTGGTCATTTTTATTAGTTGGTAGATTGGGTCAATGTCAATATGTCTGCTGATTGCTGACCGACCTAAACACCAAGCTTCTAACATTTCTCTGGTATCTAACAACTCGATCTACTAGATTCAAGCGCTCCCTTATAGTATGTTTATGATCATTTAAAGACTTTTTTATAATAATAAACACTGACCTTTAGGGTTAAATATGCGATAAAAGAAAAAAACTTTATTGTTCATATTTTTAAGTCAGTTATGAATCTTTAATCCCAATATAATTTAAAAAGCTATCTCAGAAAAACCAGTAAAATATGTATATAATGAAACCATGACAACTAAAAAACTGTGTAGTAATAATGCTCAGACTAAGCAGGTGTACCGCCACATATATTTACTGACCTTCTTTTCACTAATTATTTTTCTAGTGATCTGTTACTTCTGGTGCTACTACATGCTTCCTTTCGAACAATTGTCTATTTTCAATTCAACCTGGAAGACTGGAATCAATACATTTTTTTACCGATTCTGTATTTTTCCTAATTGTTCTAAGTAATAAAAATTTTGCTGCTTCACACTCTAAGTACTGAATACTTGAAGTAGTCAAGCTTAGGAAAAGGTACATAACCAATATCACCTATCTCAATATAAATTTTCTCCGTCACTTCAATGAATTCTTTTTCTTGATAAAGAGTTATCATACAAAAACGAAATTAAATCAAGAAGTTTGATATAAACAGTTCAGTCGAAATAGTGTTTGTTGCTCAGAATCCGCTACGATCATCGTTTTAGTTTCACCTTCGATCACTACTTGGCTTAGTAAAAAGTGTATTTGGTTTCACTAAAAATTTGTTCACCTTAAAAATACAATCATTGGGTGCAAGGAATTTTGGAAGTTTTTGGAGATCGTAATCAATCCGCAGACAAAAGCAAAGAAAGCACTGTGAACGCCACCACTGTCTCATATCACAATATTGATTATAATTTTGACAGAAACGCCAAGTATGTGTGCCTTTTTAGACTATACTTCTTTATTCTATTCTGTCCCAAGACCTGTTTTGATGTACTTGCTGGCCGAGACAAATAATCAGTCTTAGATAATCAGATGGCTGTATTCCTATTTCTCTGAAACGAAGCAATTTACTGTTCACAAAGGGAAGCGCTCCACCTCATTGCTTATTGAGGCTGGCGACCTCAAAAGTACCTTTTTTTCCCATGTTCTTTACTGCGTAACATCATCTTTAGTTACTGTCAATTTTTTCCAATACGCTGATGACCTGACAGTTTCCATACCCGCTCACTCTTCAAAGGACTGCTGTCAGCTAAACTATTTCTTATCAAATATTGGGTGGTAGTTCTCTATGAATGATCTTGTGCTCAATTCTTCGAAATGTCAAGGTATTAATTTCCGTTAGAAACGCGAATATGACCTACGTAAACTTCTTAAGTTTTATATTTCTTATTTTATTGATGGCTGTGAATTAGATAATGATTCAATGGTGATTTATCTTTTTGTATTTTTCTTTGAACCTTTCCTAGTCCTTCCATATCTTACTAATTTCCAAAAGAATCTTCCACCAAACTTTCTAAATTAGGAAGTTGAGACTGTCTGATGTAATTCAGCCTCTCCTATTGTGTTTTATAAACTCCTACATCGTGCCTGCTCTTCTTTATTGTCCACCTTTATTCTTTCTCGGGTTGCTGAAAAAACACTATGCTATACTGGGTAGAACTTTGAAGGCTGTCAGCAGAACTAATGTTGTACCTCTAAACCTTCTAACTAAAACTATTGTGGACAAACATGTATAAATTTTGCCAGAATTACCTTATCAGACGAACAGCATCCTTTTTACTCAAAGCTCTCTACTTGTCGGTCGTCAGGCAAGACCAGGAGCAACTATATAAAACCATATGCACGTAGTACTAAATATAAAACTCTACAATACTGTATTTAGCTTGTTTCCTATACGAGGAAGAAAGTGTTGAAAATGAAGTAACTAATCAATCTTTTGTCTTTGAAAAAAACTGAGTAAAGATTACGCAGCTTGTTGCTATTTAAATATTATGCGTCGAACTGCAAATATGACTGTTTATCTAAATTAACTCTGTTTTCAAGAAGTTGTAGATGGAGTAAATATTCTCAGGTTCTATATATAGTTCCTACTTATTTCATTAGACTACGTATGCGCATACACTGTTTCTATCCAGTTGCTGAAAATTCTGTAGGGTATTCCCGAAACATTTTTCAGAATAAGGCCAATGGCATTAATATATTAAATCGTTCAAGTGTAGGTTTTTGAGGTTAATAAAAGGTTTAAATTTCTTTTTTAATGATTTATTTTACGATCTTCTGAAATCGATATTTTCAGGTTGATAAACTAAAGTATATAAAGTCAAAACCATCCAGACCCAATATCACGCATTAATTTGAAATGGTGGAAGATATTTGTAACTCAGATGGATGGCCTTCATTTTATTGTGTTCTCTGGGCTAGATTGTTTAATCGTAGAGCTTTCATCGTCTTTCTAGATGACATCTTCAGCACTAACTTCATCATCTCTCCGTGAGTGGTTTAGTAGCTTTCCCTGATAAATTGGTTCGTGATTTGTTGTTTCCTTTGAATGGTGTGTCATTGACTGCATAGATTTTCCTGTTGGCCGTTCTCCTGCTTGATCTCTAACCCTTCTGTCGTTTTTCATCTTACTGGTTGATAGATTGGGCCTATATCTAAACATTGTATAATTAAAACTAAAAGCAAACGCGATACGTACAAGGAAATGGTTATAAGGTCAGCTGGATGAAGAAAGCTCAGTGAATTGGCGAAACAGTCCTATCAGAAAGAAAATACTACTGATGACCGGAGGTTCATCCCTTTTACCGCACTGTTGATTCGAAAAACTACTGACCTTCAAAGTTTTGTTTGAATGTGTGTTTCTTCACATACAGGGCAATGAACAGCAAAACTAAAGTCTGCTAGTAAACAAATGATGTGGAAGGAGAGAATATAGAATCAGAGTCATGGTCTAATGGAGATAACCAGCACTAGGCAATTAGAACTATAGAACCCAGCTCCAGTTGAAGAAAGTAGTAGGTTTCCAGGTAACCTTCGGAGAAAATGCAAATTGATTGAGTTAATCGATTTTCTATAAACTATTACAGCTCACTCATGCGGTATAGTTAGTTTTACTAGGCTATGAACCATACTCAACGTGCTATGGCTTTAGTTACAACCGTTTCTTCCAGACGGATGGTGATGCAGCGACTTTCAAACAAGAACCGGGTGTTTTAGAGTTAATGCTCATGTCAACGGACCACAGATCTACGATAAAGTTTATATGCTAAATGGTATATATATATATATATATAAACAAATGAAAGAGTTTTATGTTATTTAAAGTAGCTACTTTCTCAGTGAACAAGCAGTTATTCACCAAATAGGAAAACAAGTAATGAGGCAGAAACAGAAACTTAACAGTCTTGACTGAAGTAATTTTAAAAACTTGTTTTAAAAATATCTTTGAATTATTTTCAATATTATGCTAATTTGGTTAAATATAGTGTCGAGTTTAGAATAGCATGATAACCTTATTTATTATTTAAAATATTTATTCCACCATACACTGAAGACTAAAACAAATAAATGGATTGGTTGAAAAGGAGTGACGAGGCCACAAGAACCCACCGTACACAGAACAGTACGTACACTTCAAGGGATTTGTTTTAATTCGGTACAAAGGGAATATTGTTAGAAAGCTACTCATTGGAGCAAAAAAATTTATTCAAACAGCACAACGGAACATAAAATGATAACTTTTCTTAAATAAAACACGCAGAACGATTCAACACTATGTGCACTCGAAGTAAAAGAATCAAAACCACCACCTTTATGACCATGAAGATTTTAATATATACCACTTTGCCATCAAAATAATCAAGCGAGCTCACTGTGAAGCAATAAAGTTAAATTGCTGCGCAGGGAAACTGACATTATTTAGCAGAATCACTCAGATATTAGGACACTCAGTAAAAAACGGTGTCCACTTCTCAACCCCCACAACTTTATACTTCAGTTACAGTCAATTTTTGAAAGCCTAGACATGGGTCTTTGAAAAACTAACAGTCTAGTCACATCTTTACAAGTCTAATTTAGCCGTCATAATTTTTCATCACGATGTCTGCATGCTTAACTCCGTTTCAGCCAGCAATACTTTTGTAACTCTGTGTCGTGTGTATGCTCGTGTGTGCGAAGTAATCACCGAAATTAAAAAACCCGAAAGAATTTCTAGAAGCAAGATACTCCAATCAGATGGCAGTCGTTACACACCTGAACACTGCCCCAGTATAAAGAATACTAAAAAGCGATCACCCTACTGGAAATTAATCAAGTTAGTCAATAGTCACATGTTCGGTCAATGGCATAAGTTAAGTGGTAATAACGGTTATTGGGTCAAATTCTGCTGACAGAGAACAAAAAATTACCCTTATCTACAGGCGAAAACTGTTCAAGGTCACCAAGTATCCTTCGTATACATTCATGCAACTTTGAAATGTTTTATTTCTTTCTAAAGTAGCATGTCTTGGTGATGAGACGTCCGGGAAAAAACCTTGAAGCTTTGAAAACATAAAACAATTATCACACTAATCACAAATAATCTCGCCAGTAATAACCATATTTCAAGACAAATGGATCCTGGGAATCACCAAAACTGACATACATGCTATTTAGTTAGAAGCTGTGTGGAACAACAAGCTCTATTGCCCACAAGGACATGTATGTGTGTATGCATAACTAAGTTAACTTTCAGACAGTAATCTAACTGACACTGATCTCCAGGTCCAGATAACTAGAATCTGGATATGGATTACAGGTAAGGTATCCAAAGGCGTTTCATAGATCATCGGGAGTTAGGTAGGGGGCATATACGTACCAGGAAAGTAGTGCAACATACCGCCGGGTCTAAAACATGAAAATAAACTGATAACTTCTATATAAGCCGAAATTGTCTTAAGAAAAAGCGTGGATGACAAAAATGTTTTTTTTAAAAATTACCTGGTAATTATACAAAAATTAAATAGCAGTCAAAAAAAATGAGGCTTCATAAAAATTTAATGTTCAGCTTTGAAAATCTTACACCCTTCAAAACAATTGCAATCCGTAAAGTTGGCAGTCATTTACAAGCAAACAAATGTGTAGTAGTTCTGTTGCGTTATTAGTCATTTAGCGTAGAATAGAAATGTTATATTTGATGTCTAGATTGAAAAATCAATTTGGAAATCACCTTTATTGTACAGTAACGCTGCAAGTTTTATTAGTAATGGAATATTAAATCCCTTCTGATTCAGAGTGTTCAGGGAATAAATGTTTCCTTAATGTAAGCCCAAATAATGTATTTAGGTTGTCGAAAGAAATTCGTTGTGAGAAAATTACATTGAAAGTTAACTTACGAATTATGCTAAGACTATGTAGTTAGTGAAAGGTTTACACATCTCCAATTTATTCACCTTACTTTTCCTAACCATAAGACTTTGACAGAACTCCTGAAGCTTTTTAGTTCCAATGGTTAATTACTATTTGCGTTAAACAATGTCATTTTCGATCATAAGCACTATCCACTGTAGGATAAGATGTTGCTATCTTAGGGAGGACCAGTACACTAATCCTAGGAATTAAAGCCTAATATTGTATGACGTTAACTCTTTTACAATGATAGAATTTTCTTGTGAAGTTTGTTCGAAAGAAAAAAGGACGTAGTAAATAATTTTTTAGTCCTTTCTTCAGTGTGCAAACCAAACATATTCTAAAGAGTAATCAACTGTTGTAGTCATATTTTGTTTATCACTTTTTCCCTGAAGATGATAATTGAACTGACTCCACCTAACATAATCTTACAACCAGGACAAATAGGAAGTTTCACTATAAAGTATGTGCTCCCACTGAATTCCGTTTATACAATGTTCACCGTGAAAATCAACGGGAGTGGAGGTACATCAAACAGTGAAGCTGTCCTGACAGTTAAAGGATTTAAAATTAACCTGGGATCCAATTTGGCTTCCGTGACGAGCTCTTATTCATCTTCTTATGCAGGAGATTATCAAACCGGTCAGTTAGATCAACTGACAATTTATTTTGACAAAGTTGTTAATAAGGGTAAGTCTCTTAACAATGATTTCAGATAACCAAATCTTTGTCACGATGTACATACCAACAACTATGTATAATAGCTACTGGAATTCAGTGATTAACGTGATGAATTAACCCCCGGCAAAAACACAGTTCAGGGAGAACATTTTCACTTCTGGTCTATTGACTGTAATTTTGCCCCAGAAAGTGACTACGTTGATTGGTAAAATGCGCATATATAAACTCAACTGTACGGATTTCAGTAAATTTGACAGATTCAGTCTGTCAGACCAATTTTTAGTATATATAAAGACATACCGTACATTATTTGTAAACAGCTTAAAAGTTACGAATTATCGTAATCCTTATACATTCACTTCTCCATTACATCTTGTGTTCAATAAATGCTGTAACATCATGAGGCTCTGCTATAATAGAATCATTAAAACAAACATTGTTATTTTGCACCATTTAGGAAAAAAGTAATGCTTTCCAAGGTTGACTCACATAATTCTGATGTAAAGTGCAGTCCCACGACCAATCAAAGATGAAATAAGGAATTTCTTATTGCATATATATATATATATAATGTAAGCAAAAGTCTGACGTGTCAAAAACCTGTAATTAAATCCAGTTTTTTCGCAGAGTAAACATTTTAACAGAGAGTTATTTGACAACCCTAGGTCACTCATAGCCCAAAGCTTGAAAATTTCATTGCGGAATGAATCTTATTGTTATGAAAGAACTGTCTACAGTTTTGCTACAAATAAACAGTTTCGGAAAGTTCCCGGTATCGCATCTCTATTTACTAATATGATTATTATTTTCCAGCGGTAGCAGGCTCTCCACTGATGCGCAGTACATTGTTTATAACAGTGGATATTCAACTCACTGATACTCGACGTGCGGACATTGGGACCGTGTGGCCTTTGCAGTTTACAAGTAAATTCACAAGTTCAAGTGCTGTTACGAAATACAACACATCCTACGTGAAATGTACAAGAACTGGTTTAGAAAAACCAGTAATTCAGTTGTTATTATCACAGTTGTTAACGAATTCACTCCAAGACTGCTCTGACAGGTTTGTTTAAGTATCTTTAAACTCTTCTAAATCGTCATTTTCATGCAAATACCAGTTAAATAATCCTGAAGAAATTGCCTCCTTGGAAACGGAGACAAAGAAGATCCAAAACAACTATGGTCTGGATTATTTTGAACTTCAGGATCAGAATTCGACCTGAAATATATTTTACTTATAGTCTGAATGTTTTTCAAATAGTGTATTGACTAGTTCAGTGCCACGCCACAAATAAGTCGATGTATTGAAGTTCATCTACCATTGACTGTTTTCTAAACAAAGTGATATAATTTATCAGGTAGTCTTGCATTACAGTATTCTTCAGTTCATAACTCATCAGTGAAAACACCTGTCTGTTTGCTACTGATTCCCTAAAGTCAGTACCCGTTGGTAGTAATTATCATCAGTTTTAACTACAGATAACTGTGAACATCTAAACACTTCTCTCTCCTGGAACAGTGGTCACATTTAGGCATTTAAAAACCTTCTTCATAACATATCACACCAGGTGGACTTTCATTCAAGTTTCGATACCAGCAACTTAAGAGGAATTATCGCTAGTCTAGAGTACGCAAATAGTGAGGTGGTTTTCTTTGGTCGTGTAGTATTATGATACTGATTCTCCCTTAAAAAATTTCTTCCAGGTATCTGATTTGGTTAAGTTTTTAATGAGAAACATTCATACCTATCACCTTTTGAAATCTATCGTCATACAGCTGGATCTATAACCAGGTCACTTACAACCAAGTTAGTTAAGTTTAACCCGAAGACCAGTTAAGTTTACTGTATCGCAATATCTGATAGGTACAAACAGAAAACTAGTTCCTTGGTGCCATCATAATTGAGACATGGAGTCGTCAACGAGAAAGATGTCTTTCGAAGTTGGTTAAGTACAAAATCATTCCAAAATATTCTTCTGTCATATAGGAAACAGCAGTTTTAAGTTGACCTCATCCAAAATAGATAAATTAACCCCTTTCAGCTCTCAAGAGTTATGCAAAAAATGAGTGGATTTGTAGAACTTTAAGAAATTGTATTTATTACCGAAAAGTATCATTTTAAACAAATGTGAATGAAATAACCAGCATATTGTACTTTATCTCCTTTATCCTAAGTGAATGCAATTACTTCTGCAATTAAAGTCTGATATTATGGCTGGATATTCTGACAAATGAAGGTATCAAACAAGATATTTGATCCATTCACAATAACTAGTAGTTTATATAATATACCTTTCGCACTTCAAAAGTTTATGAACCTAATCTTCCCTTCTACTTGAAAGCAACGCAGTAGTTTCTGATTTGGTATTTGAAGAAAATTTGGAGATGTTATTACAAGTTGATATCAGTCAGTCAGATATTTATAGGAGTTACGCTGTAGGTACTACTAAAGTTGCACTGTGCAATTATTCGGAAGTAAACACCTAAAGCCTTGGTGTACTTATAAGTGAATCTATGACTTTCATTTATGATAGCGAGTGCTTTATGTTTGATCTACTAGGTATGATTCCATTGGTTGATGTTTGCAATTAAAATTCATAGAATTGTTGTTCTTAAATCTATTTGATTTATCTAAAACATACATATCTAGTAGTCTTTGATTTCCTATGACGTCAATCTGCAAGAAAACAAGCTTATTTGGTTATAAGAGGAGTTATTTAATTCGATTAAGGAACAATTTCAAAAATATATTTAGAAAGACGTATTTTAGATAGTTAACTCACCTAGTAGTGTGGGAATAATGAATTAAACTTCTTCACTGAATACTAAGTACCTTTTCAATAGTGCATCTTTGGTGGCAACCATCGACATCTGATGAGGTTACTTTTCGTGAGATACCAGTTCTACTACTTTTCTTAGAAGTGATATTCCTTTCACGTGTTATTAACAGTGCAAGGCGTCACTATTAAAGAAGACTTTTCTGTCAGAGTCTTGATTTTGAGATGATGGAGAATATTTGTAGCTCAGGTGGATAATTTTGATGGTCTTGTTTTCTCTGAGCTGGATGATTTAATCGTAAAGCTTTCATTGTCAATCTAGAAACATCATCAGCAAATAAATCTTTCAGTGAGAAGTTTAAGCTTATGTTTTTTCTAGAGTAACAAGAAAGCTCCACGATTAAATCATCCGTTTCAGAGAACACAAGCTCATCTGATGTTCCTGTGAAAAGTCTTATATGGTCCCACTTAAGCGAATATATATACATATATATACATTGCATGTTGAAATTTTAACTGAGGACAGCATAAGAATCTTTTGAAAAGTACGGGAGTGACAACTTTGTTGTAAGTAACAATTTAAGTAAAATCGCTTCCGACCTTTTTCCGGTTAAGCACAGATATAATTTTTATTGCGCACTATTAAGTTATTCATTCAGTGATAATAATGTTTCGCTTAACGACTACCTCATTTGGCGTTTGACCTTATGCTTTCACGACTTGAAGTCAATGTTTTCACTGAAACCACTTATTCTACTTCACGTAAGAAAACGCTTGAGATCTAAATCACTTCATAGCAATCACCAGTAACATTCTAGGGAGAGAAAAATTTCTCAAAATTCATGATTTCTCAACAGAATAATATTAAGGGAAATATACCAAGTAGATGAAATGATGGGCAGACAGGTTAACTTTAATATAAAGGTTTATAGAAAAATATTTCTTATTTTTAGAACATTTAAAACAAATATCAAATAATATACTAACTGCATAACCGCCATCCCTTATTTTTGAACTGAAAAAAAGTCTTATGTCTGACAGAAGACTTGTAATTGTGTATGGCTACAACATCAGTAAGTCTTTCACTTCTTTCTGAGTTCAAAAAATGTAACCTGCGCTTTTTCAAAACGATTAACTCCAATTTTAAAATGATTTTCATGAATTACAATAAACTATTTATTGTCTTATATTTAACCGGCCAAAGTTAAATAAACACATCCTTAATCTACACTTTAGTTCTGCAACGTGTGTATTTACACATTTTTAATCTAGATTCCTCAACTGGATACTTTTCAAGAAACTTCAGAACAGTGTATAAAGAACAGCCGTTGATGTGTTTTCATATTATCTGCGAGTATGTTGTTGCAGACGTGAAAATACAAAACCGTCTGCATTTTTGGCGGTGCTGGTCAAATTGATCAGGGTGGGATACTAAAAGAAAAAAACTTCAGCAAACGACTCAGAATCCTTGTAGAATATACTTAGATTTGATGGTAAAAGACAATCAGTAGACGTTAATAACTCAACCAGAAGATAAGACTGTCTACAGACCGATACTTCTAGTTGAGTGATTAAGGTCTCGAATGAACTAAAGATTAGTTCGACGAGAAATCTTATGTTTTAGTCTTTATATAAATCACTTCTATATCTTGTCACTAACTTCTACTTATTCATGGAGTGCCTACGTTGCGTTTACGAGGAAATATATTCTCCTAAATTACCTGTAAATTTCAATACTAGGGCGGAGTGAATTCTCTGTAATATATATATATATATATATATATATATATATATATATATATATATATATATATATATATATATATATGATCACATCAGATCACAAACGTATGTAGAGTTTAATTAATATTGTATATGACTCAGTTACTCACCAGCCTCTTAGATCATAGATGTACTAAATGCAGGATAACTCGTCTAAATAACCGGTTTAATAACACCAGCTATCTGAATGAATTCATTGATGAATCTCAACAGAAGCCTTGAGTGAATAGTTGCATTTTTGGTTCTGACGAAATTCAGACATTTCTATGCTTTCAGTTATAAGTTGCAACATTATCGATCCTAATGAAAAAGTTTAACGACAAGCACTATGGAAGATTGAAGGTCATTCATGAACCAGCTTTCGGAATATTTGCATTACCTCTTCTATGTGATGGTCAACAAAGTTTGCACTATGCTCCTAATTGTTTATATCATGTACGCAATTTGTCATCCGGCCGGTTGTATTCTCTCCACACATTGTTCCGAATACTACGATTTTATTTATCCTAATATATATATATATTCTATTGTTATTATTTTGTCTGCTATCAAGACCGATTTATACTTTTTCGTGACAATGTAGTGTTTGTTCACTCCTGTTGATTAATAGAAACCAAGTTTATCTACAAACTTTGGTTAGAATGCAGAATGAGACGGGATTAGAATGCGAAACACAGTCAATAAATTTCTATTTTGGTTCAGCGGTAGAATCAATCAAAATATTTAGTCAAAACGGGAGTATGAGTCCGGTGGTCCCAAAATCACCTCTGGATCCAGTAACGAGAACCGCTAAGTTTTCGGTAAGTTACATCATTTCTTCACACAGATCAAAACTTTATTAACAAGTAGACAAAGGGTGAAAGCAATCTTCAATTCTAAACTGTGTTGCTTATTAGCATTATGAATTGATAGTGGCTAGTAATAGGATTTAGGACTCGTCAGATGAAGTCAGCCACCTGCCAGTGACTAATCATGTTCCTACTGAAACTGGAATCCGTCAATACGTTATCCACTAGACTACTTACAAACAACATCTATCTCTTGTTCACTGGGTATCAGAGTGCCATTTTAGTCAATGATTTTATAGCTTTAACTGGTTTATATTGATTTAAATGACGAATATTAGCATAAATATTCCTATGCTTTGGCCTGCTACTATTCTTCGTTAATTTTAAAATGCAGTTATCAATTGTATCAAGCCATAGACACACAGGCCCAAATACCAAAATCGGCCAGTCAACTCGATCTAAACAAATAAATGACGGAAAACCACATGTCATAACGCCAATGTTATATAATTATAAACTATTTAACACAGCCAATTTTTTTGTTTGTAGAAACGCAAGCATAGCGGGTTATCCTTTTTCAAGAATCTTAACTTAATTGAGTGCTTCAGCGTGCAGATGGATATCTGAAACTATAACATGTGCGTTTTCTCAGCAAAATGAATCAATTTAACATTCATTTAGCTATGTAGCTAGATGCCTAACTTAATTATTTATGAAATTAGACACCGTTTTCTAACTTCTTGGAAGTTACATGTCATCCACATTGCTAAGAGGTTAATTAATTCAGCAAGCATCAATTTAAAAAGCAAAGTTATCCTACAGATTTTGTTATCGAACTCATGATACATCTACAGTATCCCTTAGCTAACCAGGCTGGGTACTATTCTAAAACGCTTTATAGAAGCGAATGCATGAAAGAGCCGATGTAATTAGCTCCACAGGAGCAAGAAACCTGATGTGGACACATCGGTGCGTCAGTTTGTCTTTCACAGGCTGTCCAAAAGGTTTCTTACAGTAAAGAATGGTTTGAAGTTTGGTAGCGAATTATGTTATATCTAAGGAACTTGTTAACCGTCTTTTGAAGATGTTCGCAGCATTATCACTTTTGAATTCAAAATTCAACCATAAGATCTTTTTCACCAGGGAAATGAAGCATTGTGTTTGGTTCTGGCTCTACAGAGAAGTTGATTGAGGTGTGGGTACTACTGAAAGTATTGAAAGCAAGTGTACAAGATTAATTTTTTCATTACAAACAATGAAAGTAACGTTACCGTATGTTCTGTTGATAAGTTAATGTTTTCTAGACTAACCATAAAGCAATAAGCTTAATGGGGTCCCGGTGAGGCACCTTTTTCCATACGCTTTACCTTCCTGTAAATTTCATTATTAAACCTGAAACATAAATTTAAGGTACATCGAAGAAGCAGCTCTTCTAAGTAGTGAACTGTAATACTGACATCTAAGTTAAAAGACTCAATTAAATCTCCTCAGAAGTGGATGCTTTGTGCAAGTGCGACATTTGTAAAGAGTGACAAAATATCTAAAGAAATCATCCTTTTACCTATCAAACAGAAATTCTGAGTAGAAACGGTAAGATCAAAAGTGTCATGTTATATATGGCCCAAACTTTTTTTAAATTGTTCCTAATACTTCCAAAAGCCATTTGCGTTTGTATGATATGAAGAGTATATCATACTTAGTATTGAATGCAGTAGAATGCCTTCCTTGTGTAATCTGAGAAGACCACATAAACAAGGGATCCTAGGACTCAATACCCCAAGTTTTTCATAGAGTTTCATGTTAATGAAGGGATCTATCTCTCATTTTCTTCAGTATTGCCCTTTGGCTAACTAAAGGCCATTCCTGCCATCTTATTCGTTATGTTTTTCACCATCATATCATTCTTCTGCATACATATTATCCCAGTACTGAATAATTTTAAAAAAGATAGATCGATTTCCTTACAATCCCTATATCTTTTCCATTTCGAAAATGTAACTGCCCATAACATCGCTTGTTTTGTACGTTGTACAACTGTCTTATTACTTTGAAAACATAAGCCCAATATTTAACCACCTCTTAAAATAACTTTGCGCAAAAGTAGTCAGAATAGGTAAGAATTCGATCGTTGAGCTGTACAAATAATCGATAGTTTTTTACATTTCATTTCAGTTCATTGATACAATCACTTTTTCATTCCAAGTTTTCCCTTAGTAACCACAAGATTACTTTCTCCTTTCCTCTATAGACTAGTCGTTTATATTTTGGTCAGGAATATACAGTTATTTTTCAAATAAGGTTTCCGAAATCTTCAAACATTTCGATTGTGAAACTTCCAGTACTGGCAGAAGTTGTATGTAAACCATATATGCGTAGCATTTCCCTCTCAAACCAATGCATCAAGTCCAGCTTTTTCAGATTCATATCTCAAATAAGTCTCGAAGTTGACTATCGTTCTTACACTTGTAAGTTGTAACTGTTTATATTCTTTACAAGTTTTTCAGGCCGACAGGAGGGTGTTAATAATTTTTATTTAGTAACGTAATGAATATGAAACTAAATATAGGCTTGTCTCAGTGCAATTTTGCAGTAAGACTGAATTGTTCAGAGAGATTTAGGCTACTGGTTATTGTGATCCAATGTACAGGACGTATTCTTATTCTGTAATTTCGGGGTAGTGCGTTAGAACAAACAACAAAATAAACAAACATTTTCTATCGTTCCACAATGTTTCCACCTGACTAGGAAAACCGTATCCAAGAGTAAGAAAATGATCATTTTTGATACAAAAGATGACCTATATAGCTTTAAATTGGTTTGCTCATAATACAGATGGGTTTTTGAAACCAGAATATTCTACTGAAGAAGCTTGACATACATAACTAAATGTTAAGAAAATTTTTGTCCCGATTTTCTAAACACAGATTACGTTATAATGTACCTAAATAACTGATTAAGTCATAATCGACGCTCAAGTCCGTCCAGGCCATTCTCAGAAACTATGAACTGGATATTTATAAACAGATTTACCGGTGAAACGCACTACTATCCTTGGGCAGCATTGTATTATCTACAATAGCCAGTATATGTAGCTGATTACCTCACACTGACCTGAGAAATTCGACTCTCAGTTCTATAGTTCCAAGTTGATCGTAGGCCTAACACTAAAGCTCAACCTAGTAACAACTGAAATAACTAATTTGGTTTCTTTATTCGAGCTTGAAAGTAGATTTTTTATTAAATCCAGATGCCTAGTTAGTGGTTTTAGAAGTTGTTTGGGTAACCTACGAAATCACTCCAACTTACAGGTGGAACGATGAGTCCAATTCAAACTGAAGAGTTTAGTTGTTGAGATTATCTTATGCTTCTCAACTGACATGCACGCAACCAGAATTCAAATGACTTCAAAATCATCTATAAGATTTCCTTAATTTAACAAAAACTACTTTCAAGTATAAAAATGAGTCCTGACTGATTATTTCAGCACTTAGTAGAATCACCCGAAATAAGTGACTTTGCAGGTTATCATAATGACTACTTAAATGAACTATTAGTTATCTACGTTTTGGTTGCAATGGTAGTTTTCCATAGGATAAAAAACCTTGTTGAATATTTCAGTATTTATTAAGGTGGCCTATAAAGTCAATTTTTGAAATTCAAAGAGATATTTGAATGGTGGTAATCAAGGCAATCTCAACTGTACGAAATACCAGTTGAATCTCATGTGTAGGGAACCCAGAAAAATTATCACAAGAAACTAAGTTTTTCTAATCTATAGCCATTAACAGCAAACAAAAAGACAACAAAAATATCTGAAAAAATAGGAGGTAAATCAAAAAGTAGATGAATACTGTCAATATATTCAAAACGGAGTCTCTTGAGTACTGTGTTATTGGGTCCAATATCTAGTCGCCTTTGCACCATTTCAAAGAAAAAAAGAATGTGATGACGAAACTTGAGGGACGCTGCGGTGGAATAGATTGTTACTGCACTGAGAAGTAGATGGGATTTTTGCAAAAGTTTCCTAAAACCAACTTATGAGTGATAGTCTCGAGTAGCAGCTGAAGCAGGAAGAAGACAGCAGTGGCAAATCAGCTTGTAACTCCACGTTAGTGACACCCAAGTTACAAAGTTCTTCTGCATGCGTAGTAAATTGGAAATTACAGATAAACAATCTCTTGTTTTTGCAAATGTTTAAGAAAATATACAAAATGTAGAAAATAACATGAAGGAACAATTTTCCATTTAAGTATTTGTGAAAATTATCTATCCTGTCGACAGAGATCACCTAAATTTTGGATGGAAATAATGACATTAATTGTAGGATAAAGAATACCCAGCAGGCTTGTTACAGTTTCCTGATGAGTGACTTTAAAGGATACTTCGGCAACTGCTGAGATAACTAATCAGGTTTCGGTATTCTGGCTAAAAAGGTAGTCCTTTAATAAACAAAGAAAAGTAACTGGTTACCACAGCAGATGACAGGGTATCATTTAAAGTCGTCTTATTTCGATCCCTGAATAAACTTATTATGAAAACTAAAAGGCGCATCTTGAAAAAAAGTGAATTACATTTAATTTTTGAAAAAATCCCCGAAGTAATACAACCGTATTCAGTTCAGTAAAATAAAAGAAAGAAAAATAAACAGTGTTTCATTGGTTAACCAAATCAACAAGATTTTTCATTAAAATATGTAGTGAAATTTACTCAACTAGTGATTTGTATTTTATCAACAACTCGATGAGGTTGTTTTTCAACATTTGCACTAATCAGACTAACAGACAGGCTAAAAAATATTTTATTGACATTGCATGCTCAACTGATGTTTGTTCACTGATTACAATATCCATTGTGTATTTATTTCTACAATATAACAACTGTTTAGTATGTTTCCCAGTTAATGTTTTGTACTGAATTGCATTACCTCTAGTAGGACAGATCTAATTATTCATTTCCGACACTAAAATTCCTAGCTCATGATCACTAATAGTCGTACTCTTTTTACTCATATGCTCAAATCCAGTATCTGCTTTCCACGAAACCGAAAAAGTAGTTTGCATCAATCCCAAACTGATTAAAACGGTGACCCTAAAAGTCACCCTAACAACTGACGATCAGATTTTGGTATTTCCCATAGGATGGTAGACATTTATGAAATGAAGGAACCCGATTGGCCATTTCAGCAGTTACTGGGGTGGCCCTTAAAGTCTCTCGATCATAAGTAAAGACCTTTTGTTATTACGACAACATCTGAAGGTGTGGAGTATTTAAAAACCAATGGTCAGTCACAAGAAAGATATAGTAATATATTCAAATGCTAGACATGACTAGAAGAAATTCTAGTGAGAAACGCTTTCTAAACTGTTTCTATTATCACTGTATCTGAATAAATTTCGTTTATTTCCTAGATTACTGAGAAAGAGGCATAAACAAATAGATGTTTTCATCCCCCCATTTTCATCTCATTCCTTCATATTTTGCACCCATCTGCTCTGAAGATTTGAAAAAACTGCTTAGTCGGGAAATTTACCTTTTTAACATATCTCTATGATTTAAGTCGAAGGTTTCCACTCGGTTTTGTAAATTATAATGCACATTAATAGCTTATATTAAGAGAGCAATGTATGTTGTCTTTGAGAGTCAAAACAGATGTTTAAGTAGTTCTTTTATAGTCATAGCTTCATGCTACTTATGGCGTAAATGTTTACTGCCGCCTTCCGTTAACAGACTTCTTAGCAATCCTATATCTTCGAAAATGGTCATTAGATAGTTTCTGACTTTCGGGAGATCGGTTATTTACGTAACTTTATCAAAAGGTGAATGTAAAATTCCCAGTTAGCCAAAATACCACCTCTAGAAACGAACAGATTGATTGTGCTATCATATATTCAATGTGGCATATAAAAAACACCTTAGAGAAAACAACTAGATTACTGAAGTCTTTCAGAATCGCTTTATGATATGCAAACCAAAAGACATAATTACAAATGAAGAAAAACCCTTACGCTATCTGCGAAATAATTTGCAGGAACTTAGAAAAATACCATGTCAAACATATTGACTGGCTTCTTGATGTTCGTCCACATGAACACTAACAAGCATTAAGGCACCAAAATAGATCTCCACTGACTTCACTGCGTGTGGATAATTAGGAACAAAACTTTGATAGAGAAAATTTGAAAGTCATAGATAGCCAAAATTTAATGGATTCCAGGGAATTCTCAGAAGCATGGCACTAATGTCAGTCAACGATCAACGATTATGTTGACACCAATACAGTCTGTCAACCAGTCAGAAACAGTAAGTAGGTCAGAGTTGACATAAGCAGGACAACCAGTCAAAGTAATTTTGGAGATGTTGATGAGATTATAGCAGAAATAACCAGTCGCACCTGAGGTCATCAAGAAAAACTAACTAGTCACTTGTTGAACGATTCATATAGCTTACTTTTTTCGTAGTTTGTGCTGATGATGCTGTCTAGGACGATGACAAAAGCTTTATAATCAAGCCGTCCATCTAGAGGAAAATAGTACTACCAAAATAATTCTCCTGAGTTACGCATATTCTCCATCATCTTAATACATCAGCTTCAGGTAATAAGCAAACGTCTGCAGTAATGTACTGGGATACATTTGCATGCAGTTATCTTAATGTTCTGGCTGGGAATCAGTAGGATATATACCCACCATCTCTTTTTCTAGCCGATTATGACTGACTCCGTTAAATCCATGCCACTTATTGAAAGTTTATTTTGTCATAATTTCTTATCTTCAGATCTATGCGACTTGCCACACTATATTGCAATGAGTAATTCGCAAGTGGAATCAATGAGTAGTCAAGTGACTACATTTTTAAATGTTGGTGATCGCTTGTTTTATTGCGGTAGAGCATTTAGTCGCAAAAGATCATTTGAAAGAGAGAGACGCTGCTTCATGATAAGTCAACTGCCTGGACGAAAATGGTTAGGTAAATTATCTTGAGTTTTAATCAGCCGCTACATACCAGTCATAAATTCACTCAGTTTTGGTTTCTTTTGTTATTGCTAATTCTAAAAATGGTTTCGCATTTTCATTGAAAAACTCAAATCGACAAATGATGGAGAATATTTATTAGTTTTCAGTTCAAGTTGGGATCCGTTGGCTTGAAAAAGTCTGGGCACTTGGTAAATGACATTATTTTAATTGTTTTTGTTTTATATTCATCGGGAAATGTGAATGCTAGAATGTGTCAGAGGATATTTTTGGCTTAGAATGTAGATGGTCAGACCGAACTGGTCTCTGAGCTAAACTTTAGGTTGGAAAACGTTTCAATATTATGCTATACGTCGTGATTAGTGTTTCCATTTGAAGCATCTAAGTGATGTAGATTCATATTTCCAAAAAACGGAATAATGGAAACTGACTTTGCATGCAAGTTTCAGCTATACCAGATTTTAAATTGAGGATTTATCTTTGACTGCTAAACAAGAGAAAATTACAAATAGGAAATGAAGATAGATATAAATAAGCGCAAACCCTCACAATCGCAAATAAATACGATAGCAGGATAAATTATCTCCGGTGTAGTCAGTGTTCTCTGTAAGACAGATATATACATGCTGTATCTGGAGGAATTGACTTTTTAAAACGGCCAAGCTGTTTTCTACACAACATTTGAACTTAGTCTGTTACCTTAATCATATAAAGACTTGTTTGAGAACTGTATTTGTCTTGGTTTCTCAAGATCCCTCAATGATGAAAAACAGTCAGCATTTTGAACTTACAGTGAAGTTATTCTACACAATTTATCCAAATATTTGGTAATGATGCAATAAGTAATTACACTGAAAAACCACATACGACAAATGCCCCATAAAATGAAGGCACATTTATCATAATAGGAAACGAACCTGTAGCTGCATTACTTGCCAAATCTAACTGCAGGATTAACTAGTTCATAAACTGATTCTGAATTCATCCATATTTTTACCTGAACTAGGAATATGAAATTTTACAAAAAAATATATAAATGTTTTCTATATATGAAAACAATTTGACAGAATTTGAGACCACCCAATTCGCAGATAGAACACCAGGGAACAATGAGTACAGGGTTTGTTTTTGTCGTCTGAATACTTCTTCAAATCAAGCCAATTGAATGCATAATAATTAAAGAAGAACGAGGTATGATCAGACAAACCAATGATAAATATAAATGTACCGTTGTGAACATACTTATTCCCAAACTTTCGCCGCACCACAGAAAGCGTTTTTCAGTTACTGTTTGTATTGTATTCTCTGAGCTGGGTTGTTTAATCCTGAGCTGGAAATATTCTCAACCATTTTTCAGTTAGTACTTAAAATAATTTTACGCCTTCACACCCAAAAGCTGTTATATTTTGAAGTAGTCCGGTGGAAAGTTTGAGCTGATAAGTAAAGGCACTGAATACTTAGGAAATATTAGAACTCTTCACGAGCAAATACAGCTTCTCCAAATATCCTTTGCTTTATTAAACAGCACAAAAATCAGAAGACGAGGCATGTTTTGTAACTGCGAGAACAACTTTTATTAAGCGTAATGGAATGATGTAGATAAAATCTTCACGTCCAAAATACCTTGAGAAAATGAATTTATTCTGATCGGTCTACTGGAAAACCAATCTGTTCAATATGCTTTTCTTTACTAGATGGGGGTATTATTCGAAAACTGAGGCTTCTACTGAAAAGGTCAGTGGCCTAAACGGCTGGGTTTTGTTATGGACACTTCCATGCATGTTTGTTTATTGGAAAGCAGATTCATATAGTGCTTAATTGCCTCCTTCCATAAGTATTCCAACTACTATCATTTATATATGAGAGAAATTGATACACAGAAGTCAGACAGACAAAGCACTCTACGCTGTAAACTTCATCAATTCCACTCTTATAGAAGTGTAGACCACGTTATCTAAAGTCACTTAGTGTAAAAGTTTATGAATATTTATCTCAGCATCATGACATAGTTACTTTATAAATATATGACTTAGGCTGCGAAAGTAGAAGTTTTTATCTTCTTCAATGAAAATACTAGATATGGGACCAAGTGTCACGCAGATCCTGGCATATGCGAACCCGTCTGGTACGCTTTTTGGTGTGGGAGCCAATGGCGGTGGTGTGGTAATGACTAGGAACTTTGGAGCAACATGGATTTCAATCAACTCCTTTGAATATCAGAACACTCTTAATACGTCAACAGAAATAATCAGTGCAAGTGTCGTGCCCTGGTTTTCACTATCAAGACCATTTGACAGATCATATTTTGATTCGTTTTGTATGCTAAATGTCACAGGAATATGGGATGGTGAGTAATATTATATCATGGCATTTAGATGTTTTTCTGTTGCAGAGGATATTACATCACATCACACTACAGTATCCAATCTCTGTTTAACGAGATTGTGTAAACCAGTCGATTTCTCCATGCTCACTTCTACGTCTTGCGTAACGGTTCCGGGCCTTTGGTTGATTCTCATGTAGTAGGTCCAGCCACTCATCTGCTATAGCTCTGGTATACCCAACAGATAGTTGGTTATTTTGCCTAGAACTGTCTAGTTGCCAGATAGTTATTCGAACTCGTCTTAAGATAGAATTAGGGATAGTGAGGAGACAACTTAAGAAGACAAACGTGTATGAGTAAAAAACAAAGAAGAGTGAAACGATAGAGTAATCTTCTTACAACCAAGTAAGATGAAAAGGGTGTAAAGATATACAGAACTTAGGTGAGTGAGGTTTATTCATAGCGAGTAAGACGGATGAAAAGGGCTTAATTGATTAGAGTAGGAAGTGAATTGGTTTAGAGGCAACAGTGTTTGAATGGTGTGAGAGAGGTTGATTTCCCCGATCTAGTTGATATTTTTCAACTAGGTATATGTGAACCATGGGTCGCTGCTTAACTGTTTAGTCTTTTCATGAAACTATAGACAGATGGGGCGGAAACTACCTCTGCTAGTAATGCATTCCACTGCCGGCTGACTCTAAGGGAGAAAAAGTGTGAATGAACAGGAGATTTCGACTTTTGTTGGGCGATTCTCTTTGGTTTTGAATTGGTATTCATCATGGACTAACATCAGTTGGAGGGACACGGGGGGCCTGGGAACACTGGACAGCTGTTTCGTCCTAGTATGGGACTCTTCGGCAGTGCGCACCTATGGCCCCACCAGGACAAACCTGGTGCTCGTGAGTACAAATGCTAAACGATGACATTAGATGGTGATGGCTATATGTCATGAATTAACAGAAGTTGAAAACGTGGACCATTCGATTATAACCCAGTGGCTCAGCCGCAACCTGCTGGTCACGGAACCTGAAGGTTCTAGGTCCAATTTCTAGTAAAGTCATGGATGCGCACTGTTGAGGAGTCCCAGACTAGGACGAAACAGCTGTTCAGTGCCACCAAGTTTCTAATGTTCCTCCATCTGACATCAATCCATGATGAATACCACCTTGAAATCAATAAGTCCCTAAATTGAATTCTCTTTGGATTTTCACCAGGATCACCATAATGGCCATTCGGTAGTATTCTTTCGTTCGGGTGACTTAGTTCCTATAGTATTTTGTAAGCAATTATTAAATCACCTCATAGCCTTCAGTAAGTAAGAGAGTATAGGTCTAGGTCTTTTAATCTATCCTCGCATGGTTTTTGGTGCATCCCTAGAACACCCTTTGTGGCTCGCCTTTGAACTTTCTTCAAGAGGTTCGTGCCTCTTTTTAGATGTGGTGTAGTAAAGACGTTGTGGGCGTCCAAAAGGGGTCATATATGGGTCCTGTAGAGTTTCAGAAAGGGATCTGGGGTGAGGGGACTTAGTTGTCTACGTACAAAGTGTAGTAAATGGTATGCTTTTGAGTCATCTCCTCGGTAAGTGGAACTAGTGTCCAGTTTCTCCGACACCATAACACCCAGATCTTTCTCTACTTCGGTATGAGAAAGATGTGGGCGACAGAGAGTGTAGGATACTAGCTTTGGATCAAGAGTGTGGAAAAACATGGACCGGTATATATCCAGGTTAAAGAATAACTCGTTATTTTTCGACCAATGCTTGAGTATTTTGAGGTCGTTCTGTAGTGCTTTCAATTTTGTTTCGCACATTACTGCTCTCCATAACTTGACGCAGTCAGCGCAAAGGAGAATCGGAGAGCTGATGTGCAACAGGAGGTCAGTGGCGATTAATAGAAACAACAACAGACCCCGAACTGCTCCTTGTGGTACACCGGACGATAATGTTCTCCAAGCTGAATAGACCCCGTTGACTTTCGTGCTGAATTCCCTACCGTCCAAGTAGTTCTGCAGTCACGATAGTACCTGGCCGAAGACACCCGACCCAGCTACCTTGTGTGTTAGGATGTTGTGGCAGACTGTGTCAAGGGCTTTGATGAAATCCAAAAGAATCACGTGGACCGGTATCCTGAGGTCCCATCATATTGTCCAGTAGTCATGGGCTATCACTAAGTTTCCAGGCGCAGGACCTACCCTTTCGAGAGTCATACTGAGCTTCACGTAGTGCTTGCTTTGTGTCTAGGTATTCCCTGATGTGGTTATATATCATGCTTTCCATAACTTTTGATATTAATCGTAAACGTGCTATGGGCCGATAACTGTTAGTGTTCTTCTTATCTCCTTCTTTGAAAATAGGAGACAGGATGGCGGGATTCCACTCCCGTGGGAGCTTTTGTTCATCTAAGGAGCGTTGAAAAATATTGCAGAGTGAGCCGCTTTGGGTACTCGAGCACTGTTTCAAAACAGATGGGCGAATGTCGTCTCACCCTGGTAATTTTGCCGCACTTAGCTTTGATAGCTTATCAAGAACAACAGTGCGAGTTATTTGTACTTTGTGTAACTCTTCGCATCAGATAGCGCTGGGAGCTGTCCAGGCTGTGAGTATACTCGCTTGTGTGATGAGATGTTGAGCTGTGTCAAAGATACTTAAAATTTTGGCGATCTCCTGTCCAGAGAGATTTTCTCCTTTCTAACCTTTGATGACGCATGCTCCTTGGCTTGTAGATTTCCTCTTAGCCATGAATCTGTATGGGTTCTTGAGGTTTACCCCAAGCTTCTGGGCGAGGTTGAACCGAAACAACTTCCTGTCTATTCACACCCTGATGTTGCATCGATTTCGTAGACCTGTATATTCGTCACTATCATCCTCTTCTGTGGAGAGCTTCCATTTACGCCATGCTCTCCTCTTCAATTTCATGAGGCGCTCAGTGCCTAATTTTAGCTGTAAGGTCCACTTTCTCGGTGTTGTTACTACCAAAAGGACGTTTTTAGAAATCTCTGCCTTAATCATGTCTCTTACTAGTTCCTAGTGCTGGTCAAACGAAAAGAAGCTCCAATTTTACTGGCCATGGAGCTATCGACAGGCGTCGATTAATTCCTTCTTAGTTTGCCTTGCTGTGAGAGAGGCAGGGGCGAGATCCCTCCCAGGATAATTGTTCGCTGATTACCAGGTTCAACACTACCATAGTTTGATAACTGCTCCCAAGAGGAGTTTGAACCTGGACGTTTTCAACTAACAGATGGTCATTAGTCAGCAGATAATCCAGTTTATATGCTTTGTCATCTCATCGCCAGCGGTTATTGTCACTAATTTTTTCGTGCAGCCCAATCATTCGGATGGCGTTTAGCAGATTGCAATCAAACTTCCGGCTGCAAGTCAAGCTGCCTTGCTCTAGGCTGAGAGTTGGAGCGTTGAAATCACCAGCTATTAGGATGTGACCATACCCCATAGTTGACACTGGGGATATTACTTATAGTGATTTTTGGTTGTATTCCACGTTACTATTAAGGGACCTACAGACTCCTCCAATTAGATACTTAGTATGTTTGGTAGTGAAGTGGCACCAAATTGAATTTGCGAGCTCTATCAATACGGTTTCAGTAGTTTGTTGACTTTTGAACTAACTGCTCCCGTGTATTGCAATCGCTCCCTCTCCGTCCTTTTGTTTCTTGTTTCTCCTGAACAAAAACATGTTATCTGTGATAACTTAGGTGTCGTTAATGTCAGGCGATAACCATGTTTCCTTGAGGATTATAATTTTTGGAACAAGGTAGTGAACAGAGGGGTCAGGGCTTTACTATTTTACTTCAGAGTCCTCTCATGTTGCTGTAAAAACACTTGGAAGTACTTTTCATAACGTGAGATGTCTCTGGGTTAACTAGCAGCACGGGTTTCGATGTGGTGGAGACTTTTACTAACCGGCCAGTCCCAGTGGGACCGGTCCGGTTAAGTTTTTCCCCGGGCTGATTGGTGCAGTTGGTGATGGGTGGGGGTTGCCGGCCTGACTCTCAGAGTGTCGGTGTGGGGTGAAGGTGACCTGAGGACGGGGAGTAACCGCTGTTTTCTGTGGAAAACACTATGTTGTTTCTAGACCCCAGAGGTTCCATTGTTTTATGAATGCAAAAACAATACAAGTACTGTGCGATATGCCTGACCGATAGCTGCTACCTTGACGCGGTGGTCGGGCTTGCATATCACAATGACCCAACGAGCTATGCTGGTGGAACGCTTGTTCCCTCGAGGTCCTACCATACCAGAAAGGTCTGTTGGGTAGTGGTTAGACGAAAAGCAGTTACCGTCATAGTGTAAATTGCTACACTATGATGGGGGTCTGAGGGCGAAGTCGTACTGCTGCTAGCTGGATGGGGTGTGACAGCAGTAAGGTGTTTCCCTTGGATGACCAGCAGTGCCATGCTGATGCTGCCTTCTCAGTGAAAGGGGGGGTTAGAAAAGGTCGGCCCCAAAAATAACACACTCCACCACGCCCCACGGTCTGCCGGGCCGGCGGTGTTGGTTCACTTGTCGTTTCCTTTCGACCATCCGGCCCCAAAAATACAAAAGTTCAAAATAATCATACTCAAAAGGCTGGGTGTGACAGGCCTCAAGCAGATGTCCGATGGGCTCTGCGGTCACACAAATCTCTTTCAGGTACCTTAAGAAGAAATAGCCTTCCACGGTGTGGGCAGCCGGGAAGTGTCAACCGCCCTCACAACTCTGTCAGCACCCAAGTTTCTTCTGACTGCTATCCTCCTCCTCCATCATTACCTTCTAATCTTCCTTCACGTCTCTTAATTAATGATGCTGCATCATCTTCAATTTCTCCTACCTCTGCAGCCTTCGACAACGATCTGAGTCCACAGAACAGCATCCCTGGTCTCCTTAAACCACGCTCCAAATTACATATTGGAGCCTTCAATGTCCGCACCCTCCGTCAAATTGGCCAACAGGCTTCGTTGGCAAAGACTCTAGCAACTCGGAGCATGGATGTGTGCTGTGTTTGTGAGACACGCATACAGGACCCAAGTGTGGTTATTCACCTGACCTCTCCTGACCAATCTGGTGAATCCACAAAATTCACCCTTCGAGTTTCTGGAGATTCGATAGCTAGCTCTCGTGGTCTTGCAGGTGTAGGTATAGCATTAAGCACCAGGGCAGAAAACTCACTACTAGACTGGATCCCAGTTGATAGTCGCCTCTGCGCTATGAGGCTGAACGGCACAGTGAGAACTAAAAGGAATAGTGAGACTCGCCGTTGTCTCTTTGTAATCTCTGCTTACGCACCCACTGACTGTAGTTCGGATGAAGTGAAGGACGAGTTCTACCATAAACTGTCTAACCTCCTCTCGAAAGCCAAACGTTCGGACGTAGTGGTTGTTGCAGGTGACCTCAACGCACAGGTGGGTAGACTGAGTGAGGCAGAAAGGCACTTAGGTGGCACTTTCGGAATCCCAGCTGAACGTACAGATAACGGTGATCGCCTATTACAACTATGCTCAGATAACCGCCTATTTTTAGCCAGCACAAATTTCAGACATAAAGAAAGGCACTGTCTGACCTGGCGTCCACCGAGCTCGACTCAGCGATGGACACAGATAGACCACATTGCTATTAGTCATCGCTGGAGAGGATCGGTGGAAGACTGCCGCTCCTTCTGGAGTACGTGTTTGGACAGCGATCATGCGTTGGTCCGAGCACGTATATGCCTGCGTCTCAATGGACGTAGAAAAAATTTGGCAACAAAACCACTACGAGTTCTGCTGGACAACGAAAACACCAAAGCCGTGTTCAGTGAGAAGTTGGCTAGGCAGTTATCGGAACAAAAGACTGTCACTCATCCAGAAGAAGCTTGGTGCCATCTTCAGTCTACTGTAAAAGCAGCACTGGAGACTGTAGCCGACTCCAAGATAATGGCTAAAAAGAGCCAGTGGATATCAGCAGCTTCTTCCAAACTAATGGATGCACGTGAATGCATCCCTGCAGGCTCTGAGTACAATGAAGAGCGAGCGCAACTTAAAAATAGACTGACGAAAAGTCTGCGCAACGATCGTGAACAGTGGTGGGCAGCAAAGGCTAAAGAGATGGAAAAGGCAGCGGCGATCGGTAACAGTAGACAGTTATTTAGACTTATTAAGGAGACTGGGGGGAAATGGTCAACAACAGTTAGTGAGGTTATAGCGGAGAAGGACGGATCGGCGATTCACTCGCAGGGAAGGCGACTGGGACGATGGGCAGAACACTTTGAGGAACAGTTTAACTGGCCTCCAGCCACCATTGCGCTGCCCGCTATCCAGTCGGACCCTGAATGGGACATAGAGACAGGTCCCCCAACACTAGAAGAAGTTGAGAAAGCGGTAGGTAGCCTGAAACGGGGAAGGGCAGCAGGACCAGACGGACTACCTGCTGAGGTATACAAGAATGGTGGTAGAGTTCTCTTAGTCAGGCTAACGGAAGTGTTAGCCAGTATATGGGAATCAAATACGATCCCCTCCGACTGGTCTAAGTCACTGATCATCCCAGTCTTCAAGAAAGGCGAGAAGTCCTCTTGTGATAACCACAGAGGAATCAGCCTGACAAACATAGTGTCTAAGATCCTAAGTTCTATAATTCTCCGACGCCTGAGTGGAGCTCGGGAACAGCAAGCCCGAGAAAACCAGGCAGGCTTTAGACCTGGCCGTGGATGTATCGACCAAATATTCACACTGCGCCAGGTCCTGGAACATAGGCATGCTTACAGACGCCCGACAATAGCTGTATTTCTCGACCTGAAGGCGGCATTTGACTCCGTTGATCGAGAAGTCTTATGGCAGTGTCTGTCACTGAAAGGCGTGCCTAGTAAGTACATCACCTTATTGAAAGCTCTCTACTCGAACACTTGTGGGCATGTTAGAGCCTATGGTGAGTTGTCCAGGGAGCTATACTCATCAAGTGGTGTCCGTCAAGGATGCCCACTATCCCCATTCTTATTTAATTTTATCATAGATATTCTTATGGAGGTTTCCCTCTCGTCACCTAATTACAAAGACGTTGACCCGATCACAGGTGAATTTTCCTTAGATCTAGAATATGCAGATGACATAGTCCTGTTAGGTGAAGACGCTGACAAGATGCAGAGTCTTCTGAACACTTTGAGTGGGAATTTGAGAATGTTTGGGATGCGATTTTCACCACCCAAATGCAAATTTTTGCTCCAGGACTGGTCTTCAGCGGTACCGCGGTTAACAATAGAGAGTGAAGTGGTTGAGTGTGTTGACCACTTCACTTACCTGGGAAGTAGGATCAACCCTGGTGGGTTAGTTGCCGATGAGATTTCTGCACGGATACAAAAGGCTCGATTGGCTTTTGCCAATTTGCGCCACCTATGGCGCCGCCGTGATATTCGTTTGTCTATTAAGGGTCGCGTGTACTGCACAGCAGTCCGCTCTGTTCTACTGTATGGCTGTGAAACATGGCCATTGAAAGTGGAAGATACAAAAAAGTTTCAGGTGTTTGACCACCGTTGCCTTCGTAGTATAGGACGTATTCCGTGGTGTCACCATGTGAGTAATGCAGAAGTTAGGTGTAGAGTTTTAGGGAGAAGAGGTAAGTCAGTCGACGAGGTTGTGAACCTTCATCGACTGAGATGGTTGGGACACGTACTACGTATGCCTAGTCACCGATTGCCTCGTCACACAATGTTGGCTGAGGTGGGTTCAGGCTGGAAAAAGGCCCGAGGTGGCCAGACTAAAACATGGCACCAATGTATGAAGTCTCTGACTGTTGGTTTAAGCCATGTAGGACGATGCAGACTAGGTGGTTGGGGTCCACGGGACAAGAGGAACCAGTGGTTGGAGACCCTAGGTGATATGGCTCAGAACCGAAGTCAGTGGCGCAGATGTATACACACATTATCCTCATCTTAACAACGCTATACCGAATCTCACTATTTTGTCACTCCTCTTTCCTTTCTTCTCGTACTTTATATTTCTTTTGACTGCATTCACTTATCTTCATCCTTCACCTCACTACCTTTTTACTTGATGTGCTGATATGAGGTGTGGCAACTCGGACCGTTACGCAGTAATGCCTGGTCCTATGTTGATAATGATGATGATGTTGATGACTGTGCGATATGAATCAGTTTTCGATAACATATCAAAGCATTCAGTTAATGTGTAGAAATTCGATCTTTATTTAATTGTCAACAAGATACAAATTACAAAAATACTTCAGCAGTTGTGCAATATGAATACCAGTCTAGGATGCTTATGTTGTGTTTAGGTTGTAAATACTGAAAAATAAATGACAAAAGGTGAGTCAGGTTATTTTTATGAGCATGTAGCACAATAGGCTTTTTTCATGACGTTCGATCAATTTTGAAATAACTCTATTCGGTAGTGTAACTAGTCGAAGAGGTGAACAGTACTTTTCTTACCGTGTTGACACAAATGTGAATAAAATAGTGATCCAATAACATTTGAATAAGTTTTATAAATTGTAATTATTTTGAACAGAGTAACCGATATCTCAAAGAAATATTTATGCAACAAAATTTTGAGATCTATGCGCTGATTCTATATGTTTCCACCAAGAATAAAAAGTCATTCCAAATTTTCCACATCACCGTATATGGTAAACTGAAATGCGGCAAGGAAAATAGACATCAACACAAGCCACAGATAATGCGTGGTTTAGCTACGGTCTTAATTCCAAGTATGCTGGGAATATATATATATATATATATATATATATATATATATATATATATATATATATATATATATATATATATTGAAAAAAAAGGTAGATCGTTATTAAAACTGCTCTGAGCATAATGCACTCGGAAGCACTAATATTTTTCAAATCTTTTAAGCGCTGAAAATGGCATTTTAGGGAATAAAAAGCTTCATTGGCATTCATCAATGGTTAAAATTTACGTTTGTGTAAATAACTTACTTCTGCAATTATTTGATTATTCATTATACCATGTAAGGTGTCAACAATAGTTTATGCATAACTTTAGATGATAAATCTGAGTTTTCATTGGCATTTTTATTCTTGTGACTTTTCTAACTTTGTATAACTAGTGTTTCAGCTGTGAATAGGTGGTGAAAGTATACAGCCTAGGATTGGTGCAAATTAGCTCTATAAATCAATTTAAAAGATGAATCTAGAAGAACGAAATGACCTGACTTTATTCAATTTCCAAATACGAACAAAGTTGTTGTTCATAATCTGGTCTTTGGTTAATCTAACCAGTTACTCTTTGACAGTATTTTCCGAGAGTACCCTCTCAAAAAAATTCAGTGTATTCCAATATTTCGTCACTGATAAAAATCTTTTTCCTGTTATGCATGAATAAATAGGCATATTTTATTGACTAACCTGGTTTTATCTTTGCTAATTTTTTCAGTCTGCATTGATGCAATTTACGCAAAACAAGTGGTGTTAGCCAACTGGACTGTCACGTGTCCCAATGTCAAATTATTTAAGCAAATAAACACTCTACTTTAAAACTCACATAGTGTTGCAATGCTTGTCAATTTCTTGTCATTATTTACGTCAAACATGATAGCATATGCTAAATAATTGTTAATTGTTTACCTTGAATTCATATTTCTTACATGTAGCTGAACTTTGTATTCAATAAATTATAGTTCTACCGTATTTCATTTTTTCCTTTGAATCGCAAAACGTTTTTCAAATTCCTAATGAATATTTGAGTGGAATGTTGAAACAAAGTGATCTGTTTTTAATTTTAGTACTGTTTTGAGTTAAATTACTGTCCGTGATCGCACCAATAATTCGAATCTCAATCACGTTTATAGATACATATTCCTGTAACGTGTTTGTTTATTCATCTTCGTTGTAGTTGCTAGGACCGATAGATAAAGTGACTCACCGTTCCTTCAATCTGTTTAAATCGAAGTTTAGTAATCAGATACATTTTTTCCAATTGATATTTTTTATTGCAAGCATGGACCCTTACAAATGTACTTTATATCATACAATACTGCTCTTCATTATACCTATAATTTAGATGGATATCTGATTGGTCCTCACTTCGGAAGAAAAGTGTAATTAAGTTTACTACGAGTTATTAATTTACTATTCGTTTGAACTCTTATCAAGATTTTACCAAGTGGTATCACATACATTAAGCGTCAGGTAATGCTTATTCAAAAATATAACTAACTTCTCAGTCTGTTAACCTAAAATAAACATTACAATGCACAAAGTTATTCTAAAATCCGACAACCTCAGTTAAAAGTTAAAGGAAAACCGAGATGTTTTAGAGTTGTGCTTGAAAGGTGGAGACAACATCAACGTAGAAGCCATCACAAAAGTGCATTATTTCAAGTAGACAACACTTCACAAAAGCATGAAAATAAGTGGATAGGTAAAGGGCTATATGAAAGTATATCATAGTGTATGAAGGTGCTCTTGTGTACGTCTGCCACATTTTGAGCCATAATGTCACGATTCTCTTCACCCTTTGACTGTTATCCTCTTCTTACAGGCCTCAAACTCGATGTTACAAAATTCATGAACTGACGCTACGTCTTGGTTTAGTGACCGTTAGTTATGTTACAACCTAATCCAACCCAAGCTAACGTCACATCCCGAAAAAGGCGGTATCTAGGCCTGCTCAAAAAGTGTCTAAGCCACCTCAAATGGTAAGGATTCCATGTGCTCAGTGTGTTCATTGTATTCGTGAAGCAAGTTCCCAACTGGACTTAGTTCAAATTGTCTGCAAAGGTTATTAAACATTCTTGAGTTAAAAGTTCATAAATTATAATTCCTCGGAGCCTTTAAGTTTACAAACGACACGGTAATATTTACAAGTGTCGTATCTCACGTTCAGCTGAACCTTAGTAAATAAGTTCGACATAAATTCATTAATTTTTGAGGTTAAATTAATCGGTTAACTTGTAAGTGAACCAAGGTCATTTATACCGAATACCTCAGAATTCACATTATTATATGCATCTTCATTGTCGTAACGCACGACAGTTGCAACGATTGCCGATTTTGAAAGATGGGAAGTCAAGCAAGTTATTGACTTCACTTACCATTTGTTGATCACACTTGACATTATCATCTATTTATTTGTCAAAAAGTTGATCAAAATCACTTCTTTTCTTTTGACAAAATGATAGACCGGATTTATGAAGCATTTTCTACTGATTACCAATAAACATTATATATATATATATATATATATATATATATATATATATATATATATATATATCACCGTCTGTTTTTGACTGATAATACTAGCTAGCAGTAAAAGGCATTACAGAATCGATCCCGATTGTCACTGATTTTCGGAGCAGCATCTCAATAATGGAACAGACAAGGCATACTTAATATGCTAAACATGGAAACATTTGGTTTCTACACCCTTTTGAAAACAGTATTTTCAATATTCAACGACCCTATTGATCCCAAACTTTGGAAATATTGTGCCGTATCATCCATGTAGGGAATGGTTTGGCCCTAAACATGCCAACAAGAATGAAGAGATAAGTAAACATGAGGAATCAATGATTCGTTCAATCTGGAAGACCATCATTTACTTGTATCTAATCATAGAGTGAATAGTTTAGCCTTGGGTTTCGGTACTGTGCTTGAGTTTTGGTGTTGTATAACCATGAATTCAAGGAACTGCAGTCAGTTTAATATTGACACACTGTTGTGAATAGACAATAGCTTTAGAAAGTTTCCACAGCAATCTGTGTGCAATAATTTAGGACGATTACTCTTTTGTTGTGAAGTTTGGATTTGACGTTGCTAAACATTTGGTAGTTTCTGCGAAGCAGTAACTTGTCAACATGAGAATTATTACAAGCTCTATAAATTCTGTCCACTTGTTTCGGCTGAAATCTTTCATTGATTTGACTTCCTTACTTCTTCCGAGAATGTAAGGTACCAGCCACGGAACTAAGTTACATCAACTAAACAAGAAAAGAGAAAGATCAAGCACTTAAGGTGGATGGCTTTATCTAATGTTTCAACGTATGTCCTTGTAGTGCATCTTATTGGTACAAAAATGTTATTTAATATGTTTTAAATAAACAAATATGCATTTAGAATATTTAAATATTAGCTAAATAATCTGCTGATGCGTCAGTGAATGCCCTAAATATTGTAGGGTTTGTAGGTATCAGCCTATAGACAACTGCCGTTTTCTGTCTTCTTTGTACAAATTAACAGCTACATTCTCTGTGTGCCTAGTCCGACCATACATTAAAAGATGAGTTATAAACCTTTCTTTAGGATCATTCTTGTCTGCATACTGATGAATATATTACGCTTCAGGCCTTCTTTAGCTAGTGTCTTATTTGTTTTTGCTACTAGTACTTACAAATAGACAGGGTACTGATTGGATTAATGCAAGCTAACGTCGAATCATATAAGACTGGTCACGTGTCAGATAGTTGTATGGTTTATTTATAACCCTGTAGCGTCATACACTTCCCCAAAATCAATAGCCTAGGGTTTGACGACTTCGACATTGATGCTGACCTTGATAGTTTAACTGGACTCGCTAAGCTGAAGGCATCCGGTCAAGCATCCTCGCCATTTGGCACGCTGTCGTGTTACGTTGCATTGCTCGTATTCGACTCTCTAGCCAGTTAGTTGGAACGCATCGGTATTTTGGCATAACCATCCAAATATACTATTCCATCCGACTACGCTATCGTGTTCTTCCTTGGTCTCGTATTCGTGGGTATATAACAAGTTCGAATAATTAGTGATTGGTCTTTGCGTCTGTCAAGTTCGCACCAGGACAAATCCTAAATTGGTGAGCCCGACGTGATCACATATCCCGACCAATAACAAGTATTGAATTGGTGAGCCTGTTCCATTTTATATTTGTTTATTGTTTTCATTTCGATAACATTTATATATCCATTTACTACACTTTCTCATGTCCGACCACACTCCCAAGCTTATTCGTATTAAGCCGACCTCGAACACGATCCAACTCGTGCCATATTGGCCAGACAATGCAGAAACATGGTTTCTGTATGCCGAGGCCGATTTTCGAGAACAGGGTGTCTCAGATCCTCATCTCGATTTCTTGCTGTCATACGTTCACTACCGCGAGAATTAAACAGGTTGTTACAGCAAACATGTTTAATCCTGAAGTAAGTGACCCTTATGCACTTCTAAAGGCTGCACTCTTGAAGAAAAGCGATCTCACAGATCGCCAACGTCTAGACGAATTGCTTCGTAACATCGAGCTAGGCAGCCACTCAGCTACTGAAGTCCTCGCACGCATGCGAGAAGTAATCGGTGCACGAACATTTGACGATGGTTTCTTCCGAGAACTATTTCTCTCGAAACTACCACAACCGGTGCAAACCGTGTTGGTGACACTCCAGTCAGTCCCACTCGACGACCTGGCAGCTTCAGCAGATAAAATACTGGAGATATCCAGCAGACCCGTCTCCAACGTATATTCTATCTGTGACAAAACAGAGCGCCAGGATTCAGAGGTGACCAAGTTGTGCAACTCTGTGAAACGGTTGCTACGATCTCGAAGTCCTAGATCACGTAGCACTTCACAGAAACGCACCTTGGCGCATCGCAGCAAGTCGCGTGGTAGCCCTAAAACGAAACCCAACAGGGTGGAAAACCCTGAATGGTGCTGGTTTCATAACACTTACGGGGATGAAGCCAGAAAATGTCGTAAACCATGCCGTTTTAAGAAGGACCCGAACTCGGGAAACGGTCACGCCGGCACGTGCTCACGGCAACCGTAGCCGGCGGAAAAAGCCGTTTGCTCTACGTCACCGACATTAAAACGAAAGTCCGCTACCTCGTCGACACCGGCGCAGAAGTTAGCGTTCTTCCAGCAACGACAAAGGAGCGTCATCTCGACCCATCCTTCAATCTTCAAGCAGCCAACGGCAAGGCAATCGCGACATTCGGGAGACGGTATGCCTACCTCAACTTAGGTTTACGCAAACCTATTCACTGGATTTTCCTCCTGGCAGACGTCTCTATGCCCATCATTGGCATAGATTTGCTGAACCATTACGATCTACTCGTAGATGCTCGCCGTCGACGACTGATAGATAACAACACAAAGTTATCTATTGGCGGCACCACCTATGTAGGTCCGAGTTTAGCCATCGTTAGGACTAAACAATCAGGCGACGCGTCCTACCAGGCAGTTCTGGAGAAATATCCAGAGTTACAACAACCGAAACACACTCTTCCGTGCATAACCAGCAATGTTATGCATCACGTCACAACCACAGGTCCACCTGTGGCATCCAAAGCTCGCCGTTTAGCCCCCGATAAGCTGCAAACGGCGAAAAATGAATTCGACCATATGCTGGAACTGGGCATTATCAGACCGTCGAACAGTCCTTGGGCATCGCCATTGCACATGGTGCCCAAAAAGGATAGCAACGACTGGCGTCCGACCGGTGATTACCGAAGGCTTAACGCCAAAACAACTCCGGACTGCTACCCTATACCCCACGTTTACGACTTGACCGCAACCTTATGCGGCATGAACATTTTCTCGAAAATCGACTTAGTCAAAGCGTACAACCAGATACCTATGGCAGCAGAAGATATCGCGAAAACAGCCATTATTACTCCTTTTGGCCTGTTTGAATTCCTGCGCATGCCTTTTGGTCTT